ATTTATATGTGTGTCGATGTATCTATAATATAGGCATCCATCATATTGTATGTCTATATAATATATGTGCATTATATTTATTCATACACATCTACATGTATATTTTATATATACGCATATATATGTGCTGATTACACATATATATACATATATATATATATATATATATATGTATATTTCTATATATATATATAGAAATATATATATATACATATCGTCAACAATCGCCCTCCTCCTACCTTCAATTGAATATGTTAACTAAATATATTTATTTATTTATGTTTTTGTTGTTTTTGTTGCAGGCAAGAGGAAGAGGAAGCATGCAGACTCTTCCCCTGATAGCACACGCGGCTGAGTGAAGCAAAATGCATTTTGTTAGAACCCCCAAGACCCTTTATTTTAATTTATTTAATTGTCTTGCTTTTCGTCTTTGTTGGAGGGCGTCAGGAAAGTAAGAAGGTGGCTCGAGCCCGAATGCGGTGTCTAGGGTTTAGGGTTTAGGGTTTAGACAACTGGGGTTGCTGATCTATGTAGAACGCACTGGGGGTGCTATATATATATATATATATATATATATATATATATTTAGGTATATTTAACCTTGCGTACGTAGATACATGTATGCGCCTGCGTTAGTATACGTAACAAATACGTGTATATGCATATACATATTTATATACTGTTGCATATACGAATGTATGTATATACCTTTTCATATACATATACATATATATATAGATGTATGTATATATGTATCTGCATTGTATTAGCAAGAAAGAAAGAGGGCCGTTTCATAAACCCAAGAGACAGCTCTTCACAGCCCGCGGTTTGTAGGAGCTGAGCAGGCGCCTCCAACAAACCCTAAACCCTAAACCCTAGTGCAAGGAGGAATGCATTGTGTTTCTGTTTAAATATTCAAACCGCCGTTACTCCGACTAAATGAAATGAAGAGGAATCTTCTGCTTAGTCAGCAGACGGCGAAAGAGAATAACAAAAGGAAGAATGAAGAAAAAGAATTTTAAAAAAGAAGAAAAAGAGAATTTAAAAAAGAGAGCTCCTTAATTGTAACACCTGGATCTGTTTTTAATGGCCATTATTTTATTTATTTGTTTTTCACTGTCTTCTTTTTTGATATTCTTCGCCTTTACACGGTGAAGACATCAGATTCTTTTAATTCAATTTAAAATACCTATATTTTCAGTGGTTTTCTATTGAATAGAATGTCTATATACGATCACAGCATAAGGTATATAATATAGTATATTCTATTTTATATACATATACCATTACTTTCTGTATGTATCTCTATATATTTGGATAATGCATAATAGAGATATGGATATAGATATAGATATATGGATATATAGATATAGATGTATAGGCATAGATATAGATATACATACACAGGTATAGATATAAATATATAGATGCAGCCATGGATATAGATATGTAGAGGTAGATGTAGATATAGATAGATATGTAGGTATAGATTAGATGTAGATATATAGATGTCGATATAGGTATAGATGCAGATATATACGTACAGATAGAGATACATAGGTGTACATGCAGACATACAGATACGCACAAACACATACATGCATAAACAGACACGTATACATATATATATATATATATATATGCATATAGATACAGACATATCTATAAATACATATATATATACATATATGCATGTACAAATCACAGTACTGTTTATATAATATACAACGGCATTAATAATACTATCCTCTCGAAATGCTATATTAGTTTTAGTGTTTAATATATTTCAGTGAGCCATCTCAAGCGCTGCCTCCTTTTCTACTGCTGAGCACTGCATATATTGAATGCTTGTCTGCAGCATCCTTCTAACCCTGCATGCATGCAGCATGCTCCTAATCCGGCGTGCATGTATGTATGCATGCATGCAGCATCAGGCGCTGCACCTGCTGCAGCAGCAGTTAGAGCAGCAAAGGTCCTCAAAAGCATCAAATTATAACTAATCAGGCGTTGGTTTGCGTGATGCATACGCCAGATGTGAGGTGTACGTACACTGCAGGTTGGCGCGGGGTGCATGCACGCGGAGGGTGCATGCAGCTGCAGCAGCAGCACACTGTCAGTTGAGCGTACAAATAAAGAAGAGTTTCTTCTACCACCTATCACTATAAAAAGACGCACTGAAACGATATTCCGAGAGCAGCTCTTGCTTTACACTGCATGCGCTGCGATGCATGAGAAAGAATTCAAAGAAACGAAGAATTCAACAAACAAGGATATCTGCATCCTTTCTTAATGAAGGAGGAAGCAGAGATAACAGCAAACCGCGCTGCGTCAGCTAACACAGCAGCAGCAGCAACAGCAATCAATGCCTGCAGCAGCTGCAACAGCAGCTCCTGCTGCTGCCGCCACTGCTTACAGCAGCCACTGCCTGCAGCAGCCACTGCCTGCAGCAGGTGCTGCTGCTGCTGCTGCTGCTGCTGCTACCCTATGAAGGTCAGGCGCAGGCCTGCAAGTCCCATATCTTCGTCTGAGCGTTGTGTTATTTCTTCCACCTCAAACACGTGCCCCTCTTTTTGTTGATATTGGGAGTCGCCGGAATCTGCTGCTGCTGCTGCTTCTGCTGCTTCCGCTGCTTCTGCTGCATCTGCTGCAGCAGCAGCAGCTTCATTGTCGTCCATGCCTTCGTCGTCAGAGAAGAGAGGAGGGTGTTGATAATCAGGAGAAGGCACGGGAGGAGCAGAGCCTGAACCGTCAGTGCTAGCTGTGCTGTTAGCAGCAGCAGGAGTTGCAGCAGCACTTGTATATTTGCTGCGTGCAGTTGGGGTGTCTAGGCAGGTAGGGGGTGTTTCTGCTGCAGGTGTGCAGACACGCACTTTAAATGCTTCCTGTGTTTCCTGAGAAGTTCGCTGCCCGGATGTTCTCTTTCGGTCTTGAGGCTTAAATTGTGGTTCTGCTTCTTCCTTGCTGCTGCTGCTGCTTGCTGGGCTCTCTACCGGCCTTAGCGCTGCGTTAGGATGTCCAGCTGCATAGTAGCGGCAGTTTTGCTGCAGTCTGTGGTCATCCTGTTGCATTTGCTGCTGCTGCTGCTGCTGCTGCTGAAGTGGCAGCAGGCGTTCCGGGCAGACGATGCTGCTGCGTTGCTGCTGCGATGTCGCTGTTGGTGCTGCTGCTGCTGCGCCAGCAGCAGCAGCAGTTGGTATATCTACGAGGTGCCTCATGGTGGGGCGTCCATGGGGACAGTTAAAAGGCAACTGCAGCAGCGCCATTCTCCTTAATATAGTTTGCTGCTTCTGAAGAGACAAAGGGTCTCCTATCATTACTGCGCTGCGGCAGGCCCTACTGGCGAGGATATTCCAAACACGCGAGGGTCGGTACTGCAGCACGCGGTGGTGAGTGCAGGAGCTTCCCTCCGTCTTTGCTGCTGCTCCTGCTGCTCCTGCTGCTGCTGCTGCTGCTGCAGGTGGGGGCATAGTTCCTTTCCAAAGGGCTTTTCCTTGATCTTCGCTGGCTAAGGCAGAGAGAAATTCAACAAAGTCGGCGGCAGTCAGCTGCTGGCCTTCAATGACCGGCACCCCAGTAAGGAAACACTGGCGACCTTCTTCTTCTTCCTCATCTTCATCTTCATCATCATCAGCAGCAGCAGGCGATGCAGCAGCAGCAGCAGCAGCAGGAGTAGTAGTAGGAGTTTCTCCTCCCGAGGATTTGCTTCGGGTCTTGTTTTTGTTTTCTGTTTCATTCGCTCTGTCGTCTGTCACCTCAGGTGAGGACTTGGCTTCAGCTGCATCGACAAGCTGCAGCTGTTTCTGCTGCTGCTGCTGCTGTTGCTGTTGCTGCTGGGTGCGTGGAGCAGCAGGAGCAGCTGCTACTGCTGGGCGCTGCTGCGAGGCAGCGGAGAGCAGGCAAAATTGTTGAGTGCCCTTCAGGGGCCTCGAAGGGCTACTGGGTCCCATAAAGATGCATGCAAATCCGTTGCTGCTGAGATGAGAAGAAAACATCTCCACTGCTGCTAGCAAATGTGCTGGCAACGAGAGACGCAGAGGCACCAGCAGCGGCTGCATGCGGGGCTTGAACTGGGAGTTTAAACCTTCAAATATTCTCTTCTCGTCGCTTGCATGCTGATCGATAATAAACAAACTCGTCACCATTTCCTCCCCGCTGCTGCTGCACAAGCTGCTGCTGCTGCTGCTGTTCCTGCTGCTGTTGTTGTTTTTGCATGCAGAGGGAGAACTCCCCTCCGCCTGAGATTGAGGCAGCAGCAATGAGGCTTTTTGTCTTCTTCTGCGAAGTGCAGCAATTATAAAGCCTTCATTAAACTGCCCCACAAGCGTCAGGTCACGGAAGAAGTTCTTTTCAAACAGAAAAAAACCTGATTTATTTCTTTCCTCCCCTTCAGCAGCAAAAGAGAAGGAGGGGGGGCCCCCAGGGGCCCCAGAGGATCCCCTCGCCTCCGCACTAACAGAGAAGTCTGTAGGGGCGTCAGGCCAGGGCTGAGAGGCATCATTAGAGGCAGCAGCATCAGCGCTATGTCTCAAGTCAGCGCATGCATCTCCTGCTGGAGGGGACGACCCCGCTGCAGAGGCTGGAGACGACCCCAATGCTGTAGACGATCCCAATGCTGCTACATGCGATCCCACACTGTACATCTCGCTCCAGTCGTAAGTGCATTCACCTACAGCTGCCCTCAGCACTTCTGCTACTACTGCGTCTTCTGCCTCATCCGTATCAGGAGGAGCCTCAGCAGCAGCAGAACCAGCAGCAACAGCAGCAGAAGCCGCAGCAGCAACGACAGCAGAAACAGCAGCCTCAGTGGGGCTCCACGACGAGGTTACCGAACGGCTGTCTCCTAAGCCGGTGTTGTTGGTGCTGCTTCTCCCTTCCTGCTGCAGCAGCTGAGCAGCAGCAACACCCCCTGCCTTGTCCCTGCTCTCCAGCTGCTGCTGCTCTCCACAAAGGGGCGCTGAGGGAGGAAGAGGCGCATGGTCTTGCAATGCATGCGGTGTATGCACACCTCGTTCAGAAGCAACTACAGCAACTCCGCGCTGCCGCCGCGACAGAAGGGGCTGCCGGATGCCCAGGCCCTCACCCAGAGGCAGGGAGCCGGAGGGCTTGGCTGCCGTTGCTGCTGTTGCGGCCGTTGCTGCTAGTGCTACTGGTGCTGGTGCTGGTGATGCTGCTGCACTTGTGGAGGCTGTTGCTGCTGCTGGCTCTGTTGCAGCAGCAGCAGAAACTGCAGCAGCAGTTTCTGCTGCTGCTGCCCCCTCGGATCCTTCCTTTCTATTTGCAGATTCAAGTGATTTCGAATCCAGAGCTGCTGCAGTTACTCCTGGCTGCTGCTGCTGCTGCTGTTGTTCGTTCTCGCTACCCTGTGAGGAGACGGAGACAGCATGCGCAATGGGCAGCTGCTGCTGACTGCCGTCCTCCTGCATGGTAGCTTGTTCGTCCCGTCCCTGCTGCTGCTGCTGCTGCTGCCCCGCCTCCTCCTGTTGCTGCTGCTGCTGCTGCTGCTGCTGCCCCTCCTGCTGTTGCTGCTGCTGCTGAGATGGCGCTTGCTGCGAAGCAGGAGGGTGAAATTGAATTTCGAGCTGCCGCTGCTTCTGCTGGGAATCGAACCCCATCGAGCTGACCGAAGGAGCCAACACTCTCCCTACTGCCTCCTGCACACCCCCAGCAACAACACCGCAGAGCCTCCCTGCACTAATATAAGAAATGTATGTATATACATTATCAAAGCATGAAGCATATGCATGCAAGTAGAATACACTACATAATTTCCTAATATAAACATAGGCCTAAAAGACATATATATCGTTATATTATATACATATTTACATATTTATTTATTTATTTATTAATATATATGTGTATATAAATGCATGCGATTGTTTAGGCGCCACCAAACGATTAGCACACGAGAAAATCTGGAGGGGCGAATGTGTGAGCAAGACAAAAGAGAGAAAAAAATAAATTAACGGATATATTAATGCGTGCATTAAAATATAAAAATATAAATCTATAAACATGGATATGTGGCTACGTAGTAAATTGAGAAATGAATTAATGAATAAACTAAGAAATATGCACATGCATATATGCATATATAAATGCATATACATGCATATACATATGCATGAATATATAAACATGAAAAGGAAAGAGTGAATGAATTAATTTATTATTTCACTGATGAGTTGACCAACTGGATAGATAACCAGTTAGTCAGTTAATTAATTAATTAATGCAATATAGCACAGGCGCCGCTGCAACAAGAAGAGGCGAAAAGACAGCTGGGCATCTCTGATGTGTTTTCCTTTACCAAGAGGGCCTGCGCCACATCTCTTTCTACAGCGAGAAGAACTTCTTGTTTGTCTTTCCTAAGCAAACGCATGCATGCAGCAGCAACTCGATCAAATCATTTTGCTGCTGTTGCTGCTGTTGCTGCTGTTGCTGCTGTTTCTGCCGGCTAATCGTGCCGTGCATGTACAAATGGGTCGCATAAGAATATGCAACACTATCAACACGCAAGCAGAAGAAAAGCAGCAGCAGCAACAGCAGCAGCAGACAGGCACAGAGACCGGCATATTAGCCCAGCAGCTCGTGCTGCTCCCTGCATGCAATATGAATGACAGCAGCAGAACACAGCAGCAAAAGATATAAATATAAACTTAATCACCTTAAATTTATATCCAAGAGCGAGGCATCCAGCTCCAGGAAGCCGAGACAAACAGGGAAAAGGCCCCTACTGCTGACTTCTTTCCACTTCCTGAACAAAACCCTAGACACTAAACCCTAGACCCTCAACCCTAAGCCCTTAACCCTAAGCCCTTAACTCTAGAGCCTAAACCCTAAACTCCTAGCCCTAAACCCTTAACCCTCAGCGCCAAACCCTAAATCCCTACTCCTAACCCCTTAATTCTAAACCCTAAATCCTATCCCCTAGCCATGGAAGGCGCTGAGGGGCAGCAAGAATTCTGGTCTGTGTGCACCCCCTCCTTCCCCCTGTATCGGTAGTGGCTTAGAGCGACTGCTGCAATTATTATAAAAGGCAGCAACATTCAGGTTACTTAAACCGAAGATATGGTGTATTTCAGGCGTGTAGGAGCTGTTGAGACACCACAAAGTTATAGGGGTTTTAGGGTTTATCAAGCAGATGTTTTATTAGGGTTTAAATGACCCACTTATTGAGGAGCTTCTGTAGAAGAGGCGGAAACACAACGGGTCTCCTCTTCACAAAAAACTGCTGCAGCGCCGTTGAACGAATGCCGTGGGGAGGCCGAGAGATAACAGCCTCCAGGCTGCAGCAGAAGCAGCAAAAGCAGCAACAGCACCAAATGCAGCGAAGGCAGCAAAGAGAGAGTAAAGTGGATTTGCTGTTAGCAACAGACGAGACGGTGCTGCAAGCAGCGAACAAAAATTCATGTGCAACACAAACGCAGCTGCCGCACTGTACAGACACCCCAACCACATCGACATACAGCAGCCCGCTGTATGTACACCTCAGCCTCTTTTCAAATCAATAAAGGCAACAAACTGCAAACGCCCAGCAGACTCGAACGCAAGCACGCCGCTGAGAGGGTGGGGTTGTACAGCAGCCAGGTACGGAGTTGTAGCAGCAGCAGCAAACAAACAAAAACGGAGTTTAGAAATGCCTTAATATAAATTAGGGCGAGCGCCCCTTGCTGCGCACTGGTGCAACAACAGCAGCAACTACAGCAACAGCTGCAGCAGCAACAGCAGCAGCAACAGCAAAACTTCCAAAAGGCCTTCCGCTGCATATTAGAGTCGCTTTCTGGCCATAGAAGAGTGAGCCACAACAGAAGGTGCAGCCGCAGCAAGAGGGGGAGCAGCAGCAGCAGCAGGTGCAGGAGCAGCAGCAACAGGAGCAGCAGCAACTGCTGTATCAGCAGCAACAACAGAAGCAATAACAAAAGCAGCACCAACAGCAACAGGAGCAGCAGCAGCAGCAGCAAAGGCCGTCCCTGGCTCACCGCCACTCCCTCCCGGGTTCGTCTCCTGACAAAGTTATTTCAGTGCATGTAGCCAGCTGCTTCGGTCCATAGACACTCAACGCAGCCTCCAGCAAACTCGCACTGGTCCCCTTAGTAGCCAAGAAAGTGGTGCGGCCTCCCCTGCATCAGCAGCAGCAGCAGCAACAACAGCAGCAGCGGCACCAGCAGCGCCTGAATAAACCCGAACCCAAGCACCATGGCCCCTGAAATTCAACTTCGCGCATGGAAGCGTGTGAATGCACCCCTCGAACCGCTGCTGCTGTTGCTGGGTGCTTCTGCTTCTGCTGCTGCTGCTGAAGCTGCAGGCTAAGTTTGCAGCCCCAAAATGTGTCCCCTTGTTTACGTTTTGGAGTCGAAGTTCGAGAGAACAAAACGACAAGACGTCGCATGCAGCAAAGCAATTCTCTGCAGTAGCGCCAGCGCGTCTTGCAGCTGCCGCTGCTTCGTCTGTTCCATCGTCCGCCGCCGAAGAGGCAAACGGCCAAAGACATCTTCCACGATCACCGTCGTTCCCACCTGTATGCATGCATGCATGTACGCATGCAAGTGTCCATGCATGCAAGTGCCCATGCATGTAAGTGAGCATGCATGGTGGTGTGAATGCATGCAGGTGTGCATGCAAGTGTTCATGCAAGTGTGCAAGTTTGCATGCATGCAAGCGTATGCGAACTTCCCCAAGCCCCGAAGCTGCAGCCTGGAATGCATGCTTGCATGCATGTAGCACTTAAGTACTGCCATCTTTCCACTGCACTTTCAAAAGGGCTGCCTGCTGCTGCAGTTTCGCGTGTCTGTAGACCGAGCGGAGAGCATCTGCTGCCGCCTAAGCTGGTGCTGCTGCCGCAGCTGCTGCTGCTGCTACTGCTGGTGCTGTGAGGTGCTGTCCGTTTTCTCTGTGGTGGAGGGAGAGGGGGGGACAGCATCGAGCCGGCGTTTGCGCTGCTGTTAAAAGCAGCAGCAGTTGCTGCTCCTGCTGCTGCTGCTGCTCCTGCTCACCTCTCTCGCCGTTGCTTCATGTGCAATTTGTTCTCCTTTGTGGTTAAAGACGACACGCGTTGCAAAGTCAGCAGCGCGGCAACGGGTGATGATAGATACGGAGGCCACGTAGCAGAGAGAGGATATCGCTTCTCCCTGCAGCAGCAGGAGCAGCAGCAGCAAGAAGTGAGACCCGGCTGCTCACTTTTAGTATCTGCAGCAGCGGCAGAAAGCTACACACTGTGCACGGCCACTTCGTAGTTTCAAGGGAAAACAAATATTGGAGGGGACAGGTTTGTTCATGAAAATGAAGCACACTCTACAATTCATGCAAGCAAATACATGCATGCATGCATTTGCTAGCATTCGCATGCACTTTCATACAGCTGCATGCGTTTGCATGCAGGGGCATGCAGTTGCATCCAGTTGCACGCAGGTGCACGCAGTTGCATGTATTTGTATGCATGCGTGCATGCGTGCATGCAGATGTATGCAATAAGATACGCTGGTACTGCCACGGAGAAATGAAGCTGTTTTATTTCTTTTCTCACTCGGAATCCCAAAGAATCCAATTTGCTGTAAACGTCTTCAAATGTCTTTATCTTGGAGGTCGCATGGCGACAGCCTGCAAACGAAGAAAAAACGCATGCAGGACGGAAACGCACAGCTAAAATGTATATAGATATTGATGCAGATACAGGTAGCGGTATGCACATATGCATATGGAGATGCATGTAAATATAAACAAAGATATATATGCATATATGTAATTATACAGGTTAGCTGTAGATATAGATAAATCTAGATATTGATATAGATATATGGATATACATAGAGATATATTGATATAGAGATAAATATATATATATATATATGTATACAGACGTAGATATAGATAGATATATAGATATGGATATATAGGCAGATAGATATACGTATATATATACATATATATATAAAGAAATATATATATATATATGTATATATATATAGACATACCAAGGAGCTTCAGGTCTTCAGGCGATATGCCACTGCCGTTGTCGCGGACCTCCACACCCCCCAACCCGCAATCCATCAAACGCACCTCTGCAAGATAAACACAAGAGAAAGAAATAAATAATTAATAAGAGAATTAAAAAAAAACATTTTCTAGAAAATATTAATAAATACAGGGCAAAACGTATAAATAACTAAAATAAACAATGTTCAAAACACATTAAAACAAGATAAATAAACAGGAGGCAAAAGAAGTGAAATAAAATAAACAAAAAAAGATGAAATAAAAACAGGACAGCTAATTCCATTCGTTCTTTAAGGGGTTGTTTAATTAGTTGTCAGTTGTATCTTTATTCTGCTTCTCTATTGAATAATTAGTTATTAAATTAGCTGCCCAATTATTATTATTACTATTATTATTATTATTATTGGCTGTTGCATCGCGTAATTCTTTGTTTATTTTGCTTGTCGGTTGTTTGTTCGTTTAAAAACTTGTTGTAGGACCTGTTTGCTGCTATTACGTTTATTGTGAGCTAGTTGTTTGTTTACCTAGCTGTCGAGTACTTGTTTGTTAATATTACATGTATATTTCTTGCGTTTATTTGTTATTGGTTGGTTAAAAACTTGTTTATCATTATTATTGTTGATACTCGTCAGTTGTTTATTTGTTGAATTGGCTCTTTGCTATTAGCATTAATAGCCAGTTGTTCGTTTGTCTATTTCGTTGTTTAATTCTTTTCTTGTGCTCATTATTCTATCCCTACTATTATTTTTATTCTTATTCAGGAGCTTTTCTGTCAATTTAGTTGCTTAAGTAGGTGTTCTCATTAGTGTTATTACTTGTTTTGTGCCTATTTTAAATTCGTTTTCAAGTGTACTCTCGAATCCGCCTTTGCAGCCAGAAGAAAAATTCATTTTCCTCTTTTTGTCTGAAAACAGTATTTACGTGCATTTTGCGGTGTATATGCAGCTAGCTAGCTGCGTCCTCACCTATAGACGTGGCGCCTGCATCAAGGGCGTTCTCTACGAGTTCTTTGCAAATACTTTTAAGGTCAACAACAACCTGCTGACTGCTGATTGCCGCTGCTGTCTCCCCCGATATGCGAGCAATGCGTCTCCCGCGTGCTGACGCTGGAGGCAGGACAGGAGGAGCAGAAGGAGCAGAGAAGGAAGAGAAATCCTTCATGTCAAACTCACCAGCAGACACGCTACTGCTGCCGTTGCTGCTGCTGCTGCTGCTGTTAGTGCAGCTGATGACTGCTGTACCTCCCCCACCTGCCACGTTAGGCCCCTCTGCAGCAGCATCAGCAGCAGAAGCGGTGTCGCGTGCATCGGGTCTGTTGTCTGCTCTACCGAGTGCTAGGGCCTCGGAGACAGGTGACCACTGGTCACCTCCCCGAGGAGTTGTGCTGCTGCCTGAGTCTTCTACTAGTGTTGCATGAGGCTCATTATTGCTGTTTCCCCCCATTTGTCCTGTTGGCGGTGCAGCTGCCATCAGAACCAACTCAGACTCTCTAACCTGGGCAGGCTGCTGCAGCTGCTGCTGCGCTGCATGCAGCAGTGCAGTCAAGCGCTGCGTCTCAGGCCGTTGAACAATGTGACAAGATGCAAAAAGAGAAGAAGACAGGCAGCATCGGGGTGAGGGGTGCTGACAAGAAAGAGAGTTGTTGCTTTATCGTATAGGGCGCGATTAGTTCGCTGCGCGCCCTCCACCGCCGCTTGCAGCCGCAAACCTGTTGAATTAAAATGTAACTCAGGGATTTTTAATAAGAAAAATGCAACTGAAGGGCAGACAGAGGCGGGATAGAGATGTACACACACAGGGGGTTCCGTTGTGGGAGAGCAACTGCCAGCTACTCCTCCTTCAAAGCGACTGAGTGGAGGCTTTTCCGTTTTAAATATCTCAATAGAATGCGCATGCAGAATTTAGAAAGGCGAACTAAAGGCTAATCTTACTAATAAAAGTTTCTGGCTTCCAAACCGCTGTCGTTCGCCTTCTTAAGGGGCCCCCCCAGGGGCCCCTCACCCACCCACCCCCGCGTGGTGGTCGCTGTGAGGACTGCGGGGAGTTAGGCGGGGCCCAGTTAGTAAAATAATCACGCGTTAAACAATAAACAATACAACCATGATGATTTAAACGGTAGAAAAATTCGTTGTTGATATTTAATAAAGACCGCGCTTTCTCCAGGAGCCTCGTTCACTCAGCGCCGTGTTAGTTGGTGATATGAGCACTGATTCTTTATCTAATTATCTTTCGAGTAGACTCGATGAGACTGCAAAACATGGAAGTGAACATACACCGTATATCCCTACTCGCCGCTCTAACGGAGCGGCGCACTCACTCACCTCTGATAATGACGGGCCTGCAGCCCTCCGCCCCCCAAAGCCGCACGTTTAAAAGGAGAACGAATAAAGCAATAACTGTCCTTTACTGCATTACTGCACCTCCAAAGAGCTCTGTTTGCTGTGCATGCAACGCAGGTGCGGCCTGTGGCACACCCCCGTCCAAATATAGATATATATATATATAAGAAACAAGACATACGAAATCTCCTATGGGTGCCTCGACAGCACACCGCCTACCATACTCAGGCCAGTTAGCTATTTCCGTCATTGATGTTAAAATTCCCAGACATGCGTTTGGCTATCCTCTTCATGACAACACAGCGACAAACAGACGATGTTATTCAGAATATGGAGACGCCGACTCTTCGCTCGCTGCTTGGTGAACAAAAACAGTACTGTTGAGACAGAAGACTGGGTTCCTGACAAGAACAAGAGAGCACTCAAACGGTGTTTACGCTGTGCTGTCAGGACTGAAACAGCTAAAATTACTTTGGCATGTGCACCTTTTTACTGCCTGTATCCCTGCAAATCTCGCTGATGCACAGCATTCACTAATCTCCTCCACTCAAATAAATGCGTAAAGTTTTTCAGCGCCCATTTCTCGCTGAAATAAACTGTCTTTGACTCTGTTGCCTTTTCGCATTGTCACAACCAATCGTTTGGCGGCTTCTCTGCATCGTCATTCCTGGCCAACCGGCCATCCAGCGCCGCCGCAATAACTTCAGCTGTTGTTGCCTTTTTTAATTGTGTCATTGAAGGGCCCCTGCGCTGTATAGCGTTTGCATGTAGACACACTTCCACGTGTATGACCAGCCAGGGGTGCCTGTGGTCATTGGATACGTAGTACAGACAGGCCTGGCGGAACGCCTCGATGCCTCTTTGCACCTATTCTCCCCGTTTTACTGCTGAGGAATCCTTGTTATCGAGGTTCTCTGTCATCTCCACCGAGCGTTCATAGGTGGCCTGCACCGCATCTGCGACTGCGCCCCACAAGCACTGCACGGCAAAACGCGCAACCATAAACCGTAAACCCTAGATTAGCCGTTCACAGCACACGAGGCAGGGGCGCCGCCCACAACCGAACTACGCAATAAGCCTGCACATTACAGCCATCTTTCTACGCGTTCATCGGCGAATAGACAGAAGAGAGCAGCGCCCCATCTTGGTGAAGCAACACTGACGTCGAGGTTTGCAGTACGATGCCGCAAAACCGGTAGTGTAAAGCATACTCTGTTTGCGTCGCATACCAGCTAGCTCGGCCATCCGTCTGCCTACCTGCAGCTCTAAAGGCCCTCCTCTCCATCGCCATCAGGCCGGCTATGGTTGTGCCCCCAGGTGTGGTGATCTCGTCGCGAATGAGGGCGGGGTGTATTTCCTTCTTTTGTACCAAAGTCGCTGTGCCGCGCACGGACTGCAGCGCCGCCTCGGTGGCCAACTGCCGCGGCAAGCCGCTGCGACAAATTCAGCAACGCACAGACAGCAGCAACTCTGTGCAGCAACTCATCCTGCGCTATGTTGATGCAGCGCCTGAGCAGCTACAGTAACTTCCTTATCACTTCCGCATACAAGAAGGCCGACACCCACCACTTGACCCCAGCATCAATGAGTGCCTCAATGAACGTGCAGACGAATGCAGGGCCTGCAGCATTCGCAAGAGCTCTGGATGCAGCCGCCCTAAACCGTAATGGCATAACAAAGTCGAGCTGTGCACTCTTAGTGCAGCAGCACAGCCGCAGGCCAGAGACTAAACAGCATGCTTTTCTTCAGTTGGCGTTGCCATTTTGGGGCACTTGCGAGTTAAGCGCTATCTTCACTTGTTTACTCGAGCCGCTAATTGCGCAGTACGCATCGAAGTAGCTTTCTGGAACAGAGTGTACACGGCCGAAGGCCCGCAGCGCCCGCAGCAGCACCGCCTCGTTGTCCGCAGTCAAATGCTTCCCACAGTAACAAGTGGAACCTTCACCAACAGCGCACAGTACATTCGGCATTATGCGCGCGACAGGGGAGTTTAGCGTCGTCTCCTCTAGCCTTGAAAGCGAGACCCCAGCGCAAGCAGAAACGAGGAACGGAAGAGCATTTGACTCCTCCCTCCACAATGCGAGGGAAGCAAGCACCTCAGGGACATTCCAAGGCTTCACAGTAAGAAACAACAAACCCGCCTGCGCCCAGCGCACCACCTAAGCACCACAACCCCCCCTCCCCACCAAACACACGCATACGCACACATATATACACACCAGTATGAAAATGAAAAACAGAAAAAACGCGGAAACGCCAAGTGGAGGACTCCCCAGGCAGGCAGCCGTAGCATATCCAACAGAGCAAAGCAACGCAGAGCTCAGAGCCAACTTCATCGTTCTACACAGGATGAGAGTGCGCAGGGCGGCCTTTGTTGCAGCCTCGTTGCTAGGGTATTCCAGCGGCCCACAAAGGAACAAAACCCCGAGACGTCAGAAGCGCAGCGTATCTACGCATAAACAAGTACACATATAGTTACATATAACACGCAAGCTCGCCTCTTCATTTGTTCGTGTCGAGTACCCGAGAGCGCTAATGGCCTGACAAGACGCTTCCGTGCGTGCGCTCATGCAGATGTCCTCAGCGGAGCAGACTCGAGCCCGTACCAGAGCCACAGCCATCGCCTTCGCCATTTTCCCCCCCCCTATAAACCCAACTTTAATCGCTGCGAGAGAAAACAGCGAAATATCTGCACAGCGGTTGCTCCTTAGAGGGAGCGGATGCGACTGATAGCAGCCGAAAACGACCAAAGATTCAGAAATATGATAAGAAATGACCCCACATGCATTCAACAGGAAATGGTGGGGGAAAGACTCACTTGATGACTCCTGAGCCATGGTGGACGACAGACGCCTTCCCAGTGGCGCGGGAGTGGGAAAATTGAGAGCAACAGCAGCCTTCACTGAATCTGGAATACAACAGAGAACAGAAGGCAGAAATAAAAACACTGGAGAATCTCGATGCAGCGACTCAAAGTGTGTTTAGCACCACGCAGTGGTCCAAACGGTGATCGGCTGGCGGGAATGTGCATATTGCTCGACGATCAGCTGAAGTGAAGCGCCCGTCTCTGCTGTCAAAAACATAGCTTTTAAATTGCTAGATTCAGAACAAAAGGTCGCTGATGTCAAGGAACCGCTTCATGCGGTGAAGTTCACTTCACGGGGAAGCACGACTTCACCTGCCCTGGAAACGGGGCGAAGAAGGGGGCGAAGAGGCGGGCTTTTTTTAGTACGATAAATATTTCTTAACATGCAGGAAGGTTTAAAATATGCTGGTCGTTGCCTTAACGTGAAGAAGGGTTCAAAACATATTAGCATTTGCCTCAATATGCAGGAAGGTTCGAAATATGTTGGTCGTTGTCTGAAAATCTGCAGCAAGGTTCGAAACATACGGAAAATGCACTTTTCGTCGACTACAGGCTGGCTACTGAAGGTCATGTAAGCGTTTAACGATTGTCTACGGCATTAGGGGAAAAATGAATGGGAGGGCTAGCACGTGGGGTTACCTTGCAGCAAGTTACAGCAAGCTGAGTGCTATAGCTCAAGGCAAGCAGTCGCCAATCCACGCCGGCAGCAGGCACTTGTGCTGCTATGAACGCAACTGCTGGAGACTGGAGTGTTGCGCCGGTGCTCGTTGGAACGCTTGTCTAATGAATTTCGACTCTATCGCAGCTCACAGCGATATGCGGCACCACTTGGTAGAGTGGGGTAGGAGCGGTGACCGCGTGCCGCGAACCCCCTCCCGAAAAGTGCTCATCAGTCTTGAAAGCGCCCTTCCTGAAAAGAGAGGCGAGGAGGGATATTTCGGTAATCTCGTGAAAATTCTCGTCAGTGTGTGGGCGTTTTCACCCCCCAAGAACCAAGGAAAGCTCGTAGGATCCTCCGTCCGAAAAAAAAGGTGGCTACCTTCCGCGCATCCATTTGCCTTGGATGGAGAGCTACTTCCGCAACCCGTTCAACTGAAGAGCTCTTCATCTCGCAAAAATTCATTAAAAATGCCACATCCTCGTGGATCGTCGAAATGTGCCTGGAGCGGCGACGGGGTGCAGTAGAGAAACTTTTCGCTCCTCATCAGGCATACTTTTGTCTCCATGTCGCACTCAGAGAGCTACGCTACCTAGGAGCATTCCCGTTTTTCTGAAATGGGTAGCACGATATGGTGGCTAAGAAGTTCTACCGCCTTCGTGCGAATCCTGTAAACAACTAAAGCTCTTCGACATGAGCTGCAGGGTAGATTTATCCCCAGGACGCCAAGGGAGAATCTATGGGGGAATTGAGACAAACTAAAGAAAAGAAGCTTTCGATAGGGCGCTGCATCTGGGAGGATCAATCCTTGGTGAGCAAAAACCCAACGGTGGACTCGGAACGCCTGTACCGATGGTTCTCAGGTCCGTATCCAGCTGGGCAGCCGATAAGGACGTAGGGAGTGAACGCCTGGGACACTCTGAGATGACGTACTGACGAAAAGAAGCAAGAGAAAACTCGACTTCCGCTGACCTACAAAAGAATGGAGTGGGAGGCTTTCGAAAGAGCCCAGATATAGTACCGATATATAACCGATGGATATTGGGACTGTGAATGCCAGCACCTTTCAGAAACAGTCAAGAAGCTATAAAATACGATGGCCTGAAAATCCGGCATTCAGGAAGCGGGGGCGATGTACCGAGCGGCGCATCTGCATTTTTGGCAACAAGCAAGGGCATATAGTTCGAGAATGCAGAACTAGGGAAAGCGCTAAGGAGGTGGGGAAAAACCATTTATGCAGTGTTGTCAGGTGAGGCAACAATTCGGTCAGGGAAATGCAACAGTCCCCACGGGAGGTGAGGCAAACTGTCTGGCCAAGAGAGTTGACAGCCGCACAGGAAGATCAGCTTTGGAGCAGCCCTGTCCTTTTCCAAGCCATTGTGTTATGACCACCAGCTGCTAGTCCTACTTGATACAGGGTGCAAAGTGGATTTGTTGACTGATGCTAAGGCGTGGAGGTGCAGCCTATCCACCTATTCATTGGCGCCGTCTCTGCGAATAAGCTGTGCCGTTGGAAAAAAGTGCACAAGCATCGGTATAGCTACTGGTAATAAGTGCGTGCTCAACTCTTTAATGGGTCGTAACACAGTGATGCTGGAATTCTACATTGGGTTAGTTTCGCACGACATTGTCCTACGCATGCCGTGGGTAACCCAGCGGTGAGAGTCCCTCTGGCCTCCAAACGGCTAGACAGTAGTGGGAAATATACGCCTGGAAGCTATGAAAGAGTGCACCACTCATCCCTCCTAACAGCAATTTTATTCTCAATGGTAGAGAGAGCAGTATTACCTTCCCACGAAGAAAGGGGAGGGGGTAAGCCAACGCTGTGCAAAGGCAGTGCCGGCAACGACTGAGAAACGCATTCACTCCGTCGTGATGACCTCAGAAGGACCACAGGTTGAAGGGATTCGATGCACTAAACTCGCGTAAAACACCAGAAGTGAGCCCAGGTGGGAGAAATGTCCTCACATGCACGAGATGCCAGCTGGCCCACCATCCGCTGGACACCGAATGCACCCCAGAACACACTCCACGCCTCAATCTTTGTTTTGGAGTAGAGACGAGCCCCATGTCCTTGTGAAAACCAAGGTGGTGCAGCAGGCGAATTGCTAGGAAAAGTCTGCGTTCAATCGTCAACTAGCGCATGTGCAGACAGCCCGTGGCTGGCGAAGGAAAAGGTGTGATGCACAAGCACTATGATGGTACTCAAATTGAAGATGTAGAGGTGTATCTGGCAGAGAGAGTGCAAATAGTACAGTAGTAGAAATAAATGAAGTCACTGTAGACAATAAAAAAGGCTAACAGGGGAAGACTGCTCAAAAGATGCCCCGAGTCTGAGGCAGGCTGTGAGACTGGGGTTCGAGCCGTGGCGCCGACCTTCTAGCATCAGCAGAAGCATTATTATTACTTCCTCCGTCGGAGGACCATTAGACCTGGATACGAACGAGACACTGTTTTTTGACATTTTTAGGCTATTTTACGAGATATGCGCTGCGTGTAGCGTCTACCTAGCGAATGTGCATTTGCCTAGTTACGCATAGGACCGATAAGCAGTAGCACCAGAATTCACTACAAAAGGACACCAGGTGGAGCGTGCGGGTCGGCTTCAAGCCCAAAAACAAACAGTATTTGTGGGTAAACGAAAGTTTCTGGAGAGCGTGCTTGGCGAATTACTTCCCCTCATGCAAGTTTTAGCAAGCTATCCACCGTCTGACTTCGCCGAAGCACAGTTGAAGATTCGAGTACATCACGATGGCAGGCACAAGACTGCGCTCCACATTCGCTCCAGCAAAACAGTCCATTTATGTTCCCTGTGGATTTGTGATTGTGCCTGCTGAACTGCATCGAGGCGTCACTCATCATTACTTGTAATTATTTTGCATTATTATTAGCAGTGAAAGTGGATGGCGCTTGTAGGTGGACACCGGTGTTCAGTCAGAATACACAGGGGCATTTGCAGCGCTTGGAGCATGCACTGCAACTACTACTCACAGTTTTCATGAAAACGATTAATTTTTAGGGCTTCGTATTTTCTCCGCAGGGTTCGAACCAGATCTAACGAAGATAAATGACGCTGAGTCGTGATTTGCATCCCTGCACACACTTACGGTAGTCGAAAATTTCCTCTGCCGCTGGTGGACCGCCGTGCCTTTATGCTCAGCTTCTGTTTCATTGCCCCTGCTTACGTAACCTAACATGGATGATAGTTCAGTTACAAATTCTCTTTTCTTTCACGCCTTCTGTTCTGCACTTCGCAGAATGTGCAGAATGTGCGCATTTTCACGAGCACAATACATCACCCGCCGCCATGACTGTACGAAGGTTCAACGCATCAAACTGAGAAACTGCAGGGATCTTGCTTCCTCCTGCCATGAGCAGTCGTTCTCTGGCCTCCTGAATTCATATTCCGGTGTCAGTCTGTTCGAGCACGATTCGTTGCAGATGTTTCAAGTCCGTGTCGCTTTACGGAGGCCTGCCAGTTGGGGCGATGCTTGGACATTAAACGCCTTCAATTCAGCTTGAGTGTTTATCCTCGAGGAGTACTGCAACCATATTTCGCAATTTATTCCAGCATTCGATTGTGTAGCATTATTATAGATGGATGCTTCTTTTACCCAGGACGCAAGGCGGTGCTCCGTGATCAGGCACCATGCATCGTAACACAAATTTAGTTCACTATACAAGCTAAACTAGATGCGATGCGGGCTGCCCCTAGTGTTGTTTTAGCAGCATGTAAGTTTCCGCATCAGAAGTCTTTCCGTTGCCTACTGATGCGAATCTAGCACCAATAGTACTCAAAAAGCAAGCTTCGGAAGTGGTGATTTTACTTAGAACTCCACAAAAGTTCGTTCTTCAAAATATCCAGAGACCCTGTGGGAAGCCCTTTCGTGATGAATGACCATCTTTTCTGTTGATACACAGCCATGTATACACATTTTCGTACAGCTAGTGCAGTTGATCATCGTTTATACGTGAAAACTAGCATACGTTGATATACCAACTGGCTACATTGAGGCTTGGAGTGACAACGGAAGGCGACAAACCACAGCTCGCCACTGCTTATCGGTCTGGGAGGGCTCTAGAAACCACTTATTTCTTACCTTCGTTATTTGACAGTATTATATCATGCCGTGTAATATGTGGCAAGAGCAAATCGAAGTTCTGATGAGGATATTATGGAGATATTCGTGCGCCCTCAGAGCCAGGTGGAATCGGATTGATTGGGTCTACGGGAGTATGTTGCCCACTCAACAAGCAGTAACTGCTAGTGTCTGCAGACATTGTTTCCATTAACAAACCTTGCTTTTCCTGCTGGCTGGCTTACTTCTCCGTATGTTGCGTTGGACTTAGCCAAACAGCCGTGCGGCCATGCCAAATGCCAAAGCAGTACTGCACACCACTCTGGTGTTCATGTGCGAGACCCCCTTATCTCGGTCTGCACCAGGCCAGCAATTATAGATCAACTTTTGAGTCGAGCTGCAGAGGCCTTGCACAGACACGCGTTGCACTGTGAAGCCCATTATTGCTGGACCAAAAGCGTAGACCCGTCCCTTGTTGCACCACTAGTGCTTTCCCTGCGTATCCATAGGGACAAAATGAGCTTCATGAGCCAACAAAGTAAGTCAGTGAGTGACTTGGAACTGCTATAGATGACCCCTTTGGTCATTGTCTCTTCCCTGCCCGCACAGGTGTTTGCAAGCAACGGCGCTGAGCAAACGGCGGCTCGTCGCGCGAACACATTGAGCAAATTATCGACGTATTTCCCGGAAAATTAGTTGCCTTGACAGCTTTAGGGGAGAATATTGCCCAAGTTATGATTTCGATGGAGGAGCCAAATCGCATGCTCTGCGCCGTCCAATGGACGTCAACAACCGCTCGCACGCAGGCGGTAACATGTATGTTTGGCCATGCCCTGCGCTGGAGCATTTCCTAGCTATCCCTATAGTGAAGAATGAAGAAAATTTACATAATTATGTGTACTGGAGGTGTTGTTTGACTCTCTACGTGGATCTTCCCGTGGGCCCCGTGAACAAGCACAGGTGGCGGAACGGCGCCTGGTAGCCGCTAGTGTACCAGCATGCCACCAATGGTCCATTCAGCAGACACCGACTCCCCGTCACTTTCGAGATTTGTTTAAATTAGTCTAAAACGGCAGAGGGTACTTAGTCAGCAGGGGCAGCAGAGACGGTGACTTGCTGTCCCGCGGTCCCATCTTCCCGCGTTTGCCGAGTCGGCTTGAAACGCTGGCTTCTCAAGCGCGTAGTTCCAAGGGGCACATCCACTTCCTTTCAGTGTCAGAAGTAAGCGGAATACAGCAGGCCTCCGTCCGCTTTTTTCCTAGCAGATGGTGCCCTCTGCATCCCTGCAGACGTCGATGCCTACAGGTAGGGCATCGTGACCGGGTTCCCTAAGGGAAGGAGAGACGCAGTACTTGCCCAACAGCAGTATTCAGAGCCTGAGGACATTCTATGGGTTCTTGCGTCATCAAGGTGTCATTCCAGATAGCCCTGGACGGAAGGCCTCTTTGGCAGCCCCAAGCGCAACGCAAAGCGCCAAGAGGCCCCATATAGGCTTCGCGCTGGAATAGCACCAATAGGGCCTGCTGCATGCCGCAAAGCAGTACTTAATGCTTCTTTGCCTTTTATCTGAAGGCGTTGAGTCCTGCGTAGGGCCATCAGGCGCCGCTCGCCGTCCATCGGGTTAACTGTCACATACATGAGGCTGCAACTTCCAGGATGGCACTCGTTAAGCAAGGAACGGCCAAGGGCCGTAAGCTCAGGCTGGCCGACGACGCCCTGGAAGGCACGAATCTAGAGCCGGAGTCAGTGGAAGAGAGCATCAGGGTCTGCACGCGTATGCGACCCCTGTTTCCAAAAGAGGTGAGATAGGTGTTTTGCTGGGAAGAGAGAGGAACAAACAAAGCAGCTGGACGCAGCACCGCAGTTTGTCTGTTTGACACGGAGTTGAGGGTTCTTCTTGGATATGCGATATTCAGGAGTGAGTATATCGATAGGGGGTGTATTTCAGGTGGAAAGCGGTCATATTAAGGCATGGAAGGTGGAACAGAAATCGATGCAGTTGATAGTGGAGCCTCCAACGCAGGCAGAGATTGAAGAAAGTCGTCAGGGAAAGACGTCCACATCTAAAAAGGTGGTGGAAAAGACGCAGGCGCAAAAGGATCAGGTGCAACGGTACTACGCTTTTGACAGGTGCTTCGATGACGAAGGTAGGCTTACAACAAAAGCCCTCTAGGAATTAGGCTCTTCTTACGCAAGAGTCTATTGAATGCGTAGGTAGACTTAGCAGTTGGCGTACAGCAATAAAACGGGGGTGCAGCAGCAGTAACACGCGGCGCTTGGGATGCGTGGCCTCGCAGCATGTTCAGCACCTCTTGCATTTGCACGTGATGTTTGCTTATGCAGCGGAGAATGATGAAGTGTTTGCCTATGTAGCACGAGACATCGTCTTGGACGCTTTTAAGGGGATCAATGGATGCGTCTTTGCCTACGGCCAAACTGGTGCTTTTGCCTATGGCATTCCTTCGATACGAGTTCCACTGCACACTGCATCCAGGAAAAATACAGGATTTTTTGTCTGCAGCGTTGGGGGCTAGCTATATATCTGGCTCCTTCACCTGTTGTACTATCTTCTTTCCTGCTGTTTGGGTTTTTGAGAATAGCTTGGACATGCATGTGGTCGTTGTTTGATGGGCTCTTTAGGCTCCGGGAAAACCCATTCAATTATGGGCGTCGCAGAAGATCCTGGCATTTTGCCGCGGTCTCTTGCAGAGTTTTTTGATTGCATGTCGGATTCCTCTCTGTTGAGGGAGGAAATGGAGGATGCTGCTGCTGAAAAAGAGGAAGACCCAGGGGAAACTCAACTTGCTACGATGGAGTCCCGATCAGAGGGCCTGGAGGAAGGCGAAAACCGAGTAGGCTTTCTTCTTCCCCTGGTTTTGTTGAGACGTTTGTACACTAGATACTGGAAGGGCTTTGCTTTGATGGAACGATGCAAGCGTTTGACTCTTAAGTAAAGGTTTTTGCACGTACTGCTTGCGTGCGGCGCATTTAAGGAATATCTCATGAGGGTGTCGTACGTCGAAATATACTTGGAGCGGGTGAACGACTTGCTGCAAGAAGGCCCTCGAGGAGGGGCTGTAGAAAACCTTGACGTCAAAGAAGACCCGAAGAAGGGATTTGTAGTGGTTGGACTGCATGAAGAAGCTGTTGCCTCTATGGAGGAAGTAATGAACCTTTTATCCAAGTGAGGCCGAAAGTATACGTAGAAGCGGCGTTTCCACAACCTGCCTGTTCCCACACAGAAGAATGACTATCCAGCAATCCCTCTCCGAGTGATACAGTTAAATCTCCGTTGTAGCTGAAGAGTTGCCGCATTGCTTCCTTATCAGTGGGTGAGACGCTTTTCTTTCAGCTTCTTTTTTTGTACTATACATGCGTGCTTTCTTCTTAGAGCTGAACAGCGGCGTCATTTTGCCAGGACGAATTTCAACGAGACTTCTTCAAGGTGGGTTTCTTCCCCTGTTGCGTCATGCATTTGCATTTGTCTAGCTGTTGTTTTCTTCTTTGACGCTTTGCAGGGGGGCGAACAATTCACCGTTGCGTTGGTTGCCTGCTGTCTGTGACAGATCCCATGTCGTTTTCTCGATAACACTAGAGTCCACAAGCACCTTTGAGGATGGAACAAATGTCAGCCGACGTGGAGAACTGAAGATAGTTGACCTAGCAGGCAACGAAAAGGCAGGCAGGGCTTCTGAAGGCGTGGAAAACGCCAAGCTTGTTCTCGAGGAGGGGAAGGCAATCAACAAGTCTCTTTTTCTTCTTTCGTATGTCTCAAGTTCCCCTTTAGAGCGCGTTTAGTGTTCCTTCTCCGACTGCTGATGGCGTTTGGTGGTAGGTTCCCCAGCAGGGATGAGACGGCTTCCAATTCTCACTCAGCATTGCTAACACGTTCATGAGATTGTCTTGTCCAGGGAGGTCATATCCAAGCTCTCGAAGCAGGCACAGCAAGGTGATGACAAGACCAAGAAGAAGGGGGAAAAGGAAGTGTACATTCCTTGGCGAGACTCGAAGCTCACTCGTCTTCTCCAGGTATGCTACTGTGGTGGACTCAGCCTCGGCAATTTTCCATTGGCTCGCATTCCCGATGAAAGCAAAACGGCATTCGGGGTGTGTGAAGTCCACAGCCCATTTTGTCTGTTGTTCCGCTTTGCTCAGAAAGCACTTGGAGGTAACAGCCGTGCTGCAGTGTTGGTGGCTGTCCACCCGTCGAGCCTCTACTTGGACACCTCTTTTTCAACCCTTCGCTTCGCAATGAAGTGCAAGGAAATCAAGAAGAAAGTCTGCGCAAATTTCTTTTCTCCAGAGCAGTCCCTTATTGCACAACAGAAGAAGTTAATTGCAATGTAAGGCAGTGGTTCTAGGAAGGCTCGTAGTATCCATGCCACCTCCGGTCAGACTGTTAATTGCTAGAAACTCCTAGGGTGCGCCATATTTTGCCTACGGTTACTTAACAAGTGTGAGCCAGTAACGTGACCCTTTCTGCCTTCCTAGTCACTGCATCGCTACTCAAATGGGTGGCGTATTCAGGCTTCATGCGCAGCTGAAAGAGTTGTCGGAGGGAGGGGTAGTTCCGGGTGTCAAGTCGCAAAGGAATGCGGAAAACGATGAACAAATTCAAATTCTAAAGGTACGCTGCCTCCTTTCAGCAATTAGGCTAGCGAAGAGGCAAGGAGATGCAACTTTTGACAGGTGCTGAGGCGCGCTGCATGGATATGCTTGTTGGATTCAGAGCGACTTGGAAAATAAAGTGGCAAAGTTCCAGCAGTTCATCATCAAGGCGACAGCTGCCCCAACGCAAGCGCCTCCTGGAGGGGGGCTGCAACGGGCACGTACCATGCGTCAGTAAGCCTGCTTCTACGTCAACGTAGTTCCAGTTCGGTCTCTGAAGTTGTTAAGTGCTCCAGTGTCTCTCGCCGAATGTTCTTTGGCTACATAGACCGTGTTCTCGCCAGGAGACCTTATGGCTCCTGTGTAACGGGCTAACTGCTGTCGTGCGTGATGCACTTCCTTGGTAGTTCTGTTGAGCGTAATCGAAGCGACTATGGAACTGCTGCTGTTTATACTCCTTCACAGGTCGTCTGCATTCAGAAGGATGGATACCCTGGCCGCAGCGCGCTATGGGTTGAGAGACATTGACGGACTGAACCAAGCCGACTCCGAGGATCCTGCTGTGAGGGCGTCTATGACTCATGCGCTGAGCTTGTTGGATCGTTTTGGTCAGGATATCAAAGGCGAAGTAAGGCAGCGACCCAAAGCTGTGTACGTGCCTAACACCACATTCACGCAGGCGCATGCTAGCTTGCATTGCGCGTATGAAACTGTGTGTTTCACTGCATTTGTGCTTTGAAGGGAGGTGGGAGTTTCCAGTCTTTGTCTAGTGGAGACAATTCTGGGGGGGCAGTTTTGCGGTTTGAGACCCTGGAGCATTCCATTGAGGGGGCGATACACGAACTTGAGTGTATAGATGAAAACCCTCTATCCGCGGGTGAAGAGTCTCTGACTTGCGAAGATTCATCGGCGAGTGACGTTTCCGATCATGAAGCACCACTGGAAGCTCACGCGGATGAAGGGGGGCCTCCTGAGCAACAGCCAGACGCAGGGATTAGTGAGCGCAAGCTCAAACCAACCAAAGTCATAGCTGCAGCTGCTAAGGCGAAGGCCACGCGGCCCAAAGGAGAGAAGAAACAGAAAGCGAAAACTGCGAAAGCTCCTAAAAAGGCGAAGCCATCCTCTCCTGTCAAGCAACACAGCGACGTATCGCCCGAGCCGCCTCCAGCCACAATTACCCCAGACGAGCCTGCGGAACAGGAGCGCGACAGTAGTGAGTCGCGGAAAATCAAGGCCTTAGTCCTTAAGCAAAAGGCAGAGAGGGAGAACTGGGCTGCTAGGCTTAGGAAGGCAAAAGAAATGGGGCTGGAAGTCATATCGAAGGTTCTTTTGTGAGTCGATGCATTAAAAAGCGTATCGGGCCGCAATGCCTAGCATTACCATGCCCTCATAGATGACGTATCAAAGAAACTGCCCAGCGTGTTATACATGTTTAGGCGGTGCACATTCGACTGCCCCGTTAGTGCATCGTTACTCTTTGTATTTCTTTCCTTTCAGCCGGATGCAAGATGAAAAGGAAGCGCTGGTCAAGTCTAGGAAGCGCACCGCAGAGTTGATGACCCAGATTCGTCATATATGTGCATTGATGCATCGGCTGGGGCTTTCAGTGCTCAGCACTGCCTCTGCACCAGGAAAAGGAAGGAACAATGAGTTGCCTGCTAGAGATCAAGACAGCGAGTCGCTTAAGTGTTTCCTCGATCGTGTGAAGAAGGAGAGGGATGCGGAGCCATTAAAACTTTCTCTAGGCATTGGTGACCCCGTGGGCCAGGCAGCAAAAGCCCAGGGCTTCCCTGATATTGATCAGATCCGCCCTTTAGCATGCGCTGCAATTAGTAATGCGTTGTCGTAAGTTCACTCATTTGAGACACGTCGCTCAAGAAGGGAGGATAAGGCCAGCTGCCAGCACCGAACGCGACGCCGTTCCGTTGTCAATCTTCGTCAACCATGATACAAGAAGTCTTCGTCCGGGCCGGAGAAGTTCATTTTTGGTAAGCCTGCCTTTGTGTGTGCTTCGTATAGACGTGTTATGCTGGCGGAGGTATTAGAAAGTACGCAAGACAACGGGGAAATTCAACGTACGGGGAGCGATTCAACTTCGCAGCCGCCTCTTATGGCATTAGCTGCTTCGGTTGCATCTTCGGGAATACCTGCTAAAAGTGAAGAAGTGCGCTTCCCCTCTGTCCCGTATGCTTTAAGAGTCGCGACAAGCACTGCCACGTAGGATCCTCCAACAGGGCAGCCAGTAGCTGTATCTACGCCCACGTTAAACCGTCCAGTTGCGAATTTTCGCTCAGGCAAATACTCCAAGGGTCCCACAAAATGAGGAGGAGGCGGTCAGTGCGTTGGAACTGATCTTCACTAAATCAGCTCCTACTGAGAGTAGCATGGCAACAGTCGACGCAGAGACGGCCCAAGTGCGTCCCCCTTTACATAAATAAATTATGTTTGCTTTAAGCCACTTCGCAGTGGCTCGAATGGCCAGCAGCGGCGGCCTCACCCACTGCGGTCTCGGCAAAACAGGGGGCTCCATTGACATCCTCCTCACAATGATTTGTATGTGGCTGCGTTTCAGATGGTGGAAGGCAAGAAGGAACAAACACTAGAGTCCATTTTGCAGATCCTCCCCCCATGGGAGCAGCATATGCTGGCGCTCCTGTACGAGCAGCAAGAAATGAGGAGGGCGCTCGGCCAACTTAGGGACCACTTTGTGCACAGGCTTAAGGAAATCCAAGTGTCAGTCAAGAAGGGACTGGTATGTCCAAGTCCTTTTGGCTGAAGAGAGACGGAAAGTTGCATGCGTCGTGCAATGAATCTTTTTGACTGCAGATACAGACAGATGCCTTAAGCAGGGCACTCAAACGCAATTCTGAATAGCTCACGTTTAATGCAGTATTTTATTTGCTGTTAGTGTGCGCTCAGCTGGAGAAGCTCGAGCTCACTGAGCACTGCGACAGAATGCTGGCTGCCCTATGGAGCTTCAAGGCAGAGCTAACCGACTCGAAGTCACCGAACCGCGTCGATGAAGACACAAATGCAAAGTTTGCAAAACTGATGGCCAAACTTGAGGAGCTTTCAATTCGCCTTGCTGAGCGGGACATCGACTACAAGTTACTCTCCGGTACGGTTCTTTGATACGCCCTACACTAGAACTCTGGCGGGAACGCCCATAGTGATGTATCCTATAGCTGTTTTGTCTGAACACTCAAACGATACATGCTTGTTCTTTATTTGGACAGAGGATTACTTGGCTGTCAAGCAGGAGAACGCAACTTTGCAAGAAACGACACGGAGGCTTAAGGAGGAGAACAGAAGCCTACTTATGATACCTAAGACAATGACAAATTGGGAGGAGCTAAAGGGCTATGATGATGTGGTACGGCACGTGTGTAGGCCGAAACCCATACTCGACCGAACAGCTTTGAGAACTGCTCATGGGAAAATGGTATGCCTTGAGAGTAGGAATCATCTATCTGATTACGCTTCTTTCAGGAGAAGAGAGCTTTGGCAAGAGACGTCCAAATGCTGCAGGGCTATGCCTCGCATTTGCGCATGAAGCTCGAGGAAGGCCGTGCTGTTGAGCTTGACGTGCGACGACTGAACCAGGCGCTCTACATGGAGCTTCTTGCTGCAAACACGACAATAGCGGATCTGCAGGATCAGATAAAATTCTACACGAGCGTAGACAGAAGAGAAGCGACGCTTCTAGAGGTCAGTAGTGTAGTGTTGAACCGCAGCCCAATATTTAGTTCATTTAGTCGTCGACATAGTCAGGAATCCTGGTCAGTTAATTGCACCCTATTTGGGACTGCTCGTACTTGTACAGGAGCAATTAGCTGCAGCGAATGAGGCGGAGGCGGAAAAGAGTGACAGAATTCGAGACCTGGAGGAGGAAGTTGCGACGTTAAAAGAGCAGCTTGCTGCAGCACTGTCCAAGCCGGAAGCTGAGGAAGCTGAAGTGGAACTGCCTGTTGAACCCGTAGAAGTGTCGGCTGAAACCGAACAACAGGGACCGACCAGACGCTCGGTGAAGAAGAGTGCGCTAACGGCGAACGCCAAGGCAAAGCCAAAAGCTACTTCCAGAGGTCTGTCGCATGCCTTTGTGCACTGTTTTTGCAATTGGATGCGTGATGCCCAAGAACAGAAATAGAGCGTGGTTTTTGCTGCGCTGCCGTTGCACCTGAAGCTGGATTTGTTAAACCCAGTAAGAGTGTGCGCCTTTGCCCGTTAATCGGCTCAGTGAGGAAGCTAGAGGCGTCGTTTGTTGCCTCTTTCAGGTCCTTCCATGGCTGTGACTCAAGCTGCCGCCATTTCGCCGGCAAAGCAAAAGTCCCTAGGAAAGCGCAGCATCACGACTTCAGCTGGAGTAGATCGGGGGTCGCTGAAGCGCGTACCGCGTGCCCCATCAAGAACGAGCATCGCGAAGCCAGAAAAGCCTACTTCCGCAAAGGGCGGAGAGGGCGTGAGACTTGTCAGGGTTGTTGAACCAGAAGGCCACTCTAGCTCGACACCCACTTCGAAGGCTACCTCCTCTGTGCAGCCCCCACAATCCCTTTCCAAGACAGTTTCAATCAGTCTCCCAGCCGAAGAGTCCCACGCTACCCCAGATGCTAATAGCTCGACCGCCGAAGCACCGACAAAAGTAACAGGAAGGGCTCCAGCTTTCACAGGTGACCCGCGCAATAAGGGGCTAACTAACATGATGGCTGCTCTAAGCGGGCGGAGGCGCAAAGGGGGTGGCATTTGAAGAACAGAGGCTCTACGCTTGCCACTCACAGAAACGCATTGCCTGATGAACTAACGCCGCTGGGTTCCTACACAAGTATTGCTAGTTACGGTGAAGCGCTTGCTAAGCTGAGTTTGCAACGAAGCCGGTTGCTCTACACACCAGTTGAGCAACCCAATTGTTACGACTGGTAGTTCCCAGTCATCGTTTGCTAGACATCGCCACACCGAAGAGGATATTTTCTAGCCTGTTCAAGGCAGCCCTAATAGGCAAGATATCCGCCTTGCCGGCTCCGCGTGAGATGTAGAGCACGCGAGCCTTGCCAGGCGTTCGGAGGAAGTCTTCTTTTATTATTAGCTGGTGGGGGATTCCCACAAGATCTGCATGCGACTGCATTTGACGAAGAGTGAGGCCATGCCGGTCGTCCAAGACAACGTCCGCAGGCCCCCCTGCTTTTGCGGCAGTCTTCTGCAGAATTCTGAACAAGGCTTTGCCTAGGCGGGCCGCCCATTGGCCATCATTCCAGCGCGCGGCAGGCTGAGGCAGAACTGCAACACAGAAGGGCGCCACTTGGGGTGGAAATAATAGGCCTTTTGAATCTTGATGCTGTAGTGCCAAATGAGCAAGAAGTCGAGAAACTCCAAGTCCATAGCTGTTCATCAGGGGCATCCTTAATGCACCCCGAGAATCCGTGAAACGGGCACGTGCTTCTTGGCAATACGTTTCGGGTAGCTGAAAGCAGTGTCCAACCTCCAAACTCGTGCAGCTCTGGGGCATCTCTGGCCCAACAGCGGGAGAGCTGTCTCTGCTTTTCTCCGGCCGATCCAGCCCCGCTACTGCACGGTCACTCCCAAGACTGCTGTACACCTGCAGCACTCGCAGGAAAGAATGTAATCTCCATTATCACTACTGTGAATGCGCAATAAAGAACGGGTAAGCGATGCCATACGCATTCCTCGACAAATTCAGTTATAAAGGGTTTCTCACGTGGTATTCATGGCTGCAGGGGCCCCCCATTGCACCAGAGTCCGCTCGAACTCTGTGAACCGGCCCTGTTCCCACCCGAGTGAGTATCCGCCTGAAACATTCATCCATTTTCTCGTAAGTAGCCTCTCTGCACATTGCGTCTTGGTGAAAAGAATAGACTTCTAGCATGACAAATTCACGAGCGCGGAGGCACCCTGCCCTTGGGCGGGCTTCATCTCGGAACTTTGGACCTATCTGGTAGAAAATCTGGGGCAAATCCCTATGGCTTCGGATGTTGCTAGCCACCAGCCACGCCGCCGCTTCCTCGGAAGTTGGGGGCAGGAAGAACTGCCGGCCACGACGATCTTGTAGTCTGTAGAGAGATGGCCCAAACGAGCGTATTCGCTGCGGAAAACAGCAACAGACGAATTACAGATACTTTCACAATTGAGCTTTCCGTCCCCACGAATAGGAAATGATCGTGTAAATTCGGAAAGCAATTAGTTGAGAAGTGCGCCATGGGGCTGATAAGATTGCAATGCTGTGACACCAGCAATGGCAGGACTCACGTCTGAGTTCTGCAGCCAGTGTATCGGCATAATGTTAGGCAAAGATAACGGTGAGGCCATTCCTGCAAGTTCTTGGTGACACACAGCCTCAATCTTCTTGAGCACACGGAACCCCAACGGTAATATGCAAAACATGCCGGAAGACGTAGCCTGCACCAAACGGGCCTTCTCGAGCAACTGCCCCGCAGCAGCAGCAGCAGTAGCGTTCCTGTCGTCAGCAGGCGTGGAAGCTGTTGAGCCGTTGCCCCTCTCCACAGCCGGTGCCGCTGAACTGCGCTTGAATTCTGAGAGAATGCATGAGGCCGAGTCCCTAGCTGAGAAATCCTCTACACAAGGCGTGAGTCGTTCGTCGTATGAAGCTGTGCTGGATCCCAACTCCGTATGTACGGCGCCCGGCATGACCACGTTGGTCGCCAGACAAGCGCGTGGCAAGCCACCGCAATAATACTCTGCGCCTGTAGGCCCCTCGTTCAAACCAAGCGCGAAAACAGAGCCATTGCGGCGGAAGCTTGCCTTAAACCTAATAACTAGCGATGCAGGGGCTGCCAGGATCCTCCGTAGACGGCGCTCACAACCAAGGTTGCGTCCAATACGCTGACAGCGCGCATCGTTTCTGAGAAACGGGGCAGAGGGCAGCCAGTTCACAAACCCCAGTGAGATCGGAACCTGCCCATCCTGTGCGCAAGGAACTTGAGATGCCGCTGCAAGAGAATGGCAGCGGCGGGGAGAGCAGGGTATAGCAAGCTTAAGGCAAGGAGTCAGCAATTCAGGCACGTCGGTTTTCGAGGTGCACGTGGCAACGAGCGATTGCCCCAGCGCCTCAACAGTAAGCAGCAGGAAAAATAATTTACTCCATGGAAGAAGCTTTGCAGAGGTACAAGAAGACCAACGGATGGATGACTTCACCATCCTTGCCTGCGGCACTGTAGAGGTGACCACTGCTACTCTCCATGGTAGAAGACGCTTGTTAAGCGCTCATGCGCTGCCTGGCACAAAACCCTCAGCAGCTAAGGCGCTTTTGTGGTTTTGATGATGAATGTCCCAGGCTGAGGTGAAGAGATCCGGCTGCCACAGCCAGTATACCGTGCAGTTGCCCCTCCGTCGAGGGCAAAGGCCATGCAAACCAATATGCCAAAGACATCCTGTGAAAAGCATAAAATTATTATTAGTAAACTGTCCCTGGTAAGAACTGATTTGGGGTTCAAGATGGAAAGTGGAGGCTAGTCCCTGGAGCGTTATTGACTCCTGTTCTGAACGTGGGTCAATTGTATGCTGACCGCATGCAGCAGACCATCCCAAGGCATATGTACTGTTTACAAGGAATCTGCCATAAAATTTTAAAACCTTGGTTGTTTCTGGCTGCAATCGATATTGGGTGCCACAGAGGAAGGCCCGCGCCCCCCAGCAGACGCCCCCCAGCAGACGCGGCGATTTTGGTTTTGTACTGCGGCTCCCACAGATGCTTCGCTGACACCCATGGAATAAACGATTCTCTGGGAACAAATGCCCGCAAGACCAGCGAGGATCGCTTTCTTCCACCTCGATCTGGGCGTTGGTGGCGCAGAGCAACTCGTTTTGCAAACTGCCATTCAAACGCACACGGTCATTGTGGACTCAAGGCGCTTGCCGTGTACAGTCGATATGTTTACCTCTTACTACGATAAACGTAGATCTCTCGAAGCATCAAGAGACCGTGAGCACTGCCATGGTGCAAGCAGACTTTACTTGTTCCCAAGACAAAGGGGGGAGGCACAGGATGAAGGCATTGGGCCCTCTCTTCAAGGCAGTCTACTTAGACTGTTTGCTGGGGGCCGTCTTCACACCTGATGCGGGAAGGCCCTGCAGTCAAATTGCACCAATCCCTTCAGATATGGGTAGAACTGCTTGTTGCGTATTTAGGACCGTAGCCCATAGCCATGAAGCATGAGCCCTGTGTGCCATTTTCAGCGAGACTAAATATACACGTGTTTGGATCGTTTTTGCCGCATGCGGTTTTGGGGCGGTTTCGCATCGCTTGCTCTATCTTGCGTATGCTCTACCTTGTACTTGCGGCCATAGTCACAGGTGGGTGACGGACAGCCGCTCGCGCTCTTCCTCAAAAGAGCTACCGAGCAAGTGACTTAATGCGCATAGTGTCTACTTCTTGCCACAGGATATGCGGGCTACGACCTTGTGTTTAATGACCAAGTGGCAGTAGTGAATCCTCTTCTCCGCCTGATTGGTAGGAAGGTGAGGCTAGGGCGTTGCTACAACTCCGTTATGCATGCAGCGAGAACTTCACATATTTGGCATACTAGCTATTTGGCGCGAGTCAGGAAGTGCGTTCCAGGGGTTGCAGGATTCATTTTTGTGTTCCTAACCACTGTGTGCACCAGGTCATTTTCTACGGTCATTTCCCTGACCTCTTACTTGCCAGCCGCCAGCCGTCGCTCCTGCGCCGCTTGTACCGCTACCCCTTCGATATGCTCGAATCCTTGACAACTGGTAAGGACACTGCGTGCCACTGACATAAGAGTGTACTTCTGTCCACAATTATTCATAAATTTTAAACGTGCATACAGGGGTGCATGTGGACAAGTTATATCGAGATTAATCCATCTGCAAAAGCGTGGGAAGACGTTTAGGCCGAATAACTACAGAATTTTTGACTTTCTGTCGCGCAGTGATTATGGAGTCAACTGCTGAATGTTTCCAAGCAGTTCACTGTGTAAGAACATATTGAACTCTTTCCCGTCAAGGGATCTCGGCAGTTTCTCTGGCTCACCTTGTTTCGACTTTGCTTGTGTTCCCGGAAGTGAAATGCTTTGCCATTATGCCTATAACACTGGATTGTGGTGTGTGCGGCCGTGCCTTTCCCAACGTTAGGACTGAATTTTGCCGCACAATAATTGCAGCACAACAGCTGGGGTGTCAATGCAGGGATGTGCGACTTGGTGCTGGTCAACTCCAAGTTCACCGCAGAAACATTCTCTGAAACATTCTCATCCTTCAGGTGCGAATCGCCTGAGCGCGTATTTCGCCACGTACACATTAGACGTATTCAACTGCGTCAATCTACAAGAGCACGTACTTCTGTTAGTCAAATGTTTGATTCCTATATAGCCTGCTCTAACTTGCAGGAAGGCCAAGCCCCGTGTTTTGTATCCGCCGATAAGCACGGAGGTGGAAGCATTCCGACTGCGCGGCGGTAATGGCGACTCCAATGTTTCCTTCAGTCAGCTAGAAGGGTAGGTGCGTGGACTGGGAGGACTTTCAAGTATTGGCTTCTACGGTGTAGGGCATAGTTTTTTTGAGCCCCTTGTAACTTGTTCAAGCCTAGATATCCAGAGAAGTGTCGTTTTCGAATATATGCGTTTACCATGCAAATACGTCCCGTTGTCGCAGATTTGACCTATCGGTACCCTTTGCGGTTTCGCTGAATCGCTTCGAAGAAAAGAAGAATGTCGAGCTTGCAATAAGGGCCGTGGCAAGTCTTCCGGGACACAGAAAGTGCAACATGGTTGTAGCAGGTGACTCGTCAACCCTTTACAATGTTTAAACCAGCTCGGGTTCATCGAGACTGCATGGTATTTTCTTGTGTGTAGACCCAAAAGCTTGCCGTGCGAAAGGGTGAAGAAACACTAACCAGATTCGGCGGCGCTATCTGTCTTCCTTAGAGTGCCACAAGGGGGTCTGACTACATGCTAAGCATGACAGGCAGAATCTCCTGATGGGGTAGAGCTCTTGTATTCTGTAGGAGGCTTCGACCCGCGTCTACCTGAATGCAAGGACTATTTCCAGCGACTCGTTAATCTTTCAAGGGAGCTCAAGTTTCGCATTCTCAATTGTGAAGATGCTGTGGATGCCAAGCAAGCGGTCCAAGACAGTGGCTTAGGAGAGCGTTGTATTCTTTTCCTGAAGAATGTACCGTTGCCGTTGAAGTTGTTCTTGCTGGAAAAGAGTGTTTGCGTACTTTATACCCCTCCTGAGGAGCACTTCGGAATTGTGAGTGATGCGAACTCTGTCGCGGCGGACCTTTGCCCCACGCCGCAGCAGGGTTCCGACGTCCTTGCAGTGGAGTTTGAACACTCTTGGCCCTTTAGGAGCTTTTCAATACGGCAAACCCTTCGACTTGAAAACGTGTACAGTGCAGTTTTATGTGAATGAGTATTCCGTGTGTTCTGTATCAGGTGCCTTGTGAAGCAATGTTCATCGGTAGCCTGCCCGTGGCGTGCAATAGCGGTGGACCCCGAGAAACCATTATCGACGGGGCAACAGTAAGTATGAGACTCTACGGAAATGCCAGCTGCGTCGTCTCACGCTTGCTTTCATGATGCTTGGGAGAGGAAAAGCAAAAGGCGCAGATCCACGTATGTACGTAAGTGTATACACGACGTGGCTATTCAGAGCTTCTTGGTGCAAGGCATGCATACTTTCTCCTTTGAACGCTTCTGTCGTGTACAGGGCTTCCTCTGCTCCCCAACACCGGAGGCCTTCTGTGCTGCTCTCGAACACATTTTGTTGCTTTCGTTGCAGAAACCTGAAGAGCTGGCTGTAAGAAGTTAATGCACAGGGCTACCTGCCACGGTTACCATATGCCACCATATCCCTGCATCGGTGCACACCAGCTGGCCGGCCAGTGCGTTTTCAAAATTGCCCTCAGGCCCTGCGTTCCAAAGCTCAAACACATGCAGCAAGTTGTTTCTCACCAGGTGTGTATCAGCTCACGTTTCCTCTCCATGCACTCCCCTGGTGCATTTTTCGAAGGGTCCCTCTGCCATAGTAGACAATGCTCATGGAAGAATCTTATCATTTTAGCTTGTACATTTGGTTCCCCGCAGATGTATTTCGCCGGTCCCTTAAAGCCATTATTGAAGACGTCACGGGAAACTGGGGTGAAAACTTGTTGGAACTTCCCAAGACACACTCCAGGCGAGATTTCACGCCTCAAAGGAAAGGGCGCATTGACTAGCCCTAGTAAAAGGCAGGGCTCTAACAACAAAGGCACAATTTTTTCAGCCAAGAGTTGCCTCTGAAGCCGACAAGTGCCGGACTCCATGCTTGTGTATTCACGGCTTAGCTTGAGCAGATTAAGGTCGGTGCCAAGCAAGGGTAGGCCTGGAGTGACGCTAAAATAAGGCGATTCAGGCATTTGTCTACTTGCGTTTTACCGCTCCTCCGTGTACTACCTGACCACAAAAGTCACGGGTCCAGTAGTCTGGGTGCTTCAAAATGCGTCCCCTACGACTGGGACAGACGCTGCGCCCGGCGGGAGCAAATCTAGAAAGGATGCTGGGCGCGCATGATCCACTGTGTATACAACCGCAGATTTGGCACCAGCTCGTCATGAATGGTATAATACAAAAAAAGACGTAGTCTATTATGCGAGACCTCGCACACCCAATACCCCAATTAGACGCTCATTGGAGCGTCTAAATTGGGGTACTGGCTGCTCTCCATTCATGCAACGGCGTGGCACCAACTGAACGCATATAGCAAGGCTGATGCAACATACTGTTTTCGCATATGCACCATATCTTTTCACTTTACGAAAAAGCGCAGGCAGCGCAATCACGGTGCCCCTAGACCAACTCATACGCCGCCCGCACATCGTCGACTGCTTTAGATACAGCAGGGACGGCTTCCAATAGCAAGAGCCGTACGTCGTAGAGAGCTTTGAGCCAGTCCGACAGTTTTGCCATAACTCCTTGTAGTTCTTTTTCTGCTTCTCCAGCGTCAGGTGGCCCCACCATTGGGATCCCTTCACCAGGTGCTGCAGGCTGGTCGTCGGGCTGCTGGGTAGGTTCCGCCATAGGTCCTTCGCCAAGCTCAAGGCGCATACGGACTGTTTCCATGTCCATCTGAAGCTTCGGGTCACGGAAAGGGTCCAGGATACACGTCTGCATCTCGTCCAGTACGCTATCCAAGCGAGAAGTCGCCTGGCTGTCAGATAGCGGACGCTGCAAAGCGTCTATAGCGTGGTCTATGCCTTTTGCGGGGGCCGCCAACTTGTCCGTCGCTCCCAAAAGGAGCGGGACGACTTCATCCACCACCGGCGACATTGAGTCTGAAGCACTGGGGCTGTTCAGTAGACCCAATGCTGCACTCCGCTTCTCCAGCGCTGCGCCAATGGCCCTGCCCAAGTCTGCAGAAATCGTCCTCAAGACGGACTGCAAAACCAAACTGCTGTCCACAGCATTGGTGTAGTGTGACTCATGAAGGCTATCTAAGTCCTCTGATTCAACAGAAACCTCAGCGCCGCCTCCCTGATTGCGTCCTTTCTTGAAGAATGGGAAAGGTGCGTTCGCTCTTGCACTCCATACAAAAAGCAATGCGGCAGCCGCTAAAGACGCGACTAACAGAATACCTGGGGGGAGGATGAACTGAAACCCATGACGGAGACGACTGGCTTCGGTGGACCATTCAACCAGCATAAAGGGCTCTTCATTCAGTTCCAGTGGAATGTTGTATGTCTTACTAGGCTTTTCGGCGACATACTCTACTGCCGGATATGCTGCACCCCCAAGCCGCTCATCAAAGTCATCACCGACAGTCTGGCCTAGAAGGAACAGAAGGGTAGCTGCGCTGAGCAACGGCCACCAGTGGAGCTGCGCTACAGTCCTCCTAAGTATCATTTCCCTTGTGACACGGCGCATTTGCATTGCCCTGGGCCATTTGGTCCCCTGATCCGTACATTAAAAGCTCCAGCTCTCTCTGCTAGTTCAGAAACGAGAGTTTATGGACCAGCTCAACCTTCATCTGCCACAAGAAAGCAGTTGAGCGAATCTCCGGAACTGCTCCACGGCATTCGAGGGTACACTGCCGAGCTTCCCGAAGTCGTGTAGCTGCTTCAGGCAGTTACAGGTGTCATTTCTACCAAAATTCCAAAGAAGAGTGAGAAGTTGCCTTCTTCATGAGTCAACATGAGTAGGTATTCTGGAAAGCCCCAAGTGGTCAAGGGTCAATCTGTCAGCCCCGTGGATCTCATGGGGGGTCCCATTAGAAGCTCCCAGGTACACATATATCATCTCATGCAGTTGTAGTTAGAACTACTGTGTAATTCATGCTAGGGTTGGTGAGGCTCCTGCCGGGGCAGACTATCCTCCATTGCCGTCCCCGGTGGATTCACGTGTCCCGCCGCCCTGGTCCAAACCCATCTGCATCACTATTTGCTTTCATACTTGTTCAAAGCACCTTTGCTTTTAATTTGGACACAATAGAGAGAGGAGTGTATCTGTGCGTGAGCTGTGTGAACAGAGACCCACTCGCTTGCTGCTGCAGTGCGCTCAATATGGCAACTCTGCGCACAATATCCGCTAAAGGATTGCCCTTTGATATTACCTGCCTCCAAATACCAGACATTCTGATCCACTAGAACGCCGTTGCCTATGGGTTCTCTCTAGATGGGGCTGGAGATAGCACGTAAACCCGTTCATGGCACCCGGTGAATTCCGCTTCAATGGAGTCGAACTCAGCTGCCAGTTCAGTACTTGTCACCCCCTTGGCAGTTGATGATGTGTTTCGTCATCGGACAGTCCCTGAGGTGCAGGAGCTGCTCCGGCAACTCCAGCTGCAGCAGGCAAACGACGTGGAGGAGTTGCGTTCCCTTTTAGGCGTCCGTTACCTTTCTTTTCTCGAGGGTCTGCCGGAGATTAACCGCATGCAACAGTCGGCTGAAGAGGCGTTAGAGGATGCTAGAGCTTTTGGCGCTGGCCTCCGCCGCCTTGCAAACGCTTTGGGCAGTGCTGCCGCCGAAGTGGGGGAGCAGCACTCGCGTGAGCACCAGCAGTTGCGCGTGGAGGAGGAGCTATCGCTGCAGAACAGCACTCCCCTAGATGACTTTCTCTTCTCCTGCGAAGTGGACGCCTCCCCACCCGTCGGTTACCCTCTTCCCCATCCAGATCAGAGGAATGAGCCAGCTTCCAGTTTTCGTGTTTACTCTTGCGTAAGGGAAGAACAAAGGGCTCTGCAGGGACGCGTAGATTCACTCCAATATTTGCAACAGCAGCTCCTACTGTTGCCTTCCCGAGTGTGGGAAGCCGCCAGATGCCAAAAGTTCCTCGGAGCGCTCCGCCTCATATACATTGAGGGGACCGAACAAGCGGCAGCCGCAAGAGCTGCAGTCCGTGAACTCCAGCAGCAGCACCAGCAGGGGCTGATACCAGCACAGCAGAGTTTAAAACGGCAGCTCTCAGGTTGCTGGGCTTTGGCCCAGCAGGCATCTCGCATGTTGCCCTCTCTCATTGCCTCTCTGCGTGCCCTCGCACTTCGTCAGCTGGCGTGTCCGGAATTATCACTTCCTGTGGTGGCAGATGCAGCTGCGGCAGCGACGCTCATCTACCTCTTGGAAAATAGGCGTGATGTGGGAGAGACTTGTCAGGAAGCAAGGAAAGTATTGAGCGAGTCAGCAGCGCGGTGGTTGCTTGGAGTTTTCTTTTCGGCACGTGCTCAGGCTTTGGAGTCCATCATGGCGAAAAAGGAAGATGGGAAGGCAGGAGCAATGCCTTCGCCGGCGCCTGCGGATCGTGAGGGAAGCGACGCTGACAGGCGCTCAGACACGATACGGCCAGCAGTTGACGCGGCAGAGTCTATGTTGGTGGCTTTTTCTGCTTCTTTAGAGGCGGCATTTTTCCTCTTCTCTCCCGAAACAGCAAAAAGCCTTGTTCCGGGGACTGCCATTATGTCACGCGAAGATATGCCAGCCACTTGTGGTGTGGCAGACACCTTTGCAGCGATGCGTGCGGCGGAGGGTGCATTCGACGATGCCAATGTGGTCGACTCTCCCGATATCTCATGGGCATTGCGTGCTCTGTCAGGGGTCTTTGGCGTGTTTGCCGTCCAACCATGTTGCCAGAACGGCAACGAAAGGGAGTGGGGTTGCCCGTGCTGCTGCGGAAGCAACAGTGCTCTGTGCCCCAGAGCGAGGGTGGCCTCCTTTGTTGAACAGTGGAGCGCTTCGTTAAGGGTGCAGCTATGTTGTCTTCCCGCAGAAGACCCTCGGCGAAGTCTCAGGGACATCCGCGTCTTCTGGCTAATGGTGGGCTTTCCGAAGCACCTGCCTTTGCTGCCACAGAAAGAGGAAAGTAGAGTGACCGAGCATGAGTAAATAGCCTGCTCTTACCTGTTTATTTGTGCGTGTTTTAGCTTATGGAAAAACTTAAAAGACGCGGTACCCGGTGGCAGCTTCCCGAAGCTCCGCTGTTTTTGGTCGGCGAAGCTCCTCTTAGCCATTCCCCCATTTCCAGTACATCTCCGCGAGAGCACGACTGGGCCCTTTGTGACAGACCTCTCTGCCCCTCCGTTTTGAAGCTGCTGAACGCCCTTGGGGCGTCGTGTAGCAACACCTGTATTTCCATCTCGGAGAGATGTGTGAGAGCGTTGCCGCTTCTCAGCTGCAGCACACTACACGACGGTATGTCCGAAAGGAAGCGCTGCCGGAGGTCTACCCATCTCGAACCGTAGCAGTGGGATTTTCCCCCCATTCGAGCAGCAGCAAGTGAATATCTTGTTGGTGCGCAGGGGGTTCTGGGGTATCTACGCCTTTAGAAGTTAAGGATGAGCGGTCCCAAAATGTCTTTGAGAAGGGCCTTTGGCATCATTTGGTAGACATGGCTGAGCTGTGTGGAGGGGCAGAAGACTCACAGGATCGCCGAGCTGCTCTTCCACTTCGCGCTGCCATCGCTGCCTCATTTCTTCAGTCTTTGGAGGAATGTACGGCTCCCCTGGCAGGTAGAGCTAGCGCTGCTGTGGCAACAACTGTTGATTCACGGTCTAGCGATGGATATACACAAGTTAAAGACACGTGTTCAGCACTTATCGTGGATGCTCGAAGAGTTGAGTGGCTGTTTCTTGCTTATCGCGAAGCAGACACCCCTACAAACAATGTACGTCATAATCTTAACTTACCTCCTCCTGTCAGCTCCATTTGTTCTGGCCGCATGTTAGTTGTTGCCCTGGGTGAATCAGATACATTCTGCTCTCCTTGAAATTGCTTCTGCAGGAGGAGAGTGTCGTTTCAATTGAATTATCCGGTGTCTGGGGACAAGCATTGGAGGTATGTCTCATGAATTGGGGAAAACTGCTATTTTCACAGGCAGATTCAGTAGTCTGTGAGTTTCAGAGGTCCATCTGGACGAGTGAGTCGTGGTTATCTCATCGGATCCCGATGCCATTCTGACTGTTTCAGGATCCGAGCGGGGATGCCTGTCGACGGAAACTTGCCTCATTCCTGGCCGACTGGATATCTTCGGGCTCTCATCCCCAAGGTGTTCCAGAGGGACGCTCTGCAAGCCCCAATAACGGAGGCAGGGCAGATGAGGGGGAATGCTCCGACGTTGTCCAAGCGATTGCCGCCGCCAGGACTGCTGCGCATTCTCTCCTTCCTACCCTTTGCTTCTCATCATTTATTGGTTACGCTGTTGGGTTTTGGCCATTTGTGAGGAATTTGGTGGGAGAGTTGCAGAAATCATGGCAGTGGCATAGAAAAGTATCGGCTACTGTGGCTTTTGAAGGTGAGCCTTTGATATTCCTGTTTTCTTGATTCCATGCCGGCAGTCATCCTGATGAGTTGCGCTGAGAGTTTATTACTTCTTAATTTTGTTCGTTGCTGTTGGAAGATAATACCACGCGCCTTTTCCTGCATTGCTTGTCGCAGGTGCCGGCTCGGCCGGAGCATCTGCTGTAGACATATCAGGCGGTGCCATGTCATTCTTGCTGGAGCTTAATCGGCACCTATCATCAGTTTCACGGAGCGTGAGGTGCGAAGTAGCAGCAGAGGTTGTCTTCTACCGCAGAGATTGGGTGTTGGCACGACACTCCTGAACTTTAATCACCGCGTAGGGCTCAGAACTTGTGCAGCCGAGCCCTGGTTGAATTATGCATCGAAAGCAAAGAACACTTTCATTCCTGTGTCTATGCTGTGTGGTTTTGATGCAGAGTGGAGAGGATATCAGACTCGCCGCTCTTGTCCTTTGCAATGAAAGCTGTCGCTGCACAAGCAGTCGCGGAGGCTGCTTCTGCTGCAGTTGCTGAGATAAAGGACCTGGATCACCAGCAGCGGCAGGAAGGGGAGAATGCTTCGTCATCTTCTCAGAGCCACTTGCTGCAGTTACTAGTTGACATCGAATTGGTAGCCGAGGCATTGGATGAGTCATCACCGCTACAGCAGGCATATGGGCCTTCTTGTGGCGTTGGTGCGCTACCCCAGGCGCTACAAATGGCAATAAAGGCCGGGCTAGGCGGCGCGCGATGCGCAGATCCGTTAAGGAAAGCAGCAGAGGATGGACGGCAGTGGCTGCAGCCATCTTTTGCAAAAGTGCTAAAGTGAGAGCGTACCCTTGTGCTGCGGCAAATGCTACTGCGACAGTTCGCAAGCAGCCTTTTGTTGCACGTCGGCTGTGCTCACCCCGGGTTCTTGCCGTATGGTGCGTGGCAAAATCTTCAGGAGACGATTGGAGACGGGATTCACAGCGTCCAACTCTCTCATTTGGGGGCTATCGCTTCCAAGCAGATCTGAATCAGGCCGCATCCCAAGTGCCCCGACTAGCAGTAGAGGCACCGGAAGCGCCTTCCAGCTGCCACTCCTTGAGCCGCGTGAACGGCTCTCCCTCTTACCTGTTGCTCCACTTCCAGGTGAGACTTGTGCGTAGACCGGGAGGTTGCGTTACTTAAATAGATATTTTAGAAGCCGCAAACGAATCAAACCTTGGCTGTTGCAACCTTGCTGGCTGCGAATAACAGTATACTGGTGTCAGATGTTGCGTCCCCCTGTATATTTGCGCAGCCTTCGAGATGTTCCTTCGTTCATCGTCTTACGAAAAATGCGACACAGCGGCACAACATAAGCCTGCGGCATGCAATGCAAAGGATGAAGGGGAGCAGCAGCATGCGCCAAAAGAGGCGCCAAAACAGCTACACAGGCTGAGGCTGGATGACGGTATGATTTTGGCACTTGGTTTAACAGAATATGTAGATTCAGCACGTTATGTGACACGCAAACTAGACGGGAATTTTAGTTTAATGAGTGCCTCTGGTTCCGGCGCCGCAAATGTGTGTACATGTTTTGTGCTCCTGTGCTACAAATCTTGTTCAATTTTACAATCTAGTTTCTGTTCTGACATTGCTGTGCTGCAGCGGTGGACTCTGTATCGCGCGGTTTGCAGTCTTGGCTGAAGCGTGGATCTTCTGATACCGACGGCTCAGGCCTTTTCCCATCGAGGTTAGGAGGCAGTGCTTCTTCGGGTGCAAGCAAGGGTGTTACAGCTGTTGCTGCGGCTGGCAGCGGACTAGCAGAGGCGTGGGCTAAGCAGGTAGGGCACGTCAGTGCTCTCATCGGCCACCACGTCGAATCAGTGCAGAGAGCTTCGCAGGCAGCAGGCTCTGTGCAGAGGAATGGAAAGCAAGTCTCTGCAAACGTACCAGCAAGCCTAGCTGCCGAATAGGCGCAAGGCTGACCCGCCTGCCCAGGCTGCTGTTTGTGATGACTGGCACCAATTGAGAGAGCTGGTGAACAGGAATCTAAATTCAAAAAAAATGGATACTCCGCGCAAAGAGCACTGGCCGGGGAACCCCCACATGAACCTCAGGAGCAGGCGGCCTTACAACTGCTAAGCTTACTGGAAATGCGAAGACCAGCTCGCCTTTGCAGTGTTCCAGGTGGACTGCACTCAAGTGATGCTAGAGACAGTCAGTCATTGGCATACACAGAATACACATATCCTTCATCTGATCAGCAAGTACTACACGGTACTAAATACCCGAATGCGCACTAGTTGATACGCTTGCCTACATACGAATCCCATGCGTCGGGCTCGCCGAGCTTGTGCTCCTAGTGCAGCAGAAGCCTCAGAAGGGGAAGGCCTTACAAACGCTTTGGCAGGATAGTTACGCCAGATGTGCCGTTTTTACGCTACACTTGACACTGGCTGTTGAAGCCGTATGGGTAAAATGCCCCCTTTCATTCACCCGCGGCGAACCTTCCAGAGCGTCTTCAGTGAAACGTGATCACAGCTTAGACTGTAAAAAAGAATGGCCTATTGTCTCAAATCTCCGGCTCGTGGTGGTCCAACAGACTGCGTATTACTGACTTCACTACAGAAGCCTTCAGTGCCCGTTCTGCACTGCTTCTGCTGGGGCAATCAGCAGATACGTTCGGTAGCACGACATCTTGCAGCAGGGTGACAAGCGCCTCACATATGTCGCTCATTGACCCAAGGCATTTGAAATACGCAACTGCGGACTGTTCCCAGTCTTCCCTTGCTGGCAAGGGTGAGGCTGCTGCTGTGGGGCAGCACAGAAGCTCAACGCAGATCTGCAAGAGCGTGGACAGAATGCACGAAGCAAAAACATGCCAGCGTAGCATACGTATTCCTCGCCAAATCATCTATGAGCATCAGAGGTGGCAGGATAACCATGCACGCTATTCAAGTCAGTGCCTGAGATCACTAGACTGGTGGGCGAGCAGAACTCAAAATTCAAAGCAGTGGCCAGCATACACTTCAGCTAAACTGCTAAACATCTTTGCCGTTCCAAACCATCTGGAAAAACGTACCTCTCGCAGGAATATGCCAAGCTTTCCCGACAGTCCCATGGGGCCTTGCTTGTCTCCTGCGTTGTCGAAGTTCAAGAAACGGACGATGCGCAAATCCGCAACACCTAGCCGGATCTGAGATACAAAAACATACCAAATGGTAACGTGAGATGTGCCTACGGCAGTCTGCCACGAGTCCTACCACAACCGTTATGATAATGCCGCGCTCAGCAACCAGCAACCCAGCTTGTCCTGTTGAGGGGGGGCATAGGACCACGGGCTGGTTGGTTTTCTGTACCATTGCTTCAGTTAGACAAAATAGCTTACCAGGAATGCAGTGAGCTTTGCCAGGTTAAGAAGTCGTCTTACAGAGAATCCGTGGGCCGCCGAAGCCTGAGCAGCTAGCCCCCTTTGTATGGTGCGGCGGTAGCGAGCCGCTCCTTTCTCGTACATCAGGAAGCACTTGCATGCATTATTGCCATATTGCACCGCTTGGCATCCACAAATGCCACATAGGCGAGAAAGCACCATTCCGTAGAATTGGTTGTAAAATTTTTCTTGCAAGCAGCACTGCATCGCGACAGCAACCGTCTGAGTTATCTGCAAAATGCACAGAGCGCGACGAGGGTACCCGATAATGAGTAATGGACCTTGAAACTGATTCAGCTTCTACGCAAACGTGATGGCTTCCTGTTTGCTCTGGAACGATAAAATCAAGTGGTGTAGCCTATGGTTTTCTGTGGGAACATGTAGGCGCTCCTTTACGCTGCTCTACTTGCATATTGCACTGACTGGTTGGAAACACTTACAATGGGTTTTTTCATTGACAGGTGGCCGGAGTTCTGCAACAGTTGAAGGGCATCGTCAGGACTGTTCGCTGTAACGAAACACTCGAACAGGCTCTGTTGCAGCTCGGTGTTGAACCTGCGTGCAAGCGCAGTTAACGAAGCGCCACACGACCAACCTACAGGGGAATATTTGACCAGTTATCTTTGGCTATCAGGACGCCTTGAATACCGCCCACAACAACAAACTGCATCGGTACCTTTTCTACTCCTTTCATACCTAAGAAGTGCTGCCTGTTTCCGTATGATGTTCGCCGCAGCTCCACTTGCGAATGCATCTGGAGCGCTCTCAAAGTCTCCTGTTTGCAAGTGCTGCCGTTGCTGGCAGTGTGCAGCGGCGGCCGCTTTTGTTGATAATTTTGGTCGTTGTCCTTTCTCTAGTTCTTCCCATGATCCATCTATCTGGTACTGCGTTGAGAGAAAGCTGCGACCGAAAACAGTGTTGCTGCTCAACCAGCGCCTGCACCCTCCACAGCATGCTAATGGCGAAAGTGGCTATGGGACAAGAATTCTGAATGCAATTCCGTGGCAGGTACAGACAGCTACGCCTTCTATCTATACCCGCCAAGCCCACTGAGGGTAGCCAACCTCAAGAGCTCTTATTGCAACTTCTCACCTCAGGGCAGTCTGCGATGACTTGATAAGCATCAACCTTCCCTTTTGCTTTCCAGCATTTAGGTCCTGCAACTCTATAAGTAAAGATCTCAGACGGCCTGTGGGCTCAGCAGCACGACACAGATTGGCTGCAGAACCGTTAAGCAATCTTCATTTTCCGGCAACAGCAGGTCGTAGTTGCTGCAAAGGCACTGTGCAGGTTGTAACGTCTTACCCGCCTCACCCATGTCCCCCTTTAAAACTGCAAGGTGTTGCGGACGGCTGTTGTCTTGGCGCTGCACAAGACATACAAGCTCTTTCCATGTGTTGGTGAAGAGCGACGTGTCGTCGTGACGAAGCTTTTCGCCTCCCAGTCGGAGCAGCAGAAGCAGTAGTTCTATTCGGAAGTCTGAAAGCTCGATATTGTGCTCATCCACGGCCTTGGAACCCCTCCGGAGTCCAGAAATTCGCCAGATCAGCTCCACAAACAGACGTGGTGAGACGAAGCCAAAATCATACAAACAGCAAACCCCCACAACAACATGGCGAGTTGCCAACGAAGCTGTGCCTCCCGCTGAAGCCTCTCGCTGCTCACTGCGTTGCTCCAAGGCCCTCGCAAAGTGGCTGGAGAAGCAGACAGCCAGCGATCCCAGAAAGTCTAGGCACAGCTGAGCAAGCGCAGATACTCGCATTGATTGACTTCGGTTGAGACTGCTCTGGACTTGCGGCTAGAAAAAGCTGCATGCGCAAAAGTGTTGAAATCAAGGCACTTTACAGAGAAGGTAGAAGAGTTCCTCATCCTACTCACTTCAATATCCCACATCTTCCCAAGAGCGCAGCACATAGCTATTCGGGTAGCAATAAGCGAATTAGTTGAGGAAGGGCTGTGTATACACGACTGCACCAGCTGGTCACACAAGACCCCCCGCACGCCGGCAGTATAGATCCTCAACAACTCAGTCGCCTCTTCCTTGTTCTCCAGCAAGCGTCGAAGCTGCAGCAAGACAACTCAAACCAAAACCAGTAACAGCACTTGGCTGTAAATCCCGTCCTCCGGGGGCTCACGCACGTTACCACCTACAGGAATTACAGGATTTACTCTCCGTTCGCTATAGATTCAAAGTGAGAGGCATTCTTTAGACAGCACCGAGTTTCTGTCACCCAAAGTCTCTCCAGCGGTCCACTACTCACGTCAGCAGCACTTCTCCGTATGACATGCAGCAACTGACGAAAAACAGGATCCACATTGCCTTCAGAAACCCGGTTTAAAGCGCGTATGACCTCAATCTTGACCTTTTCCAGAGCCACAGCACTTGCGGCAGTCTCGGGGCCCTCTGTAGCTGTTTGGCGGCGGTGCGGGGCCACGTAGACCCTAGAAACAGATACGCCATCCTTTGTTTTGTTCTGTCGCACGGCTGTTCTAACATCGGACTCAGTTTCCTCAACCTCCACGAGCCCGTCGCTAAATACATCAGAAACGCAAGTAGACCCTGAGAGTGAATTGGCAGTCCCTCCAGAGGATCTGTTTGTGTCTGCCGCAGCCGCTCCGATATCTTTCGCCTCTGTAGCGCATCAAATGAAAGGCGACAACAGATAATAGGCTCGAGACCAAGCCTCATGGTTCATGCAGCTCCACCAGTGGTCCCTGTCCATACGACTCCGCTGCCCTTTTTCTGCGCATTTCTTCCTGAGCTTGACGTTTTCTGCCTTCAAGAGGGCTCACCAACAGATTCGCAGAGTTCGGAGCCTTCCACCCCCTCAGCGCCAATACCCTGCGAAAAAGTGGCAAAAAGTCACCCTGCAACTGTTAACGGGCCAGTGGCACCATGCCATTCAAAAAAGCGTTGCTCCGTGAACGCTTATAAATACACCAAAATAGCTCGAACTGCGTACAAGAAGCCAGACAAAGTGAAGCTCACTAGGATATTGTCCAGCACATCCTGCAGCTCCAAGTCAAAGCCATCTGCCTCCAGCTCCTGCCTCAGTTTTCTTCTTCTCTTTTCTCGGGCTTCCTTCGTCTTCCCTGAGCCACTCCGGCTTATGCCAAGCCGTTCTTCAAGTATGTTTAACTCCTCACGGAGGGGGTCGTCGCTTTGCGGCTGCTCTTTTTCCTGGTTCGATCTCATTGCCGCAGTCGCAACGTCAACATATCCACTATCCGGCGACGCTCCATACCTTACGCGCCCATCACCAGACACTCCCACTTCCTTCCATGTACGGAGGAAGGCCTTCCTGGAGGAATCGCCACCTGCGGAGGCAGACAGCCCAGGGGCATGGAGACGGAGCCGCATCAAAAGGCTTGCGGTAAAAAACGGCACAAAATGATGCAAAATAATTGTAGTTGAACTTGAAAGTAAAATAGGTGTAGCATCCCTTTGTGTCTTCATAGCATGGAGATCCTGGGTTTAAACAAGCAAGTTTCATTCTATCTTCCTCCCAGAGTTCCAAGAGCTTTGGGTACTGGGGCGATTATGTCTTATTCGTGCATGCGCCTTGAATGGCTATGTGCTTTTATATAAACCAGTGAAACGCCTAACCCGTATCTAGTCCTCGGTTGTTGTGCATACAGCTTTCGTTCACTGGATAACTAGCCATACCCGGGCTTTTGCTACCATCCTGCAAAGTAAAGCCGCAGCAGCACCACAGGCCCTCAGCTCACAGAGGTCGGTTGAATCTCAACAAGCATGCCACAAAATATGTCAGAGGGAGGAATCCACAGCGTGGAACAATACCGCTGATTTCCTCGCAGTGAAGATGAGTTGCAGAGTCACTGGGAGCGCACCAAGATGTCTTGTAGCTCTAAGTCAAAACCATCCGCCTCCAGCTCGTTTCTCAGTTTGGCCCTTGCTCGGGATGTTTTTACAGAGTCCCTTTTGCTGCTCCTAATGCCTAATTTTCTCTCAAGTGTCCGCAATTCATGCTGCAGCGCATCATCGCCGGATTGTTGCTGTTTCCGTACCTTCCGCAAAGCTGTTGCCATTACATCTATACTGCCGATGTCGTGTATCGCTCCAGAAGCGGAATACTTAGCGTCTAGACTGTTAACGCCTTCTTCATCAGCCTCTGTGAGCGCAGCACTCTTCGATCCCCCCGCTCGTTGCTGCTGCGGCTGTTCTTCCTCTCCCTTTCCACTAATTCGCCGCTGAGTGGTCACAGCACCAATTTCGTATTGAATTCTCTGCCTCTTTCTTAGCTCTTGATGCTCCTTTTTCTGCTGACGTTGCTGCGCGCGCAGCTGTTTTCTCCGCTCTTTTCGCGACAGCTGGGGGCGTTGCGCTGGCTGGGCGTAGGTCTGCGATGCCAGATCCGTTCCTGCAGCACGTGAGCCACACAATCACCAATGCTTGCATGGACTGCCCAGGCATGGGACGTATGAGGAGCAGCCCGTGGCATACAGTGGAAAGCGTCAAGTTCAGACTTGCCAGATGAGGATTCAGCAGAATCGTATCCGGCAATACTGTTCTCCAGATCTGCAAGTTCCTTGCGCAGAGATAAGGGAATGCGCGTAGAGTTAAGGCTTCTCTGAAGTGACTCTGCTCGCCCTCCCCGCGTGCGATTTCTCACAAACCCCATTGCCAGGATGCTTGATTGGGTTGCAAGAGCCAGAAGATAGGATGTTCCAGCCTAGTGGGGCTGCCAATTGCCTATTTAAAGGAAAATGCAAATGGTTGTATACCGGAGGCTGGAAGGATAGCACGCGTGTTAGTAAGGAAGAATGTCGATCCGCAATGCGTGAACCCAGCATTTAGACAACCTTATGCACAGAAGTACGTAATACTATGAAATCTTTGAAGCAAAGCATTTAAATAGAGAGCAAGGGGGGCAGAAAAGTTTTTTTCTAATGCCACACCAAGTGAAACTTTCCTTCGTTGGGCCCCTCTGCATGCACCACGATGTGACACCGATTCCAAGTCTGCTCATCATGTTTTTCTCGTAGCGTCACGAAACCCGATCTATTTCCGTTCTAAACGGCGGGGAGTTGGGATATATCTTAGAACAAGCTTTGCTCCTCTCCCATTCTGTCCCATTTCCGGGTTTTTCTCCCGGCGTGAGCCCGCGAACACTCCGCAAGGCTTGCGTCTCCTCTGGCACGTAGCAGTGGTAGAGATCCTCGGTGTAAATCGGCTAGCAATGAGATGCGCCGCAGTAATAGAATGGCCTCCCTGTTGAAGTACATTACATGTGCTGGCACAACCAAGGGTGGGCTTGTGCTCTGAACGGTGTGTTCTGAACGATGCGGGGGAAGGCAGTTTCAAAGTGTGAGGGAAATTACAGCTGTGGTATTAAGGAATTCTCATGGGGAGGAATGTGCAATAGCATATTCGGAAGGCAGCAAAGTACTAAAGAGCCTGGTCGCGCGTGTTAGTGTTATTGAATGGCGTGAAATGCTGGTGTTGTGATGCATTCACCGGTCAAGGCAAATTTCCACGCGAAAAAAAACTGGAGAAGTTGGCCTTCTAGAGGTTCACGCGGCGAATGAAGAGACGTGCACGGGTATGCTAAGTTGTGTAGAGCTTCGGTAGCTTGATATTTGGGTTCGCGTCCTATCCGTGGTAGTTTTCTGTTGCTTGTTTTTGGAAGACCCCTGGATTGTGCCTCTACAGCAAGTGGCCTCGGCTGTGGCTCTAATTTACCGTGCTGTTGCTGGCAAATGCTGGTGGGTAAGTTTTTGAGAAAACCCAACCTGCCTGTGGAATGGTGACTGCAACGGAGATGCTGCTCAATACTTCCCGCAATAACGAAAAACCAGATGCGTTCTGCCACCCTTATTATCCAGACCTGCAGCGCCGCTCCAGACGGGATATACTAAGATTGCAACAAACCACTATCTTCCACGAGGATACAATGCCACGGCATCTGCAGTGTAGCCATGTGCAGTACAGTGTAGATCTGCTTTTCCAACAACGATATCTCATTTTGTTTCAGAAACGATTGTTGTGTCTTTGAAAGGCTCGGGTTGTACTTGAAACCCGAGCCTTTCAAAGGCACAACAATCGTGTCTGTCTGCGTTCTGGAAATCATCTGTTGCCGTAGTCCACCAGAGTCATGTTCTGCTAGGGTACTAACGGGGCATGCCATTATGTGCCTGTTTTTTTCCGGTTAGAAGATCGCAGCGAATGCTCAGTATGTTGGCACCAGGTCAGATGGGCATCAATGACAGTGCAGGACAGAAAAGCGATTAGGTTTAGTTTGTAGAATGTGGCGCGCACATTCCTCCTTCCTGTATCTACGGAGGACTTGTTCAGTTGCTTTGGAATTCCCATCAGTTTAGACACGACGTTATGGCAGGTTCGACGCACGTGAGCAGTTATGGATTTCAGGGCCATACGTATTGCCACTGCTCACCAGCACAATTCCAAGGTACTTAGTCCGCCAAGAAATATTTGTGAATGACTAGAGAGTACTAATTATCCCCTATTTCCATTTCTGGTGGCACCAGTGTGCCACCTAGATGAGAGAGGCGGACGGCCTGACGAGACTGTTCTATCTTAGCCGAGCACCAATGTGAGCTGGGAAGACAAAATACGCCAGATAATTGTCCCCCAAAAGCAGCTAACCTCACTTGCAGTCTCCGGGAATGCTGTGCAGAGGGTCACACGCTCCTGGAGTTGGTGCGCAGAGCCTGCAATTTACTGCTGCGCACGTTGCATCAATTCTTGCTCCAAGTCAACCGCACACATACGCCTGCAGAAGCGTTACTTCCACACATTCACTAAAACCGCATACAACTGCACAACTCACTTGGCCCTCAGTAGCAGTCCCGCATGCAAGTAGGAATTTGCGTACAAACCTCTGACAGACCAAGCTACAAGAGCAGGTCCAGCACATGACAGTATAGCCGTTGCGGAAAATCTGCCGCTTCGAAGCTAACTGGCCCACTTCCAACTAATTTCTTTATATTTTCCAGGTAAATATTTGATGGCCGGGGCTGTGTTGCTATATTTGGCGGGCTGAGCCTTCACCTAGTGCATGTCATGTTTATCCCGCTAGTTCACCCCCCTAAGCGTGGGAGACAGGCCGCTGCTGTTGCCTATATGGAAGATAAGTCTACTATCAATGTCTGCCGCCTAAAATTCGATATTTTGGAGCAGCAGATGAATTACTTGAGGGCCCTAATTACGTGCATCACTACAGTGGTTTTGCTGCCCAGTGGTTTGAGGGGCCAAGAGGGGTCGGTGGGGTCGATGGTGTTTCCCAAGTTTCAAACTCTAGTGTTTCTCAAGAACCCCCTCACACAAAATAGCCCTCTTTTGTCAAAAACCATATATTAAGAAAGCAATATGGGCTATATCTGTTCGACTTTCCCCCCTCAGCTTTGTGGATGACCAGTTGCGCAGGGAACACTTTCACGGGCTTCTTCTACAGCTTCTAGTTTAGGCAACTTCTCCTCACGCAAAGAAAGAGATTGCAGTTCTGGCCTTTCTGGCGTGTCTTAAATGAGGGAGCCAGGCAAGGGACACGCAACTGTTTTTCCGAAACGCCGTCGGCATGCGAATAGTGGCACGGTTGGCGTCTGCAACTGAGGCTGAGAGCCATAAGAATGCATCACACGTAGTGTAATTCATTGCAACAGATAAGCTCTGCTGCAGCAGTAAAAGTGCTTAGACCTCGAGGGGACTCAGGGGCTTCGGCCTATCTCTTTTTTGCGTTTGCCGGACTTTCAAATGAAGTCGGTTTCTTTCTTTGCATTTCCGCCTGTTGGGTCCAGGAGGGTCGTTTAGCGGTTCAGCTCGAGCCGAAGCGCATCGACGACTCGTGCTCGGAAGGCTCCACCACCTTTTCAACAGGGAGATTCAATTTCACAATGCGGAGGGTCCTCAACCCCAAACCGACGTAAGTCATTAATTCCTTTCCCCGCATGCAGAAAGTCAGCAGAATGGTATCCCGAAACCTAGTTTTACTGTGTTTCCATGCTTCCTGTCCGTAGGGAGGGGGATGTGGCTCACAGCCGAGGAGCAGAGTCCGCTGGGATGTCGCTGTGCTTGATTAGAGCTCCATTAATGCCTCTTCTGACGGTCGAGGCCGGGTCTTCTATTTTATTCAAGCCCTTCAAGAGCCCCCTAAAGGGACATCATCCAGGCAAGCCATGAAGGGCCGCTGATTTTCCATCCCAACATGTGGAGGGTGATGTTACGGCCCATGAAGTCACTGTGAATGGATACCCTTTTTTCAGAAGGGTATATTTCATCACATACCAGATAGTCCTTGAACGGAGAAGTAGAAGACATGTGTGAGCTCGCAGGATGCAGCGAAGAGTCCCTTCGCAAGACGTTGGGGATCCGCATGAAACGTTCTGCATGCTTCCTTACCAACACCAAGCAATTCAAGAGTCCTCCGCCTCTTTCTGCGGCAGCCGCACCTGAAGTCCCCGCTGGCGAGCCCCTTATTCTTTATGAACCCAAGGAAGTAGGCGAACGTAAAGTGGAAGTTGACCCCATGCTGACGAGGTAGGCCCATTGCTCTGAGAGACGGTCATCTGTAGGAAGCTCCTGCCAGTGCCGTAGCAACCAATTTTTTGGGGGGTACAGAGGGCGCTTGATTTTATGGACCGTGACATATTCTCCGGGGGGTTAGATTAGACTCGCCTGGAGCACCGTATGCTGCAGCTGCTTGGTACCGTTTGCCTAATGCGGGACGTAGGTGGCTCCGCGAACATCAGAGGGAGGGCGTGCGCTTTATATTTGAATGCCTAATGGGACTCAAGGAATTCGACGGCTGCGGCTGCATCCTTGCGGACGATATGGGGTTAGGAAAGACTTTACAAAGCATTACAATCCTCTGGACTCTTCTGGAGCAGGGAATTGACGTAGTACCAGGCAAGCCGACAGATGCATGAACCAGGTGCTTCAACGCAAGCTCAGTAGGTGCCTATATGCACGTAAATGTGTGCACGGAAAGAACAACTGGACAAGCTGAGTTTTAGGAAGTGCCGTGAGTACATTGACGTTGGCTTCAAGCCGGGGGTGGAGGGTTTGTGCATCTGATGTGTTATGGCCTTAGCTGCAAGGCGAGCCGTGGTAGTGTGTCCTGCATCCCTTGTTAACAACTGGGCCGCGGAGCTGCAGAAGTGGCTACAGGGGAGATGCCCATGCACTGCTGTAGCTGACAGCTGCAAAGACAAAGTTGTTTCGAAATTTGAAGGCTTCAAATATGATCGCCAGGTACGAGAACGCTGCCATTGCATGGCTGTCGTTGTACTCACTAGGGTAAGGGCCTGTAACATTGCGATAGACCGGTAGCTCGTTGAATTTTGGGTTGCGAACTCCAGTAGCTTCCAACTCGAAGCGTAGGGTGTAGGGTGTTAACGACTCACACGAGGCAGTTTGAGCCCTCAAGATTGCCCGCGTGAAACAGGAGATACCTTCCCTATGTGCTTGTAGGCTGGTCGGTTTTACCAGGCATCTATACAGTTCAGTTAAGGTCAGGTGCCGAAGCTTTCCGTTGCATGCTTGCTCGCAGTCTCGCGTGCTCATTGCAAGCTACGAAACATTCAGAGCTCACGCACATCGTGTTGCATCCGTCCCAATTGATCTTATAATCTGTGACGAAGCTCATCGTCTGAAAAACGACAAAACGAAGACATCCGTCGCTATTAGCCAGCTTCCTGCCAAGCGCCGACTCCTTCTCAGTGGAACTCCTATTCAAAATGACTTGGACGAGTTTTACTCCCTAGTGTCCCTCTGCAACCCCAGTGTTCTTGGTAAGGACTCTGTAACTGCTCGGCACGTTTCTAAGAAACGCCCCTTCAGGCTTGTCTGGCCTTTCTCGGAACATCAGCCAAAGCCGCCACTAGCGAAATACACCAGTCAGTGAAGCCGATGATTATACGCGATTGCGTCTGCGTATCATCGCCGTCATTAGATCTGCAGGGACATACAAAGGAAGAGAAACATCGTTTGCTGCGAGGACACGCGTTTGTTTAGGGGATGCACATACATTTCGTCGACGGTATGCTTCCCCTATTCTAGTTGGAAGAGAGCCTGGGGCGACGGATTTTGAACAGGAACTGGCAGCTGAAAGACTAGCGGAACTCTCTTCTATCACGAACCTTTTTATTCTTCGACGCACGAATGCCCTACTTGCAAAAGTACTGCCCCCCAAGGTCATCATCGTGAGTTGCTCTCGCCGTAACCTGCTGTGCACGAAACATGAGTGCGTAGCCCCGTGAGAAGGCGTGTAGGCGTCCTTAGTAGCACTCGTAGGAGCGCCGGCATTTGTGTTACCTGTATGAAACAGAATTTGTTCTGCAACCTCACGCCACTGCAAGTTGCCTTCTACCAAGAATTTCTGAAGTCCAAATGGTGAGTTAAGCTCGTCACCGGCAGCGGAAATGGCAGGCCTTGGTGCCGGGATCAATGAAAGGCATTGCACCTTTTGATGCCCCTTGGAACAATTAAGCTGTGCTACCTTGTGGGCCACACCTATTTTGAAAGCGATGTATTGTAGAATAGTCTAGCCCCCTGCTGGTGCTTTTGGCCTGATACTTAGCTGCAGAAAGCTCTTAGACGCAGATGGGGGCGGTGGATCTTCGGCTGTCACCGGGAGGGTCCTATCATCAATACAAGGACTGATGAAGCTTTGTAACCATCCCACACTTGTTAAAAACCAGTCTCTGCTCCTCACGGTAAGCGAATTTAACAGACGTAGTGTTGCATGCTATGCCTTTCACCCACTGTTGCCTCTGGAAATACCAATGCCTCTTCCTGAATGGTGCACTAAGGTGTTTCATGCTTGCGCATCCATCCGATCACAATTGCCTAATGCGCTTGTACATAGTTTTATTGCCTGCAGTATATTCATCCTCAGCCTGCATTTCCGAGAAGTGCTTAGAGGAACTTTGGGCACTGATCTACCTGTGACTGCAATAAGGAATGTACTTGTGTTACTGCTCCGCTGTCCCTGTCTTCTGAAGGGATTCGAGAAGTGCGCAAAGCTCTTTGATGAGCTAGATATAGAGGGCACAAAGGCCCGTGTTCGGTCAATCCGGCCCGATATGTCTGGAAAGATGCTGCTTCTTGCAAGGCGAGTGCTCAGTTTGTGCCATTTTCCCCTCCACATTACACGAGCGTCAATGCTCTAGTGTATATGGCAGAGTGACAAAGGAACGCCTGCACACTGTTGCGGGCGGTCTGCAGACTGCAAGCCAAGCAAGCCCTACCACCCTTACGATGCTTGTGTGTGTCAGTGTTCTTCTCTACCGTCAGTATAGTATGGTGCAAGTGTGCATGCCCGGCTCCCGTGGCATTGGTGTTGGTGCCAGTGAGTTCAACTATTTTGCAGTTTGCGCGGTTTGTTTCCACCAGATTACTGCATGCCATTCGCGTGAATACGAGCGACAAGGTCGTCCTCATCAGTAACTACACGCAAACCCTCGACTTATTTGAGCGGCTGTGCAAGGATTCTGGATATCCTTGCGTTCGCCTGGACGGCTCGACATCTATTAAGAAGCGCCACGACCTTATCACCGTACGGCAGCTCCGTGGTGCTGTCTTCTGTATATTGTCTCCTCTCGGTGATTGGTATGCTTACCGCAGTGTTTTTACCCTTGCATGTGGACCGTACGTACGCAGAAGTTCAACGAACCTAGTGGCTCGGCAGCTACCAGCTTCGCGTTCTTGCTTAGCAGCAAGGCTGGGGGGTGTGGCGTTAATCTAGTGGGCGCCAACCGTCTCGTTCTTTTCGATCCAGACTGGAACCCGGCGAATGACAAGCAGGTATGCTTGCATTATCCAGGGAGAACTTTGTTGCCTAGGCAAGACAGCAGTCCTTCGCTCACTTGTTAGACTCAGGCTGCTAGAGCAAGTGGCCGAAGGTGATCCGCTGCACTGGGGACCGTGCGGATTATTGTGTTGCAAGGCTTTGGCTCGTGTTTGGAGAGACGGCCAGAAGAAGACGTGTTATATTTATCGACTTTTTAGCACGGGGACCATTGAAGAGAAGATCTACCAGGTTAGCTGACCTAATGCACAAAGCATTATGGCAAGTGGAATGCTACTAAACTGATGCAGTTTGCCGCGCAACTCCCATAAGGGACGCCGCTTGTATTGTGGACACCTTTTACAGAGGCAAATATGCAAAGACGGTCTGAGTGCCATGCTTGTCAGCGAAGGGGAAAACCAAATAAAGGACTCGTAAGCCATCGTTTTGCCCGCGTGACCCGCACCGCCGCCCCTGCATCTGCTTCGTTCGGCAGGCATTCGATCTCTGCATCACTCTGTTGGCGTGCAGGCTTTCGACCGACATAGTAAAAGACTTATTTCAGCTCCGCTCAACGCTATCTGATACGCACGACATGCTTCAATGTCAGCGCTGTAAACGTGAGGTTGCCCCCTGCCCGCTTACCTCGCTGCCACTGCTGAGTCCTGTGAAACCACACCTTTGAAATATGCAGCCGAGGCATTTACCTGTCCGGTGGAGGCGCAGTAGAAAATTTGCAAGGGCACTGCAAGCAGCTTGAGCTTGTCACTATGGACAAGCAGTTTTGGTTCTGCAAAGTTGTGAAGGCCGTGTGGAAGTACCATGCGCAGCTGATGAAGACAGTGAACCGCTGGGAATGGTCCCACAGCTCTCAGATGGCTTTGAAGAAGATGGTAAGAGAAAGCTAGAACCTCTTTTTTCACCAACGTCCCTTTCGTGTAGATGGTTAGAAAGAACTTGGTGGCTTTTGTCCCACGACCTAGCATCCCATCTTGAAAGATTGGGCAAGTTGATCATAGAACTGGACAGCACTGGAGAGCCATATGGGAAATGTTGGATTTTCTTTCTTCTAGTGGAGACTAAAAACGGTATACAGTTGGATAGGAGTTTACCGACTCTGCATAACGGATGGAATTGGGAATGTACCTTTGCGTTTTCTCTGCAGATCTCCTCACCTGGGCGCACCACGCGGATTTGAAGACAGTGCCTGATGCAATGCTGGTCAAGGCAATTGAGGCAGAGCAGGAGAATGCCCCAGAACATACAATGCTGGGACCAAGCATTTTCGAGGATGATAAAAGCTCCGGCAATCTGAAAGAGGCACCTGGCCATTTTCAACCGGTGTCATTCGCTATGTCTTGCAGGGTCGAATTTAATAGAGAGGCTGAAGAACATGTGGCACTCACTAAGGTGAGGATGTGGCACTGCGGCGTTAGTACCCAGTGGCTAACGTATGCTTTGAGCCCGATTGCACGTGCTTGGTTTTGCATGTAACACCAGATAAAAGTTCCTCAGCCGTGCTGGGATAGTTCTCGCATTACGCAGGGCACTAAAGGCGAACCTCAGATCATGCAACGGCGCATCGCATGCTAATAACTCGCAAGCACTTGCATGAGATGGTTGTGACTTTCGCAGGCAAATGCGAGTCAAGTACCCACGCTGAAGAAGAAGAAGAACGGAGATGGCTCTGGAGCAGCGGAGGCTAGGTCAAATTCAGCAGCATCAGCTCTTCTCGAGGCCGCTACGGGCCCAGCGGCGTCTGCGTGCTTAACGAATGCCCTCATTGCAAAGCCGGTTGAACGGAATAGTTCTGCAGCTTCGTCAGATGGCAGGGAGAACGCAGCTGGTGAAATATCCACAGCTTTGGGCCTAGCAGCAGCCCCTGCCGGAGAGCCCATCATTGATGATGGTAATGCCTCAGAACTTTCCAGCGCCAGTGAAGACACCACAACAAGTGAAGATGACACGCATACGGAGGACTCAGATGCGGTGATGGAAGATACCAGCGACAGCAGCTCCGATTAAACATACTTCTGCCGCTGTTACACGCGCCCGCGTCTTCCTTTTTGGCAGCACCTCCCGGGAACGGCACCCAGTAGTTTTTAGTAGGGAAGTCACGATACAACTCCTTTGGCATCAACAGTGTGCGGGGGTTTAAATGCAATTTCTTCAACAGTCTTCTTCTCAGGTTGCCCGGTTCCAGCGCACTGGGCGCATATACTGTAGGGCAAGAAAGACGAGCGGCGATTCTTAGCAACCTAGAATTCCTACAACAGCTGGCACTGTCGTGCTGAGACTAGCAACCGCATATTTGCCAGCTGAGTTGCTAAGTGCATGAGCTGCATTGTCGCTGCACGGATTTCTATTAGTTAGATCTAGAGAGCAGGAATGTATGCAACATGATTGTGTTGAATAAGCGCAGCGGTCGCGTAGACCACTGGTGCCACGCAGCATTCCACTTCAAAGGTGTGGAAGGCCCAGCAAGGGCAGCGTGTTGCGAGATTCAGCAGCCTTGCCCAAGAAGAGAGCGCAGGCAAGTAACAAGCTGAGTATGAAGGCATGATGACGCGGCAGCAACTCGTCAAGACCCATCTGAAGTGCATTATTACCTGGTCACCCCCATTCGTCATAGTTTTGGAAGTTGGCATTACAAAAGAACCCTCTAGACTGAGAAGATATTGCAAGCTTCTCTCCCTCTCAGAAACGAGCATTTACGACGCGCAGCCAGTAACCCATTGGGCTTATCGTAAGTGGTAGCATATTGTTGCACCACACTGCCCATCACCATCAGATGTTCTCAAGTCGCTCCAGAAATGGTGTTGTCCGTTTCCCGGTGCGGCAGAAGGATCAGCTCTGCCACTAAGAAATGACTTGGAGAGTAGGGTGCTGGCATCACAATGGCTGCCATGATGTGGCAGGGTCGTCAAAAGCAAGAGCGAAAATGTCTACTTGCTAGCATTACTCTCTGCTGGCTTTGTGGTAAACAATACTGACAACTCGACTGCGGGGAATCCTACCCGGTTGAGGCGCGCCTACTCATGCTGTCACTATCCAGTTATCGTCAACCACTTCAGAAAGATGGACGACTGGGCGTGCGACGGATTGGCAGTACGTTGCTTCTATGCAGTGAGAGAAGCACGCTCAACTCGACAAATCAACAACAGGGTGGCTCCACGCATGGAAAGAACTATAAAAAGAAGGGAAACTGTGGCAGGTGCGCATCGTAACATCGTAGACCTTGGGTTCACAGAAAAGGTCTGAATATGCAGTAGCCCGCCCAGCGGAGCAGCACAGAGCCGGGAAAGTCTTGAAAGTAGAGCTTTATAAGGAGAGGTAAGGAAGTTCTGGACAGGGCCGTCAAGAGCACATCGGCTCGTCCGTGTGAAATGGTTTTTGCGTTAAGTTGTGGGGCGAGGTTCTCCTTCGACGATCTCCAAGGCATGAAAACCTTCTAATGCGCACTTCGTTGTAACTCCCGTTAGAGCATCCTTGCCATATGGCGTTTCGTCGTCAAGTATTGCATGGCCAAATTGCGCATTCAAGTAGTGAGAAGCTCCTGAATGGCCCGCAAGTCAATGGCTGAAGCTCTCATCAGAAACGGTGACTGTAGAAAGTTGCCATCAGAAAGAGTACTGTAGTACAAGTGGCGGAGGGTACACAACACAATAATTAGCTGGATAGCCATATGTATCGGTTTCTTTCCAGTGCGCATGGTACCATTAGTACGAGGTGCATACTACCATTAGCATTATCTTTGCATAGCAGTGAGAGGGAAATTGTCCACTCTACTTTCAAGCTTTGGGAATAAATGATGCTCAAGCACTCCGTAGGGTGCAACAACTTCAGAGCCAGCATCTTTGCTTGCTGGCTTGTGCTCAATTATCACAGATGCCCCAAGGCAAGGCAGCATGATGGCCATTAAAGGAGGCGTTACCTGCAAGTGAACATAAAGAAGTCGAACTGTTCTGCACGACGGCCTCGCCCATTTACCGATAATTCGCTTAAGTGCTGTGAACTACTTTGAGGAGCCCTGCTCGCAGGTGGCTATCCTGCAGGAAGCTCCCTAATTTGAGAGAACCACGAAGTTCTTCGCAGACAGGCAGCTGGAAATGCCCTGCAAAACCTAGCTGTGGAGAATATACAATAGATGGCACATTTTGATCACTTATTAAAGGTTATACTGCACTATTTTCCAGTGAATGCTGAGTCCGTTTATTAAGTAGATTTCTTCGTGGCTGTCAAGCTGGGGGATACCTTAGCTGGAAGAAATTGGCAAATATTGCAGGTCTGGTTACCCCAAAAAGTAGGACGGCCTCCCTAACCCCCCACCGAACATTAGCGGCATTCGTCTGGAAGTGCAAATAAATCAAGGGCTCATTTCGCTCTCGAGCCAGGAAAAAGCCTAGCCCCGTACGTATTTCTGCCCTGCAAGGACTGACGGCTGGCTTCCTAGCCTAATAAAGTTGAGTGTCCCTCCAACCACTGTCCCTGATCGATGGAGGATATTATGACTCGAAGACCCCAGGCTAGCAAACAACTGCCACCATTCGCCGGCCAGAACTGTTCAGTGAATCTGTTCATCTAGCATGTTTTCTCATGTCATAGCTCCAATTCAAGCAATTCCACGGGCACGTTCCGAATCGCATTCTACCCGCTGGAACGACAGTTCCAACAGAAATGAACCAAGTGGCTAATGATCCTCCTGACCATAAATACCACCTGTAACTACTGCTGCCGCTGTACATCCTTCCTCATTCAAATCGTTCATCCTAATGAAAACAAGCCAATCCAATGCCGGTACAAAAGCTAGAAAAACTCCACTAGAATGCGCTAGACGACCGCGCTCAAAGCAGAAGCTCGCGCCGTAGATACGCCACTCCTTCAATTAATGTGTACTATTGCACACAGGTCCAAAAAAATTATCGTTGCCAAGACAATGCAGTGCACCGCTAGGCAGCACAGTCCGTGGCAAGCGGCACCGAATGCACCGCTGGGTAGCATAGTCCGTGGCCAGCGGCACCCAATTTTGGTGAGGTGGCGCTTACCGCGCGAGGCACAGAGCTATGGCAAAAACAGCAGCGAGCATCGCTGCTAACAAAATCCCCGTAATGAGTAGGATCAATGGTCCAAATATGACTATAAGCATCAGCGCAAGGATCGCACTTAACGCGTTGGCAAAGATTCTGCTCAGGCTAAACTCCCTCGACTTTGCACTCACGGCAGCATGCCTTGCGTCATCCATGCCGGGAGTTGCAATAATGAGATGAGAGTGCTCTGGCGTTCTCCTGAAAATGGACATTAACAGACTTACGGTCCAAACAGCCAAAAATGCACGACCCAAACCATCAGAAACGCCTTCGGCGACTGCACGGTGAGCTATGAAGATCCAACATATGATGAGGCCCAAAATCAACAGCTTCTGAATCCAAAATGCCTTGTCAGGCGGCTTGAGTTGCCTCTCTGTCATAGGCCTCACGACGTACGCTTCCGCGATCACCATGGACCGGGCACCATCTTCAGGAGGTCTCTGGGGGCTTGCTTGCTCCTCCACCATACCCTCCCGCACCGGCACGCTCTTAATGCTCGCAGGGAAAGGAAGACGACCTTCTGAGTAGCGAGATGGATGACCTTCAGGTATATGTAGAGGACTATCTGAGACCTCTTGGATGGGGTATGTCTCTCCGCTTTTCCCTAAAGAATAAAAATCCGAGACCTGGCTCAAGCCTAGTGGATGAGCTTCATCCGTGGAGGTCAGCTCCCCATATGCTGCATTGCTCCCAACAACAAGACTAGCCACTGTAACTAGGTACAAGCAGGTAGGGAAATATCTTCCTTTGCAGGGCTTGGAGCACATTTCCGTTGAAGGGAAGCAAAAGATTGCCGGTCTGGAGTAGTTCCGAGCTGTGATTCCACGGTTTGCAGGAATTTTTGTCCTACCCCTGGGCTTGAAGATGAACAAAATTGTAGGAAGACCGGAGAAGGGAAAGCTCTGCCGAGTTTGGCCTTATGATCTGAGCTCAGCATACACAGCTCAGTCTGAACGCGCTGACTGGCTGACCAACCAGCCGCCGACAAGGATGATCGATCACTCACCCTGAGTTGCACTGCCGTTTCCCTTGCTTTCTCAGTCAGCAGATGGTAAATGACTCGATTTTGTCATTTTAATGAGAGAAAAAAATGTCCCTGTCGCCGCGAAAATAATGTCGCCGTGAGAGTACCAACAGGCGCGCGTACCTCTTCGCCGCTAGGATCCTCTGGGGGGTTCCGGGATGACACGTCGAGTTCTGACTACACGTTCGTGGACAAGCCATTACTACTGCATAATTGCTATTGTAGTGTTAATTTTGACAGTATTAATCATATTTTCTACTATCGTTTTTCACAGAGGCTAACAGCCCCCACCAGTTGTTCGAATGCTCAGCCACCTATCTCCACTAGTCGTGCTTAGTACCGTATCCCTTTAGAGCTACGCCCTTCCCTAGATGTTTGAAAGCGCATCCCTCCAGTGGAACGCCTGTCCAGAATTAGCTAGCTCTTCTCGAACTTGTCGCCTTCGGGCTCCAAAGCGCTCCCAATCCTGCACCCTTTGTTACCCAAATCTGTCAGAATAGGTGCAAGCACTACGGTATATGTGCATTGCAGCCACTGCTTGCTGCTGGAGGCTCAGTATGGGTTTAAAAATTGAGCATGATGTTCGCACATGCATTATAAGTGGCTTGGAGGCATTTCTGTAGCAGTACATGCTTTGCTTGCAAACGGTGCTTTAGGGGAAGCCGAGCCTTTCCTATAGGAGTGTGCGTGATCTCTTTGAAGAGGAGAAATGCGTGTTAATATGGGTGGAGGTTGGCACCTTAGCGCCAAAGAAGCGTTTAACAATTCTCTACATTGTCACTGCACGCACCAAAATGGAGCTTGCGTATGCTTGCATCTGGGTTTGAATTGCAACGAAAATTGCGGCAAGGCGTGCTGAAACAAAGGAGAAACTGACATCTCTCCGTACCAGCATCAGCTGCTAGTGCCGCTGTGCCCACACTGCCTAGAAAATGGGTGGGAGTTTAGCTGCCTTGGGGGGATTCTGGCTTTTTTGTAGCTCACGACAATCCTCGGCTAAGAACACGGCCTCTCGCCACACATGAAAAGACCGAAAGGTTAAAAGGGGTAGGCGCATGCCGAAAACTCCACGTCCCCAGCAGGGCGATCTGATGTTTATCACTGCCTAGCCGTGGAGGCGCTTTGTCCAGAAAAAAGAGGGAAAATGTCTTCTGTACCCTCATTAAAATGTCTGTCACGGATTCGCATCTTTTTCTCCTTGAAAAATTGAGATTTATCAGCACCTACCCTTCGGCGGGGAGGGGACCAACGGCTGGACGCTCGTCGCACTGGAACGGCGCACCCGCCACCCATCCAACCGAAAACGTATCTATCAAGAAAATTATTTGTGAAAAATGTCTCAGCATGGGCCAACAGTCTAGATATGACAGTCGCGGGGATCCCTGCCAGGGACCCTCCTAACTGAAAAGCTACACATGATTAGTGGGAGGAAAAGCACGAGAGTTGTGGCTCTCTCTTTGCAGTGCAGCATTCTCAGCATTCTTACCGAAATACAGCCCATGCAAACCTGACAGGATGTGCTGTTACACAGGTTCGTCCCTGGGGAGGCGCGGGAACAAGCTGTGACAGAATCTGAAAAAATAAAGCATGGTACGAGACCGGTAGCGTGCTAGATCAAGAAGTTTCTATTTCTGATGATCTGCCTGAACCACGTCACCGCGAAACAATCTTGGGCATGGCGTGTGAGTCAATGGAAGCCGCATACCCGATTCTCAACAGCATGCTTGCTGAAGCACGCTCCCAACGCCCTACCGGTCAAGCACGTTGTTCATTAGTTGCTCTTGTATGTTTAACTTCTAGTTTTCATCGTGAATTGAATTCCTACTCCTTAGATATTTATGGGGCTGTGCTTCTTGTTAAAACCGACGGCGTTCGCTTGTGGTACCAACCGAAGCGAAGTGTATACCCATATTACGCTCCTCCTTCGCTTCGCCGTGAAAAACTAATTAGCTGATTAAGGCAATGTCAATGCAACGTTCCAACGGATTTGCATGGCCCACGACGATGTCCTTAGACGATGCGTACGGCGTTACTTATTCGGAATATCGTCAGCTTAAACTGGCGACGGTTTTCCATCCCGGCTTGTTGCAGAGTCTTCCTTACCAGGTAGTGGCTTGCTCTGCGGGCGCTGAAGGGAAAGTACGGAAATCCTGCACTCAAACAATTAGCTTCTTCGGGTTCAATGCACCTGTACCAGGCGTTGAACTAAATCAGGCAGCGATGGAGACTATTTCAACGTGGCCACTACTCCTGCACACTCATGCGGAAACCCAACAGTGCCTCAGCCTCGAGTCGTACTACCCCTACTTCCTCCCGGGATCTGCTGCGCCCTTATGCTTATCTAGGGGTGGCCATGAGCATAGAAGCCAGATGCCGAGTAGCGTGCAACGCTGGGTGGGCAATGCGAGACAGTACTTCCTTGGACGGGCAGAAATTGAGTTCGTCAAGAGGCTCACCAACCTTCTGAGGTGGTCTCAAGTACTTTCCGTATTTCTACGAGCATTGCTTCCTAATGACCGGAGCTAGCGATACAGGGATTGGTTGGTGCCATGCCCTCCCATCAAGCTGACAGGTTGGCTAGGACCCAAAGCAATCTCCCGCTATTCACTGCGTGTCGAGGAAAATATCGGGTTCTGGAGAACTAGCTGCAATTGTTCTGGTGAGATGCACAGCAATTTCGGCATTCTCGTAGTGTAGTCTTTTCCTTGTTCAAACTGATCATCGATCACTGACAAAGCTGGCGAAGGTCTTTCAGGCCTTTGATAACGATGTTTAGGTGGCGTAGGCGGCTGAACAGTGCTGCTTCACGGTACACGGCAAAACGTTTAAAGGGCAACAACAAAGTGTTATCTGGAGCACCCTCGAAACCCTAAAGATTAGGCTTCAGGCTGCGCAACTGCGATATGATGTAATGGTGCTTCTTCTCTAAGTTGAGCGCCTCTTTCTTTGTAGGGACTTATGCTTCCCAATCTTGTTTCGTATAGCACCGTTTAGCAAAGAGAGAGACAATGCCTTTGGTGGTCTTGGCGGGGTCAATACAGAAGCGCATCGGGTGTTCAGGTCCATCTGCTGGTGTACAAATAGGCCTTCAAACGAGGAGTAAGCCCTTTCTTTTCCGGCACTTCACCAGCGAAAGCCGAGGAATGCTCTGGGGCCCGGCTTGCTGCAGAACCTGCCTAGATCTGAACAAATTTTGGAAGATGTACCAGTGAACTTCATATCAAGTTCAACACCAGACAGACTCTCTGACAGCGCTCATGTTGCCGTGGATACACATCGCACAAATGCCCAGCTTATCCGTTCGCCTGATTCCGTTACAGCAGAAGCGTAGCCTGGTTATTTACGATGAATGCATGGAAACTTAGGGGGCTCCCGGTGAGGATCATGACTGAAGGGGATTCCAGCTTTCTTGTGCCTTCTGGAGCACGCCCATGCATAGTAAACGATCAGGGGCCTATCGGCCAAACGGGCTTTGTAAGCAGTATTTTTTGCCGGATTTGCCTCTCCAGACCCAGCAGAACCCACCACCTTGGTTTGATTTCCTCCCTTATTGGTAACGGCTATGCAAAAAAACATTGCACTTGTCGACCCCATGCTCCCTCGCCTCCCTAATTTACACGAGAACACACTGCCTAATAATCCGTTTTTGGATCTGGCAGTTGGCAACGAAAAATGCAGCGGCTGGTAGCGTAGGGCTACCAGCCGCTGCCTGCGTGGTATCGGAAATGCATGAAATAATCATAGGAACCATGAACAAGAGGCTGCGATAAAAGATGTCCGGCGGCCTGCTTTAAACGTGGTGACTTGTTCGTAGTGGATTCGCACACTCTGGAAAGGGCGTAGGAGTGCTAACCAGCAATGACAGTTTCGCGCGCGCTGGCAGGAACCTATTGATATTCGTTCTCGGGTTAACGCGCTTGCAAACACTTTACAACCTACTTAAAGCTTAGATATGTACTGAGTTGCTACTCAGTCCGGCCTTTCTACAGAGCCCATCTCATCGGTCCCCCGATCCTCAAAAATCGTGCTCAGCATTTAGCTGCTGAACGGCACCTGAGTAGTATTTGCTACTAGCTTCTGTTGGCGGCAGTTCCAGCGGCCAGCTGCAATGGATGTAGACTACTTTATTGCAATTTTTAAGTTGTATCGGCTAAATGGAACAATACGTTGTGAATCGCAGATGTGTAGGATGGGCTTTACAGCCGCTGAATCGAAGGGAGGTGCTTCTCCGTAAAGACGACAGGTTCCGCAAGTACTAGAGCTTCCCGGAGATGGCCAACAGTATACCCTTGTCAGATGCTAGTTCACGTAACTTATTGTTCTGCAGCAACATGCTCTATATACCCCGGGCGCGGCTTTTCATTGAAGGTCACCAATCTTGCTTTGGTCACTCGTGTAGATGAGCCTATTCGTAGCGAGATGTTGATGCTTTGGGGATTCAGAGGAGGCTGGATGCCTCCCATTGTGCTTGCGGCCCAGTGAACAATTGCAGCTGTTTGCCTTGCCCTTACAACAGTGCACACAACAACAGGCAGCAGAAATGCAAAGAACCAAGCAGATTAAACGCGCCCCAACCAGTTCAAGTGGAGCTGCTCTGATATGACGGGTTGTATAACTCACGAACGGGGAACGGAAAAATAACAATGCTGGGCCTCTCCGCCTTTCCCTCTGGTCCAAGAGATGACGAGACGCACCCGCACTAGCGTGGAGCCGGCTGTGTTTGCAAGCGGATGCTCGGACACCTACTAATTCTGCAGAATCAAGTAGGACAACTTTATATGGTTGAGCTTCTCCGAGTCTGATGCAATGCCCGGAAAAATTACCGGTGCCACGGCTACAACCCACGTGCACAGAAAAGGTGGCCTACGGGCGCCTGAGAGAGTTCAGTGCAACGTAGCGCAACCTAGGTGAAACTCGCAGGACTGTGAGCATCTATCGACAATCACAGTTTTCATGAACAATGCAAACTGTAAATCTCGGTAGAGCAGACAGTTTTGATTGTGCATGCTTCAAGGCTACACGGTTACGCTCCGTCGCTGAGAGCGACAAAGCCACATGGACCTTAGTTTCACGTACCGGAAAAGGCAAGTGCGATGGCTTATGCCCCTTTTAACATTTTCAACAAGAAGCTAGCTAGAAAGTTACGTTTTGAAGCTGTACACATCTGGATTGAGGGGCCGGCGGCAAGATTTGCCGCACGGAAGTTTTCGAACATCCCATGGCGAGGCGGTGCTAGGGCCCGTCAGGCGGTTGTCACCAAATGCTCCGATTGTCATTGAAAACTTCTTAGCGCACCATCCACATTCATTTAGCTTGATGAATCCATTTTCGTCGAAAATTGCAAAGTCAAGAAGTTTAGTATCGTATGCGCGCTTGTAGCGTCTGATGTCAAAACTCGCCGCTAAATTTTAGTCTGCCCATGCCTGCGCTCGGATGAGGATCTCAACTCAACTCATATCGCACTGACTTAAGTCCATGAGACACACCAGGGGCTTTTGCGGAACCCTCAAAGCACGAGATTGTGGGGACATTCGGCTGCAGCGAGCCACCGGTTACCTCATGAGGAAGGCATACTTTGCGCTCTCCTGGGACTCTACAACAATAGCATGTGGATGGTTGCGGCATTTTCATTGCTGAAATATTGCACTGTACTGTCTTGTCTATGGTTTCGAAGGACGCGTTTCTGAATCGCTTCCATCAAACACTGCACAGTTTCTGCACGACATAGTCAAATAGCCGTTTTCTTTGTACAGGATATTACACCGTGGAAGCCTGAGCAAGGAGGAGCTGTGAGAAGTGATGATGAGCAATATGCAGGATGTAGATGCCGACGCACACTTGCTTGAGGACGGCAGTGCAGCTGCAGAAACTGTAGACCTCAACAGCGTGTCTTCGTGGAAGGAAGCAGCCCAAAGGAGGAAATATATCCGAAACGCTCAGTACTTGTTGGTATTCAACTTGGGTGTGGGTCTCCTTCTTGGTTTAGTCGTGGCGTCTTTCTGCTTCAAGTGTGTTCGTCACCCCAAAATTCCGCAGCACTATCCACGCATCACCTTTTATGTAGAAACGAGCATTAAGGCGACCACCAAATTGTCGACTGCTGCGATCAGTGGTGCAAAATGGAAGGACGTGCGTGGAGTCTGCATGAGTTTACAGGCCTGGTCTGGGTTACCCTTGGATGCCGCACCGTCTTCAGCGTGTTTTCCTTCTTCTTTTTGCTTGGGAATTTCACCTTTTCTTCGTCGCCCCCCCCATCTGCTTGCTTTGGATGCTTAGCTCTGTGGGGAAGGCAAACCAAGGTGTGTGCCTTAAACACTATCCTGGGGGGTTGTGTGAACTGAACATCCCATGGTTCTGCTGAAGTCTACCGAAGTCTTCATCATAGCCTACTGTGCTTCCCGCTGCGTCTCTGCAGGCGCATCTAACGGCCGCGACTCAGTGTGCATCCTCCTTCTGGCAATATGTGAGTTTGGCTGCGGGGTCTGCGCGACTGCAATGAGCGCGTTCAGCATCTATACAGGAAAGGTACTTGCTCCGAGGGATGCTTCGAATGGGCTGATCACACTACTATCTTTCGGAATGGGAGCGTGTCTACTTTTCACCCTCTTTGGAAACCCGAAATTTCGCATTGCGAAGCGTATCAACAGCCGAGCAGTCCGGTAAGGCACGGGAGAAGGCGCTGGATGACCGCTCATCGGCTTTCCCAGGAGAAACCCAGTTCAGGTCGACTCAGGCGTCCCGCGGAATGCCCACCCCACCGTGCATATTATGTGGGGCGCGTGCCTCTGGCACCCGTTTGTTTTTTGAACATGTACCTGTAGTTGTGGGCATCCGCAGGTTGGAGGCAGAAATTTCTGTAACCGGAGCAATTTTAAATATGGCGTTAGCCCTCTCTGCTGCCTTGGCGTTCGCGCAGTCCAGCCTTCCCGGAAAGAAGTTGTCGGTGAGCGCATGAGGCCGTATAGCCTAATATATCATGACCATAATCGTCTGTAGAATAACGGAGAGCGCGCCACGTTGACCTGCTTTCGAGAGAAAAGCGTGCGTCACGGAGTGCTGCCTCGAGTGAGCAAGGAGTGGATAGTCTGCTGTGTTCTTATTCATTTGACCTTTGTGCGGTCGCAGGTAATTGGAGCGGCTGAGTACCCAATCATGTTCCTTGGTGCTTTGCTGTTGGTCAAGTCACTCACGCATCTGACAAGAGAACTCCTGTACCACCGAAAGGCAACGTCGCGAGATAGCATGGTGCACAGAAACTGACTTAGCCTGTGGCCAGTTGTGATTTTTTTTTGTGAGCAATTGACATCTCCAAAAGTTTAATACGACAGCTAACGAGGGCATGATACCGGATATTGGTGAAATTTGCCGTCGAGTGCCTTGGTTAAACTTCGCCAAACTAGCGTTTCTGAATGTTTACGGCTTGTGCCATTTCTACTGGTGGCTTCACTTTTGCGCTCAAAGCGGTAACTGTTAAGTCAGTTGCACAGTTACACTCAGTCGTATTTTCTACACGATTCCCACAATGGGTCTGTTCTTGCATGGCAACAGGAAACCATAGTCGCACAAGTCCAGCTGCTCATCGTCCTAAATCGAGCACCATATCAGCTAAAACCCGCCCAGCCCGTTGTGCTGGGGCATCGGTGCCAGTGCACTACATTGGTGTTGCGAGTATCTGCTTCCGTGCGATTGCACTACTTAAATCGTTTCGCCTCACCGACGGTTGGTGGGCCGTACCTTCACCATCGAATGCTGCTGCCGCCTATGAAGAGGAAACACTAGCCAGCATCGGGGGCACTGGAGGATGCTCATTCGTTTGTGCGCTGCGCAGTGTAGGGGCAGTCGTTGGCCTACTCTAGCTGTTAATCAAGAGCATGAATTTCAGCAACATCAAGCTCCCCAGGCTCTCGCTCCTCGCACAACGGCAGCGCGACTTCGCGCCGCGTTGGTGTCGGCGGCACAGCTACGTCCCGGTTCTCCATATGTGACCATAGTTCCCCTTGTGAAGTTCTTTGTCTGCGGATTCGCTGTCGCTTAAGCCTCCTTTGCTCCCTGTTTTGCTCATCCCATATGAATCTCTTGTCGTCTCGAGGAATCCTGTATCGGTGGACACACATGGTCTGGTCCTGTATCCAGTAACAATATATAGGGAGGTACGTACAGCTAGCATTGACTAGGTATCAAACCGTTGCGTGCGTATACTTCGTAATATCCTGTGATTTTGCTTTTCTGAAAGCATCATGAACGGAAGTACTGTTGTAGACAAGCCATAAGAGAGCTTCCTTGCCTGGTTCGCTCACCGATCCTGTAGAAGACGCAAAAAAACGCCTCCTGGTGTGCGACGGCGCCCGTCCTTGGTCAGCATCCCACCTTTGGATTCAAGTTGCTGTGGCAGCATAAACATATGCATATAGCAAATGCACAGTGCCAGCGCCACATGTGAGCTCTAGCTAATTATTCCAGTTCCGCACGTGCCCCTGCGTTTGCAAGAAAACTGCAGTTCCACTTACCAAAGTTTCCTCCAGTAGTTCTGCGCATTCTTCAACGCCCCTGCGGTGAATAGCACGCTCTAACAATGCAATATTCTTTTCCTTCAAGAGAGCGCACAACCGTACCAGGCAATCAATCTCCGACTCGTCTCGAAGTAGCTGGCGGACGCCATTTAAGATTTCAGCACGGATTTCGGCCTCCTCAGCGCCATCAGATTCGTAATTGCGGTGTATCTTATGAAACGAACTCCCCGTGATCAACAAATGGCTTCCGCGTTGCCGGCCAACAGCGGCTCCAGCTGTTTCATTCAGGTCTCTGCAAGTAGCCTCCTGAGGTACTGGGTCATTGCTTCCCCGGAGCTTCTGGATCCCCTTTTGATCACTTGATGCTTTCACACTGCACCCCCACAAGAGTGTTTCCCCTTCTGCTTCGTCGTCAGCATATGAGCGCTTCACGCCCCTCCAATATCCTTGATCGCCCCTGCTGGAACCAGCGTCCTTCAGTGCAACACAGTGTGCATTATCCGTCAGAACTGGGGGCCGTCGTACCACTGATATGCCAGTTTGGCGCCTGCGCTGGTGCATTCCCACAAAGGCTCGCCTTTCCGGCTGAAGTCTGTGTGAGGCTCCCAAAAGCGCCCGCCGACTGGTCAAGGCTGCCGGAGGGCCAGGCTGTCTACTGTCGTTTCTTGCGCGAAAGCTTCCAATACCCACTTCACTTGTATGTCTTTGCTCGGCTCCCCTCTTTCGCGGCCTTGACATCAGAATCAGGCAAGACTATGGATGTCCGAGTGGTGGAGAAGTAGCATGTAGCGGCGAGCACTTGGCGTTGGTCTGGGGCTCTAGTAAAAGGCTGAAGGCAACAACAGGTAAATAAGCATGTGAAAGCACGCTTAGCGGCTTAAGTATGTAGGAACTGGCCTCCGCGAGATACTAAGAAGGCACTTTTGGCTGTGTTTGGGGCCAGGATATGCCGTCGTACACAGCTTGGCAACGCGCGTGGCAGGGGAGTCCAGCAATGTTACTTAAATAATTCTAAATCTAAGAAGCGTTTTGGATTTTCATAGTGTTTTTGTAAGAGTCTTGGGCCTAGTTATGTAGCTTGTGCATCAGGGCGATTAGTTGTAGTAAGAAAGTACTGTGTTGGGTGCATGCCTCGTACGTGCGCGGGCTGCCAAGATAATTTATGGGCAATAATGCTCCTCTAGATGAATTCAAACCTCGCTTTTGCTGCTGAGGTGACAGAGGAGGAATGAAGGTGAAGGCCTTCGACTCCCCCCTGCTTCCTTGTACGGAGAACTCGGCTGATGCTCTCAGCAGGGTATATCGACACGTGCGTGCATATATATATATATATATATACGCGTACGTTGGCTTCTAAAAGCCAAACGAATGCTTCTGAATTGGCTAAGGTGTTGTTGCAAGCATCGAGCGATGTTGAGGGGATGTTTGCTCGTGGACTAGAGTGTAGCATGGTGTGCCCGAAGTTGGCACGTATAATTCCACTCGCGTAGAGGTTGAGTAGTGTGGGTCAGCTGCAAGTTCAACAACTGCCTATAGAGTCAGTTAATGCACAGAGAAGGGGGGGATTATGCATGCTTTCACGTGGGGTTGCCTCGTGGGGGTAGTTGGAGCAAACAGTGCTGCAGCTCAGTGCAGGCCGCCTCCTCCAGCTCCAAGCCCTTCTGCCGGTTTGCCCAGGAGGTATTCAGACTGGATGGCTGCCCATCTGCATTTTGGTAACTCTTGCTAAGCATTTAGACTCCACTGCAGCCCACGGCGGTCCTCTCCTAAGATCGAAGACTTGTTGTATCTTGTAGAACTGCATGCTCCAGAGGGAAGGAAGAGAGCAGCAGACCTCACGCGCACCGCACGGTGGCTTTTTCTATAGCGCTGTTTAGTGGTGAAGGCGCTTTGCGGAGAAAGGAGGACACTGCTGTTATTTTCCCTCAAATCTCCGTCAAAAATTCAGTCCTTTCACTTCTCGAGTAACTGAAATAGGTGCGGATCTAGCTCATGTCGAAAAGAAGAAAAACGAGGCGGCACGTCTCTCTGGAACGAGAACAGTGTGCAGCCCACGCAGCCGAGAATGTTTTCACCGTCGTAGTGATTCATACAGAGTGATTCCACCGATACCGATAGTCCAAATATAATGAGGGCGGCGGTGTCGGGGCAGTGGAGGAGCTCTTTGCATCGCTGTTGGTGTATATTCATCTTGGAAATGCACCCGAGGGGCTGCAGTCGTACTGGCACTCCCTAGGTAGTAAAATGAGATTCACGATAATGGTGGTTTACATTCATACACGCGTATCACTTTCCTGGATAAGGAAACATTTCCACATGTGCTGATATGCAAGTTTATTTTCAAGACGGCGAGGTAACTGGCTATGGCAGAACAGCAAAAGCGTAGACAAGGGAAGCTGTCGATAGAGCGCTAGATCGAGCAGTATGAGGTCTTTGGTGAACGGGGATCTCACTGTGGAGTTGGACCTTCTGTAGCAATGGTTCAGAGTAGGGCTGTTCCCCCTGAAGCGAAGCAATACGTAGCTGGGTGTGCCGAGGTGAGGGCGAGTGTATAGAACTGCTAGAGTTGATTGGGCACGGCCGTATCAAAGTGCGAAAAAGCGTAAGCGCTCCCTCGATTGTCCTGTATGGGGCAATCGAGGTAGCGCTTACGCTTTTTCGAATATCAACCGGCTCTATCTCTAGGTCGCTTCCAAAGCTGAACAGCTTTGGAAGCGACCTAGAGATAGAGCCGGTTGATATTCGGGCTGTTATTTCTAGACTGTTAGAACAAGATAAGAAGGGAGAACAGATGACAGTAGGCGAAACCTGTACTCGAAAAGCGTACTCGAGAAGCGGCAGGGGCGGGGGGGTGGAATACCAAACGACGTGTATGCTTCTTTTGCAAAAAGAGAGGCCACAGAAGTCGAGATTGTGGATGCACGGCAGTAGCTATGGAAATGGAAGAGCAGGATATGGAGCAGCACAACTAGATGAACCCGCAAAGCGATCAGCGAAGCGCCTTGGCGCTTATACAACGCGGGGTGCAGTAATGGGGCCGCAACTGGTGGCACCCGCACCTGCAGACCCGCTTCGAGCCAACTCTTTTCTTGTCCTCAACAACGGGGCTCTCCTTTCGGTCCACCCAACCCTGGGCTGGCGACCAGCCGTTTGTTTCTTGGGGAAGGTGCGGGGCAGACGCAGCGTGGTTTGTCCAAAATTCGTACACATTTGCCCATGCACACAGGTTGGTCACTGAGGGCTAAGAAGTGTTAAATAATTCCCCGGAGCTTAATTGCATCCATCGGAAGTGACCGATTGCTTGTAGAACTGCCTTGCAGCAGGACTTGCAGCAAGGCACTTTGCAACTGATGTGACACCTGCTCCACTCCTCCCAGCCGGGCACACTTGAGCCGTTGTGACCAGGATGCTTGAAGAAAAAAACGGAAGGTCAACTGATTTGGGGGAGCTCCCCTCTGTTTGACTTTGTTGCTGCTCACGAGGGTACTTTGGGAAGATTGAGGGTTCTCTTCACACTCACAGCTTCTGCTGCTTGCTACAGCTCCAGCTGCAGCGCCTGCTACAACCCCACGTACAAACGTACCCAAGTCCCCATTGCTGCATGTACTAACAATGTAGACAATTGATAAACACTTATTTGGCCCTCAGTAGCCAGTATGCTTGAGGGTAGAACCCTGAGCCAACATGAGACAGACCATGCAACAGTGTGACTGGCAAGATGCTGATTGGTTCAGTCCCCCACATAGGCACAACAAACTGGGGATCTGAGGTACACATCGAAGATTAATTCATTGCAGACGAAAGCTCACTCAAGGCAATTCTGCGGCATACCCCACTGTGGCCGACAACCTACGGGGCCGACGCCGAGCGGCGGAACGTGGTCGACAATGAAAAAGCCCCTAACAAACTGCGAACAAGCCAGTGTACCCATACAAGCAACAACCAACCGTGACTTGTTGAAGACAAAATTGCACGCTTTGCGCCCAGCTACTTTGATGTAGGGGCGTTTCAAGTCGCTCACCGTAGTACGAAAGGGCTGGGCCCGGGCCCGGCAGGGCTGACTATGCGGAATCGAGTAACTTTACTGCTTAGCATTAACATACCAGAGGAGGTAGTTTTGTATGCACTATATCGAGTCCCCTTTGGTTGTTCCACCTTGGAAAGGTTCTCTTAGCTGGGTGGAGAAGCATTCACCTGAGCTTAGTGCTTGCCCTAAACAGAACGCAAGCACTAGTTCGCGAACTTCATCTCCTCCTACTGACTTTGATTTTGAGAAGGCTCCCCTATTTGAGCCGGTGCGGGCAAAAGCTCCTAGCGACAGTGTAAGAGCCTGCGGGTGAATGCCAGACGCTACCGCGCTTAGGGGAAACAGAGCAACAAGGTGGAAGGCACATTCATTCACAGGGAGTTATTTCATGGTGTTCACGAGGCCCAGATGACTTGGAATACGGGACAATGAACCTTTTACGCAGGGCAGCTGCTCGCCGTTCGAATCTACGGCCGTTCGTCTCAAGGGGTCGCCTTGGCAATACCATTGGTTACAGCGTAGCAGGATCCAATAGGAGAAACCCCGGGAATGCATGTGATGGTACTTCTCTTGATTGCCAAACCCAAGTAGAGAGGGGCGTCGCTCATGCCGAAACGTCTCAAACCAATACTTGTCCGACTGCGAGAAACTTAAGAATTCACTCTGCTGGACATCTGCATTCATGGCGAGACAACTGTAACCACCTTCCCAGGTGCGGTGAGACAACAGACACTTCCATTCGGAATTTCCATCACGAATGTTTAACAGCGTGCGCCTACGTGGGTGAGATCCCACTGCAACGTGGAATGGCAGGCTTCGGCTGTGTCCGCATCCTGGAGACTCGCAGGAGGGCTAAAACCTGCTGGGGGATCGGAGTCGTGGACTGTCAACCTCAACTGATACGAAGGGCTTTTATTTCTGTAGCAGCAATGCATAGGTCGTTCTGCTGTGATGCGGAGCACATCTCTTCACAACACAAAAAGCCACTAGAAGAGGGAAAAACAGTTGCTCCGTCGGCAGCTTTCCTTCAAATGGCGGTGCGTTCAGCGAGTGCAACAGCAGTAACGAGCCCATACGATCCAACGCAGCTTCCATTGGGTTGCTTTACGCCGCACAGTGATTCTCAAACCAAGCGTAGTCCCGCTGCAAACGCCCTACCAGCCCTTACAATCGCTGCTGCAGCTGCCATTGCCTTCCCAATCAAGAGGGGCAGAAACGGAGATGCGTCTCGCGAAAACGAAAACGCGAATGACTCGGATGTAGCTAAGCCAGGCAGCGAGTCAGCGGCCAAAGACAGAACTGCTGAATATGACCATGAGAGCACGAATTGCCTAAGTCATGGGGCTTTTGCAACTTATCCCTGGGGACCAGTTCTCCATGGACTCATGCTGATAGGTAGTGGACTAGAGGTGTTGCAGCAGTACTTCAGCCGCCTGACGCAGCAACTTCAAGGTGCGAACGGAGGCGTCTCAGCAGGTTCTCTGCGCGCAGAAAACGGCACAAAGCTTCTATGGTTTGTTTTGCAGTGCCATCTCAAAATTGTATGCTCGGCAGTTAATCAAGCTGTTGGGATGGCCAGACTAACCAAAGTTTACAGTAGTGACAGGTTAGAAACCAAGCAAAACATGCAGCCTGTGGAGAGAGACCACTCATCTGAGGCGGCGGGAGTTCATGAGAAACATGCGGACGGGGAACGTAATATTTTTGCGGGAGGTTGGACCTGGGCTACTCACTGCGCTGCTTCCTGTCAAAAGGCTTTGGTGGGAGGCGTAGCCGAAACAGCAAAGTACTCATCTGGGGCCCGGTTTTACCCAGGGCAACCGAAGCTGCTTGACACCAACGTAGCGTACAGTGAAACTGAGGGAGCCCCTACGAATTGCGTATGGTTGACGGCATGGTATAGAGCGTTTGCGCTATTCTTCCGAACTGTCGGATCTGCTTTGATGAGGCTACTCTATGTTGTACCTTTAGGGATCACTGCCGCTACCGCAGGATTGTGGCTGCTTGGGTTGCCGTACCTTTCAGCTTGTTTGCGGAAGCTGGGCGTAGGAGGCCATTGGGTACCCCATTGGGAAGCTATTGCTCAACGCGAATTGGAAGAGGTCATCTTCACCGCCGTCACCGCGGCGGCGTCCGCGGCTGGGCCAACATACGTTAAATTTTTGCAGGTGCTGGACATTTCCTTCCTCAGTTGGCTCAGCAAATCAGCAGACATCTGACCTCATGCACGGCTTTGTTAAGCAGTGTAATATCTTTGGACTAGAAGTGTACTCTTTTTGTGCGTTGCGTGCAGTGGATTGCTACACGGCCGGACTTATTTCATGAATCCCTCTGCTCGCGCTGTGCAAGGTAAAAATTGTTTACCAAGTTGTTGAACATCGCGTTGCTCACGAAGATCTACACAAATTTGAAGTTCCAAGGGTGCGGCCTGCTTATTTTTGCGAATTGAAGATTGCAGACATCAGTTCGTCCATTTTCGTACCCCCGAGCCGCTCTCCTTCTTCGCGAACAGTTTGGCAATGATGTGACGCGCCACTTGCTGCTCGACCCGACGTAAGCTGCCTCCAACCACCCTTGGTTGCCTTCAGCAGTGCTCATCTTCGGATCTGCATTGGTTTTTTTAAACTGGTGAGTATTAGTCCTTAATGCGTGCTAAATCTTTGGAAGCAAGATGAGCGTTGTAGAACTTTTTACCTTCTGCATTTAGGCCGGTCGGATGCGGCTGCATTGCCCAGGTTTACCGCGCATACCTGCTGCTGTCGAACGAAGCGAGTGAAAAGTCAAAACGCACTTTCCTCGACCATGCCTTTGTTCTAGGTGGCAGCTTGTCAAAATCTGCAGCTGCAGAAATCGGCAGCGGAGATAAGTTGCCTCCAGTCGCTGTTGCAGTGAAGGTCATGAGGCCTGGAGTGCGAGAGGCGATGGAATTCGGTGTGACAAGCCTTCCTGTCCGCATTGAAAAGCGCAGCTGCTCCACAAAAGCTGCTTCGTCCACCATCAGACAATTAAGTTTTCAGTGCCTTTTTCGTTCGTGCGACCTCTTTGCAGACCTCCGTATGATGCTGCTCATCGCCTCGATACTTCAGTATCTGCCTTCATTTGGGTTTGTTGCTGTGAAAAAGAGGTGAGGCGGCAGCCAATCGAGTGTAGGGGTGAGGGGTTCTCCACGTGTTGAGGCAGTTGCTTGGTGGTGAAGCGCTTGCTGCATTACGCGGCGGTATTAGGGGGGGGGCACATTTCATAGGCGGCAGCGAAGTGCTATTAGTGACGCAGCAATCAATTTTATTGTAATGCATAGCCACTGTTCACCCGATAGGCCTGAACAACGCTTGCTAAGGTGCGGTGCGCTGCTAGTTTGGTACGGATGCCGTGCCAAATGAGCAGGTTCTTACACGCGCTTCAAGCCAATGCTGATTGGCTCGATTCACGTACAAGATTCATCAAGACCAGCGATTTTGCCTTATCCCACTTCAGCATCTGCTCGCTTGCGCGTTCTTGTACTGTGAAATGATAGAGGCGTGCTTGTCTACCGCAGCGTGGAGGAGTTCGCAGTGGCTATGCGGCGGCAACTGGATTTTGGATTGGAAGAAAAACATCTGAAGCTCTTCCGCGCAAATTTTGGGCTTTCAACGATCCCTCTTCCTGATGATCTGCTACCGATGCGTAACAGGTGCAGGCGGGCTAGCCGGCCAAGGCAATGCGAAGCTCCCATGGAAGACGGGAAGGCAGAGCAGAAGGCAGAGCAGTATCACACCAACATACTGGGTTCCTTGTCGCGTAAGATACTTGGGATGCGTCGTCAGGTTACGTTTCCGTACCCATTTGAGGCTCTAAGCAGCAGCGAAGTGATTGTCATGACTCTAGAGTCCGGCTTCACTCTCAACCAGCTATTTAAAATCAGAGCTGAACCAGAGGAGCTAGAAGAGTCTCCACGCAATCAGCGGGACCTTCGCGAAGATCGAGGCCTAGCAATGACTAAACGGGAACAGGGTGACTCCCCGGTGTCCTTTCCCAGCCTCGCCGCGAAGAAGATTATAGAGGTATTGACTTCCAACCGAAAGGAAGGTCCCTAGGGGTTCTTTGTGGGAAGCTGTTCGTTCACTGTGTTGTTTTGCATCTGCGTGCATACTGCCTCCTGCTTTCGCGAAATTTCAGCGTCTCAGCAACGTTGGGATGATCTGCCTCCATTCATTCCTCCAGATGGTGTTCCTGGACAACTTTTTTCATGGGGACATGCACAGCGGCAATCTATTGTGCCGGTTTGCACACCAAAACAAAGAGGTATCGTGGTGCCCTTGCAATATGTGGGGGCAGCTATCCCTGAAAATGTACGGGTCAACTGTATTTTGCGGCATATATTAGACGTTTCGATGTCCTTCAGTTTTGTCTTTATGGGGTGTGGTGTGGCAACGCAGCTTATATTTCCCGTCTTGCCGGCAACCCTGCCAAGTCGGTTGCTCACAAATGTTCCACACTTTGACGGTCAGCCTTCCCTCTTCCTTGAGAAGTTTGATGGGAGGCTGTAACTGAATCCGCAAAAGCAGGCTCACCTTGATTCTCCTCAACATGAGCTTAATCGAAAAAGGCTGCAAGGGCAGCTTGGTAATTTTCGTGCAGGGTGCATTTTCCTCGACTGCTGTAGTGGATGCGCTTCAGGCCCATTGGAATTGGTTGTACTGGACTGTGGTCTAGCTGGCTCTTTAGATCAAGCTGATCGAGTGAATTTTGTCACTCTCCTGGAAGCCATAGCAAGGAAACGCGGACGGGAGGCAGGTTGGCGGACACTCAAGCCCACTTATCAGGAAGCAGGGTCCGCCCATTGGCGGGGAAGTGGCCAAACCGCAGAGCCAATGCCACACTCTACACGTTTGTAGGGACCAAGGTAGAAAGAATGAGCTCTGCGTTTCGTTATAAATCTCTCATATGCCCCTTAGGTTTCTTGAGGTATGAACGCGCTAATCAGGGGCTAATGTGCTCGTCTGCTGAGCAACTGTCTCTAACTAGGTCCGAGGCCTGCTAGTGTGTGATTATGTGCGGCCATGACACAGCTTTAGCCATGCTTCAGAGGGCTAAGAGAAGCTCCTGCCAGGATAAAGAAGGATTTTGCTCCGAGGTCGAGCAGCTAATTGATGAGCATCACTTTGAGGTGGGTCACATGAAAGGAATTACCAAGACGATTTAATCTCCATCTATTCCCTTCTGCTCAACTCATGTGAGCGAATTGTTGCTGCGTGTGCTGTGAATCGTCGCTTATCAGGAGGGCAACTCGCTGCAGATGAGTCGCGTCCGGCTTACGTCGTTGATGGGGCATATGCTCTCTGTGTCGAAAAAGTATTGTGTGGAACTAGACCCTTCATTCGTTTCCGTAAGTTACAGTTCGTTTTTCGTAATGAACGTGGCAAAACTGGACCAGCGGAGTAAAATGCGCGGAGTAGTCAGCAGGCAATGCTTCTCTACATCTTCCTGATGTGCGTCGCAGATTGTGGTGGCGATGTCTGTTTTAGAAGGTGTCGGGGCGCAACTCTGCCCTGATGCGGATGTGTTGAAGGCTGCGTTGCCCTACAGTCTGATGGCTGCGAAGCTCCTCAACCCTGACAGCAGCAGGAAAGCCTGAGGCGGAAGCTTCCACTGCGCAGCACTGAATACGCAGGCTAATAGGGGAGCTGTGCGCCAAGAATTTGGCCAAGTAGACAAAACTTATGGCTAGTGCCGGCGTGAATTCGCGACTTAGGCTGCTCACACCGTCACATATTGTTCTCGTTTTGGACAGTGGTACTTTACACGGTGTGCTTTGGCTGTGCAGAACCAATGATTTGCCTTTTAATGATGCCAGTCATCACGCCACACGCACTTTAACAGCTTGAAAACTGCGTTCTGCTCTGACTGGCCGGTGGTGCATGCCCCTTGCACAGTGAAACCGTCTTGAGTAGTCGTAGGGGAGGCATATGAAATGTGCATTACCACGATTTGCCGTGGTAAGCCACAAGTCAACAGGCTGATTGCTGAAGGGTGGGATGAGATACTTCTTGAGGCACATGCCTAAGTGGGAGGACCCAACTCCACAGGAACGGAGGCCAACTAGCTGGTCGTGCAGCGGTGGATGGAGGCTGGTGGAGCCTGCCCCGCAGTTACAAAAACTCCGAGTCCTCCTACCAAAGCAATAAAGGAGGGGAGAGCTCTGCCGCCGCCAGGTTCTCCATAGCCACTGACGACATCCATCCAACAAGGGGGGTACAACGAGCACTGCCAACGATTCCCCACACATATATAGATATGCCTTAAACGTGCTAGTAAGCACGGAATCCTTTTCAGTATTTTAGTAATGTTCCTCAGTTAGAGACATCCGGTGAACTGGAAGCTGGAGGACAGAAGTCAAGCGCAGCATCGATCCAGGCGGTGGTCCTCTGGGTGGATCTCTAAGCAGTGGCATATATTGCCCATTGATCCTCCATGATTTTCGTTTATTTTTTGGGAATGGTACATCTAAAATTGCTCACGACTGGTGGAACTAAGATATAGAAGGTCTCTTACTCTGATACGACGGCCAAGCATGCACGAAAATAGCCCCATGCAATTGCAACTAATACGAACTTCCACTGGTCTGCCTGAGACATTGAAGCTCTTTTGTCACTTGGATCGAATATGGCCTGAGCTTTCTGCACTAATATAGACGGGAGAGAACTTCGCTCCTGTCGTTTTGCCCCAGCAGCGGACCAAACGACCATCCGCATGTGCCGGTTCTCCTTCACTGGTATTCAAACTCCATTACTCAAAACCAAAAATGTTCTAATCTCATGTACCATCTGTGTTTTAAAACGTTTAACTTTTGACGGCGAAGAAATACCCATCTTCGGGGTCACTCTCGGGCAATTTATCGGCTGGGTGGTAAGCGGCGTGAAGCTACCTGTCACCCGGGTCACTTTCTGGCAATTCATCTGCTGATCAGCTGCATGAGAAGCCAATAAGAAGCGGTGGCAGTGCTGTATCCTATGAAGGAAATATGAGATGTCCGGCAGCCGGTAGTGCTTCTGCACCCGATACAATGTTGGCCCCAACAGGGGACTTTCCATGGGTAGCCAGTTGGCGAAGAGAGCCAGGTGGCCACCCAGAACGCCTTCCACTGCTCCAGGACAATCCTTTTGACTTCAGGCGTCTTTTCGGCATGCAGGCGAGTCCACATCCACGTAGTCTCTCCTGTGAACTTTGCATGCTTGAATCACTACTCACCAAGTGCAAGCAAGCTTTGTGGGGCTCCCATGCAGCATTCGATATGTTTGGCCATTTTGCAGTTTCCACCAATACACCTCACAGATTCCGTGGAGGCCGCAATCTCGTCTGACCTGGCACTTCCTGCATTGCGAGTTGGGGCAGAACTGCTGAAAATCATCCGATCTAATCTTGTCACAGTTGTCACCGGTAAAGCTAAATGATTTCGTTTATATCGCAGGACATTTTAGCTTATGGCATCGCGCCAATGCTGATGTATTCAGCATTCTTATCCTTGCTGGTTTTATTAGGTTCTTGCTTTGTGGGCCTGACAGGCAGTCGTGTTGCCTTGTGCTTCGACAGGTTCAACGGGGTGCGGAAAGACGACAATCGTACCGCTACTTCTCTTGCTGCAGCATAAGAATGCGCGGGTCCTGATAGCGTTACCTCGGCGCATTGCGACGCAGATGGCTGCTGAGCGTCTCAGGCAGCTCCTCGGAGACGAGAGACTCGGTACGCGCAGAGCATAGGTATAGGCAATCGAGCTGCGAACAGCTGCCTCTTCCCAGCAAAAGACGCGCTTTCAGTTATAGAATGGACGACGAATTCGCTTTGTGGGAGGGCACCATAGCATGCACCCTGCGCGCCACTATGGCTTGCTTGCAGGTCAAACCGTTGGCTACCACGTGGGCCACGAAGAAGCGTGCAAGTCGGATGAAACTCGTTTACTGTTTGTGACGGCCGGCATGCTCCGTAAGTATGTCACTGGCGCTCTCCGTCAGCTGCACATGATTGGGCAGGCATCCTTTGGCGGGGGTCCAACAACTGAGGAGGTGGTTCCAGGTAAAAGGCTGGGGTCAATCTTCCCATACGATTTTGTTCTAGTGGACGAAGTGCACGAACGTACAATAGACTGCGATATGGCCTTGCTGTTGCTAAAGTGCCTTGTTGCGAAGATGACAGCTGCCGCTATTCGTGCTGGAATGCAGCTGCCTGTTTTTCGTATAGTCGTTATGTCAGCAACTATCAGCGCCAACGATTTCTCTACTTTCCTGGCGGGGGATAGTTTGAACATTTTCGAGGCCGAACATGCAGAATGGATGGAAAAGACATCCCTGTTGCGAGTGAAGGGGGCGCTGCAGGCTGAAAGTCTAAATGGAACGCATTCAGCATCCTCCACGGTCGCGGCGGACCTAACACCCGCGGAGGTGCAAGAATACGAAATGAGGGAACGGGAGCGTCTTATTAGTTGGGCTAGGAATTTGGTGGTGCCCCTGAATGAGCTGGCGCGTTTGTGGAAAAGCCGCCGATCCAAAGATTCCGCGGCTATATTCCAAGAGCGACACCGGCCGATGCCATCAAGTGCCCCGTGCAAGAGACAGCATTGGAGGCAGATATCGGGAACAGCAAGTGCGAGAGGGAACTGTGTTGAAGTGGCGAGACGAACCAACTTCGAGGTAGAGGAGCTTTTTTGGGACGACATCGTGGATTTAGCACGCTCTAGCATGACTGCCACAGTTACAGACCTTCTGGATATTGCAAGCCCTACACTACTACGCTATATGGGCATAGATCCGGAAGGCGGTGGAATTTGCTCTATGGTGGCACAACAAAGCTCTGCGGATGAACGAAAGGCACGAACAAATCTCAGCAGGGGAGGGGCACTCCCTTACGACTCTTGTCACGGGGATGCTGGCAACGAGTTGAACCAAGAAGATGTGCATGCCGGGGGAGGCGTTTTTTGCCTTGACAAGCCCAGACTAAATTGGTGGTGTCTCGAGAGTGCAGCACGTCTCCTGCTGCTGATACACGTTCAGTGCCTACTCCGAAATGTTCCCCAGCCGGGCGTGCTCGTGTTCCTTCCTGGTACGTTCGGTGACACTTTGAATTACTAGCAACTACATCGTACACAGAAATGCACTGCATGGGCGCGTAAGGATTGTTCGAGTAATGCCAGTTGAGAAATATCCTCTGGGAAGCTTCCGGTTGTTCGGTCACTACTGGTGGTGCAGGGAAGCCTGAGATTTCACGCATGGAACAAGCGCTGGACCAAGCGAAAGCAGAGGCTGCTGTGGCTCTATGCAGTGTTCGGGATAATCTGCAAGAGCGAATTAGACCTGACAGTACGCAAGAAAGTGCAGGGCCAGTGCAGCTGAGGGTAAATCTGCAGATTTTGCGAATTCATCGCGACGCTGAGACAGGAGACTTGAAACGCGCTAAGCAGCATGCTCCAAGTTCGACGTGCATGAAGATTATCCTCGCAACTAACATTGCGGAGAGCAGCATTACTTTCGTGGACGTGTGCATCGTCTTGGACTTTGCGCTTGTCAAGGTGGGCCTGCGTAACTTGTACAATGGAGCTTTTAACGCTTTGCGGAGTAGTGACAATAAAGGCTAATATCGGACTGTTCTGTGCTCTAAGTCAATCCTGCTATCAAAACTTAGAGTTCAACACCTTGCGAGATGCAAATCTGGTTTCACCACAGGAGAAGCATGTGCACGCCGTCACCAAAGCCCACCGTCTACAGCTACGGTGGGCGAGCCGCGCTGCCTTGGACCAACGAAGGGGAAGAACGGGTAGGCAATGTTCACCAGTCTTGCCAGCGTCGTGAGGCTAAGCGTATTGCTTTTCTGCACTTTTCTGCCAATCACCTGCAAAAATAATGTCTTGGTGTGATGGGTCGGAGGTGCTTTAAGAATAGCCCACATGACCTGTTGAGGAATGTTAACGAATTCTTCAAGGCAGATGCAGGCAGCCGAATACAAGTTGCTGCTGCTACAGGGCGGGTGAGAGACGGGACATATTTGTGTCTGATACCACGGGAACTGTACAATTCCCTTGAGCCATTCCCCTTACCTGAGCTTCAACGGCTTCCTTTGGAGGACGTAAGTAAACCCTTCTGCAGTCTGCTGGATGCTCTCTACTGTTGGCATTTTTGTAGACTAGGGTGTTGGTAGCACCACTGTGACTCCCGCACTGGCGCATGCTGCCTTCCAGGTGCTTGTGGACATCATGGCAGCTCTTCCCGGTGAGAGCACTGACGCGTCTCTCTTTTTCCTTTCGCAAGCTCAAGACCCACCGGATGTTGGTAGAGTGTACGAGGCTCTATGCAGCATGGAAGCGTCAGGTAAGCAACGAATATAATCTTCGTGATACTTATTATACCATTGTTCTGAAGCATCGGCCCTGTTGCGCTTGAAGGGTTGGGCCGCTTGCACAGACCAACGGCAACATTGCCCCCACAGAAGGCGTTGCTACTCTGTTTGTGCAGGTGCCCTCAAGATACGGTCTCCATCCTCTTTATTTTCGCAGATGACGCCACTTGGTCACTTGGCCTGCTGTCTTGCATTGCCCGTGAAGGTTGCTCGGATCATTTTGCTCTCAAAAGCTTACGGAGTCTTGCCAGCAGGCTTGTGGGCTGCGGCTCTTCTTCTTAGCGACAAGCAAACCATTTTCGAATGCCAGCGTGAGAAGAAGAATTTCCTGAGTTGCTGTTGTCTACAGCCGACGGAGTCCTCTCGCAGCACGGTCTGTTGGGAACAGCACGTTCCCCATTGAGTGAGGTGTGAGGCAGTATTAACGAGTTTTGCTTGCGGTTTGGGTGTGTGCTGCAGCGAGGGGAGTCGACAAGAACAAACTGCCTGATGCAGAACTGCTGCGCTGGGTGGTGGCCCGCTCAGCGAGACTTGCTTTTGCTTGCCGCTTGAGAGACCGTCTATTTCCTGAGGCAGCTCACAGAATGCACCTACAATCGCGTTCAAAGAGCGAGCTAGGGGAGTGGCCCACCGTGAAGACCGACAAATCTGAGCAGGCCCCTTGGTTGCAAGAGCCACAGTGCACTGGTTCCGAAGACACAAACAGTTTCATATGGGGCGAATTCATTCCTTGTGACATATGTGTCGATGTTGTGGCAATGCTGCACCTGCACAAAATACATGGTAACCGCCTTTACCAGCTTCAGAATCATTTGACATTAAGTGCAGACAAATTGCAGCGGGGAGACGCAGTGCAGCCGAGTGACAGTAGATTTCCGTATTCAGTGCAAGCCATGAGGCAGCTTCGGAGATTTCTCGCAATGAGCGGCGTATCTGTTCAGGGAGTTGCTGATGTGGCTTCGCAACACCAATCCATCTCCCGTAAACTAGCTCGTGTTGGGATTTTGAGGTGTACTGAGTCCTGCAGAGCGATGCCGCCCATGAGCACGGTCTCGCATTGCAACGAATACAAGTTGAAGGAGCCTTTGGGCTGTGGCATTGAAAGTCTTGTTTGGCGTCTGCAGTTAGTCCTTGCCTGTGCATGCATGCCCTTCGGCTTTAGCAGAGTCCGGGACAGCCCTATGCAGGCACCATTTAACTTGGGTCAACAGCCCAAATCTCACTTTGCATTCAATGTTCTGTGTCATGAGGCTTTCCAGGAGAGGCCGGATTTGAGGTGTCACGACGCACTGGTCGAAGCTGCGAAACAGAGCTGTTCGGAAGCTACTAAGAGCTGTTGGCGTTTCCCGTCGAGGGCATGGGACTCTCCGCTCACGTTCTTGTGTATGGAAGCACCAGAGCGTTCTTCAAGGAAGCAGTTGCAGCGCAGATATTCTCAGGGGGCTGGGAAGTTCTGCATCAGCGATTCTGCATCAGGCTGCGTGTGTTCTGTATCGTTTGCGGAGGGTTATTCTGAAGTTCCTTCAATCCGTCAGGGTCACTTGGAAGGTGAGGCCAATTCTCGTTTAAGCTGTGACACAGAATTAAACAAGCAACGTTGGTCCCAACAATTTTTTAATGGAGAGATGGGGCTACTCCTGCGCAGCAGTTGTAGCACGGCGTTCTGTCTGAGGCTGGCCGTCGCACTGCTGAGGGAAACCGACCCCTTGGCTTTTTTCTCCGATTTGGCCTGTACTGGACAGCTTTCGAGGGATGCGGGACGTGGTACAAGAGTTCTCCTTTACAACTCCTTCAGGACGTGGGTGGACCGGCAGAGGCGGTCCCATGCAAAACTGTCTGAAGAGTTCGAATGCATGTGCTCACGACTCAAAAGTTTTGGCGTTCTCGAGGATTCTCATGTTGACGGTTGGTGTGCTGGGCAGTCTCGGAGCTTGGGGCTATCGAGGCCTACTGCATGCGCGCCAAGAAGTGTACCTCTGCGTGACTTTCTGCCAGTGGGGATGAGCAAACGCATGAGCTCATCACCTGAGTGGCTGGATTCTGTGAGGGTTCTTGAAGGGTTTATATGCCGACTTCTTCTCTTCGCTGCTCATTCTCGAACGACGCGACGGTTGGTTCAGTTGATGTACACCACGTTGTTGGAAAGACCTCAGGGGCTGCGGCAGCTGCTAAGTGAACAGCAGGGAAACTGGCCAATTGCTCGCTCGGAGATGGATATGATGGATAGGGCTAGGGAGGAGCTCACTTCAATATTTATGCATCCATCAATCAGCGGACGGCTTGCTAGCTTCGTGGGGCCGTTGCAATTCTTTTCTCTCAGTGTGAAGGGCTGTGTACCTCTCTCTGATCTGTTACTCTGTGAAGGGTGGGATTTTGACTTTAAGGGGATTCGCCCTGGGGTCCCCTTTGGGCCTCTAATTAGAGTACAGGAGCTGCTGGGCCCTCTGCTTAGTAGCGGCTGCCGCGCGCTGCTCCCCACAGACGTGCAAGGAGTTGCAGAAGCTGTTAACGAGTTCTATAGCAGCAAGCAGGTGCAGGCTCGACAGCAGCAGGCTCGTGGTAACTCCAAGAGGGCAAAGGGTGGTGGCCTTCTTCGCCATTTGGAAGAGCAGAAGCAAGGCCACACGCCCACGGTATCTGTGTGGACGTCCCTTGTGGAAGAGGCAGTTGACAGTCTAACAGCTGCAGCAAATGCTGCGCTGGCACGCCAACGGTCCACGAAATCTGGAGATGGGACTGCAGACCCAATTCAAGGCGTATGCAGGCTGCTAAGCGCAGCAACGGAGGCGACTCAGATTGTGAGTGCCTACTGGAGGTGTTGTGGTCTAGTGCACGCACAGCCCAACGCCAGAAGGGTTCAACTTCTTGCGTTCGGGGATAGCCACCGCAGAGCATTGTTGCAGTGGATTCACAGAGCTACAGGCGGAATCGACTTAAGGGCAGCTGGAAGGAGGCAAGGAGAGTTGAGGGGGCCCGAACTTGAGTGTATTAACCAGCCTTTGTGGGCATCGATGATGCCTTTCGCCGACGAACAGTGCCCTCCAACGAGTGCTGGCACTGGGCCATTGCCTGAATTGCAGGTGCCGGATGCAGTACCGCGGGTTGTGTCGGTAGAGGAGGAACAAATTGAGGAACGGCTGCTGGAGGCAGCTGAGAAAGCCGAACATGCTGCAGGGGGAGGCTTCGTGAGCGCAGGCTGTCTAGGAGAGATAGTAGCACTGGCGATTGTAGCGGCAAATAGGCTACTGGACTTCCAGAAGGAGGGATGGGATGAAGCACAGCACCATCGAGAGAGCAGATCAAAGCCACGGCCACCGGCGGAAGCTCCAGCGAGCCCAGCCACTACTGAAGATCCACCTCTTGGGAGGGTTTCTACAGGGGGGGCTGGAACTGACTCGAAGGACACCTTGCAAGACTCATCAAGCATAAGGAAAGCTTCCTGGTTTAATAGGAAGGGCAATTCCTCCCAATTGTATTCAGTAAAGGCGGAGCCTAATTCGCTTTTCGGGCCGTGGCACCAACGCGATTCATTCCATCAGCAGGAGGAAAGCAGAGCACACTCGCATACTCTTGAGTCATCTTTTGCTGGTAGGAGGGAGGTAGCACAAAGAGATGCTGGTAATACGGGTAACCTCCATGATTTACACGAAGCGCCTTTCTCGAGCGTATCGCACAGCTTCCTGAGGGCATTTTTAGTCCTAGATGAAGAAGGGAGAAGCCGCAGGAGGCAACGCGGCCGCCCGAGTACAGCCCGTGTTTGCCGCATCTCAGAGCAGTCGATTCTTCACAGCAACGGACCATTTTACCCATCAAGTAAGACGAATGCCACCGTATTTTCCATACAGGGCAGTCTGTTTTTCCTCCTTCATTGAGTATGTCATTGTGTTGCACTCAAGTTGTTACGAGCTACGCTGTAGTCAACACACTCGTAGATTTCTTGTATTTTGAAACTGTATTTTGTTTTAAGGCTACTCGCGGGAGTTCTTGCTGCTCGGTCTGAGCGAATGGGATACCTCAGCTGGCCTTGCCAGCGGGGGTTCGGACTTAGGCGCGGCCTCATTGCTGCCACCGTTGCCTCATCTAGAAGAGTTACTTCTCTTCATGTTGGCACCGGTTGTGTGTATCTTTCTGTCGAGGCGCTGTTTGTGCTATTGCTGCAAGTGTTGCCCCTGCAATCCTGTTCAGAAAGCGGAGGGAAGATGCAATTCAGCGGAAGGTTGTGCTCATTCCCCGTCAAGCACTGGCGGGACGGGTCCTTCCCACACTTGTTCTGACTCAGCAAGGGCTGACTGCTGTCCATTTTGCTTGCGGGGAGCCGTGTGCTACGCTGTTGTGTCTTTCGGGGGATTTCGGGAGTTTGGCTGGGTTCCTCGTTTCCTGTGGAAGGGTGCAGATATCTTACTGCTGAATGATGCCCGATCCATTTTGAGTGACGTGTTTAACCACCCCGATGTTCCAATCACTGACAATTGCCGCACTGGTACCACGAAATGGAGCGTAGCAAGTTTTGAAGACAATGATGACGGCGCCGGGGACAGCAATGATAACAGGATGCCCTCTGACAAAGCGAAGGGGGCAGCTGGCGGATTGGATTCTCACGAGTCGGCTGCTGGAGCATGCCTAGACAATATTTTGGGACAACTACTGCGCCCCAAGATTCGATTGCAGTACAAACAGCATTTAGGGGCTACGACAGCTACTGCACGTCTCCGGTCACGAGCCAGGAAGCCACGCAATGCAAGCGAACAGCCAAACATGAGTCCGCAGAATTACACTGCATCTGCCTGGGACAGAGATGCGCCCTGCTGGAAGAAGCTGGACCATGCAAAGCAACAACAAGGGCAAGCTGAAAGTGCAGTAGAGGCGTCGCTATCACCTATTGTCGTTTACGACTTGCAAGGAGCAGCAATGGACATTCCTGAAAGAGCAATGACTCCACCATCCGGATGCCCTACACGGACTTCTCGGTCACCAGGCTTACAGGAGGGGGCAAAAAAGCATCACCACCAGACGCAAAAAAATAAGTCCCAAGGATGCGTGCATCTGGATTCCTTGGCTATGATTATAACAGAGTCGGTGACGTCTCTGCACGCCCCTCAAGCAGAGAAAACAGCCGTGCTTCCTGAGGGGGCCAGACCTAGCATGTGGGGTCTGCCAGTTTCCCTGTTGATGCTTAGGCACATCCCTCAACATCCACCTCTCTCTGAAGTGCAGCCAGTGGAAGCCTGGAGAAGCTTGCCAGCAACTCTTTTGCCTGACTATGCAGGGAAATTGCTCCTTCAATGTGCCAACAGCTGTTGCAGGGTTCCACTGGGGCACGCTGGGGATCTGAAGCGAGTTTCCAGGCGGCATCCGCTTGCTGACGGCCCCCCATGGGCAAAGTTAGCCTTTAAATACTTCCTGGAAGAACTCGCTTCATCTACAATAGCATCGGCAGAGTCAGGCCTTCCATCTAGACGAACTAGTGTGGGACGTTATGTACCTGAGAGTGTACCTGGTAGGGGAACTTCTGTTCAGAGCAACTTCGGAAGTCCTGTAACCACGCTGGAAAATACCCTTCTTGAGTGGCTGCAAGAAACAGAGTTGCTGAGACCTGAAGGGGTGATGGAGATCCGGACAGACACTGAACCAGCAAAAGAGCGTGAGCTTTGGGTGATGAACACCGCGAAAGTTCTCCAAAGACAGACGGAATGCAAAGCGTGCTACGTGAATGGTGTACAAGTTGCGGCACCAGGGCGTCCGTGCAACAACTGGCCTTGTGTGATGGGCCGCTGTTTCCGCCAGCAGCTGGTGCCTCTACTTGACGATGAACATGCTTCTCTTGCAAAGCTGAAGCTGGAAAGCCGGTTATTGCTTACCCCGTCTAGTCTAGCTTTCGTCTCCACATATATAAGGCCTCTTCTGCGTACGCGCCGGCGACTAGAAAGCCTTCTCAAGGTAAAACAAGAAGAGGCATTTCAGACGGAAGCCAGTTCAGCAAAACTCACTCAACAAAACCGGATGAAGCAGCAGCACAGCCACATGGTGGACAAGTTTGTAGAATGGGTTCTGTGTGGTGGACCCGTCCGACACATCGTTGGTTTTCGCATTTTCGAGTTTTTCGTGTTCCCTCCGGACTCACTGGTGGAGATAGCAGGGCACACGGATGCGCAGCGCGTGTACTTCTGGAGACAGGCTTCTTCTAACATTGTGCCGCGAAATCCGGTTGACTTTCCAAGGAAGCTGAGTGGCGGCCCTCTCCTTTCGTTCTTCGATGCCCTAGAGTTGGGCCGTAACAATGGAAATCGAACGGCGGAACATGACGGCGGAGTACTGCAGTCACCAGACGTATTCTTCGCAGCTGCAAGATATATTCACAGCTACGAGAAGGGGGTTCAGCAGAAGGACTTGGAAGCGTCAATTACTTTTGTTGACCATTTAGCCGAAGTAATTGCACGACATTGCATGTGGACAGCAGAAAAGATTCACCTTAAGGATTCGGAGATGTACCAGAAGTTCTTTGTAGAGTCGTGGGACATCTTGAGGCCAGTTTCAATGGGGACAAGTGCAGCTATTGCCCAACAACCACGCAGTCACTCTCAAAGTTATGGACACCAGAATGCGAGCGAAGGAGGACAACCGATTTCTTCAGAAAGCAATGGGCATCTGAGCAGAACACTGCAGACTCTGCTGACCGTTGCATCACCGAACCTGCAAGGAGCCCTGATCCCTTCGGACCTGTTCGACTGGCAAACGCGTCTGCTGCAAAAGCAGCGAAATGCAATACTCAGGCACGTGGACACTGCTCTACTGTCGCTGCCAAAAGAATGGTTGGAAGGCAGCTGGACAATCAGCCGAGTCGTAGAGGAACAGTCTCCAATCTGGCGATGGTCGCCAGATGAAGAGGAGACGAAACAACAGCAAGAATTGAATCAGGCTACGCAGGCAAAGCGGAAAGCTGAGGAGAAAGACAGAAAGATGAAGGAATCCAAGGAACTAAGAAAACGGCTGGAAATGGAGGCCCTGGAGTCGTCGAAACGTATTCGGCAATTTCGGTGAAGCTGCTATGCATCTGTTCGGGTCGGTCTTCACACTTCGATAGGGCACTCTACACCAAGCTTAAGGAGTTCTTCGTCGTGTATCAATGCTCATCTCTTGAAGGTCTAACACGTCGGCACTCCACCATTGTCGAACGACAAGGAAACTATGGTCCTTTCGTACAGTGGCATTACCGTACGCTGACAATTTTGAGCCTACTCGTAGCCTTCGCGCGACTTGCTCACATTGTTGTGGGTTGCCGTAGGTGGAGTGGACGTTTGGCGTGCGCTTTCATATAAACTAGTTTTGGGATGCTTTTTGCACAAGCATTTCCATATCCGAGCGGGCTGAAGGCCGATACAAGGGAAGGACCAATACTACGGCAAATTGCTGCAGAAATATGTAAAGTGTAGTTGTTTCACCAATGCCGAAAATGTGCATGACTAAACGAGGAAAATGCAGTAAGCTCCTCGGAAAGCCAAGGTGCGGAGGTATGATGTGTTTACTACTGGTCAACGCTTTTTATTCATGCGGACTGCTCATGCGGTTCTCAACGACATTCCAAAAACGCTGTGTGGAGTATTACCACACAGAAGTCATTCATCCAGCACTTTGCTGGCATGAGATTCTGTTTCTGCCAACCACCGGTGGTGGAATTTTTCACGAGACGAGGCACGTTCAACTGACGTCTGCCGAGGTGCTAAACGGGAGTCATGCGCCAGCATCCGCTGAGCGGCAATGCTGCTAGCTCTACTGCCAGCAACAAAAGGGACATGCACTGGATTGCAACAGTTACGCGCGGCGCCGAGGTTGCCCTGGAAATTATGTCCATGAGCCTGGCTCCTCTCTACATTATGCCCCGGGGGTGAAAAACTGGAAGCAACGGCATCGCCACCAAGCCTATGTGCTCCGTTGGGCTCATTGTCGCGGGCATCGAGGTGGTGTTGGTGACTTCCGGCATGAGAGCCACGGCTATTTAATGATCCTACACATGTGCCACATGTGGGACAGCAATATAAACATCTGTGATACAACCACTTGATGCTCAGCAATATGCGCATCTGGGATACAATCACTTGATCAACATTCTTGGTACTTGTATGCAAATTCAACGGTACGTCGTTAGGCGCAGTGTTGCCCTGAAGGGAAGAAGCTTCATGGGTGATCCGCTGCTCCTTCATGCTCACTACAGCATTCCGGGTGAGCAAGTAGGGCTCTTACGGATCTTTTTCCGTCTGCATTTGGCCGCGTCTACTCAAGCCACCCACCGCTGGTGCGTGGTTCATTTCGTTTGCGATCGCCTGATTCCCGTAGAGCTATCTCCCTGTAGACCTTGCGGATTGATAAGTTGACGAGGCGGAAATATTCTTGCATTTGGGCATCCGACAGCTCTGCAGCCAGAATTGCAACAGTGCAGGCAGGGCGAGCTGCTGCTACACTCATACTCTAGGCAAACCTTGGAAGCTAGTGAAATTGTACATGCATGAACCATTAATCATTTTCCACAGAGGAGGAAGATACTATAACGTACCCGCATAGTTTGCGTCCCCGTTGAGAAACAGGAGCCTACGCAGTTTTTCTTCCAAGTTTTTCTCTATAGCGATTAGCCTTTGCAGGTCCACGTCATAGCTGTTTATTTGCTGGGTCATGGTGCCCTGAAGCATGCAATAGAATCAATAAAAATACATGCCTACATGCTCTAACAAGATGATGAAGCGATAAGCTACTCGACATAAGGGGTGGGGGCAGTGAAAATATAGTCGAACTCGCCTGTAGCCTCTTGTAAGCCTTTTTGTACTCGGAATGAACGGCTTTAATATGTTCCAGATCGTCTCCTAAAGCCTTGATTTCCTGTAAGGCTGACTCTTGTACCGCAGCGCACTCTTCAGGGCCAATTCTGGCGACAGGCTCCTCGGGGATGGCAAACTGAGCAAATGTCAAGCCACAGGATATACATACAGGGACTTCCTCAACCATCTTGGAACGTTGGCCAGGAGCCTAGCGGGATAAGAGATGGGAGGAACGGAAGGGCAATCTAAACAGTTAATTTTGATCAACCGCTCTGCAGACTCTGCACGCAGAACCCCACTGCCGATGGCATTTCTGGGCCATGAAAAACCACGTCCACGAATACTCACTGAAGACTTGGGATCTGGAAGGCAGCTGGAGGAGTACGGCAGCAGTTGTTTTGGTTTCTTGTGGCTTTCTTCTGCCGACCCGCCTGCTCTCTGCGCCTGGACAACTGTCAACTTGTACTGGGCTGTGCATGCGCAGACCAAATATATAAAGGATAAATACTAATCCAAATAGCATCAAAATGAACTGTAGCACGGGCTACAGCTGAAATATACAAGCGCACAAGACACAAATACCAGCCCTACTCAACGGAAAATGTTTGGACACACTTCCTTCCAATTCTTGCGCAAGCTCTTCAAGCTCGTCCACGGAACAAGGATGGAGATCTTGGGCCTAAATTGAAAAACGCAACAATGGAGACAGTCACGACGAGATGACACGCCTGCAAATGCGTGAAGATGGATGCGTCCACCCCCTAGACAGGCCCACGATCTGCATGAGAAATGTCCTAAACAGCAGCGAACATAAATGGAACTCTGTTGTTCACAAATCACCGTCAGGACAATGAGACGCTTCTCAACCTCTTGCATTTGTGTGTGTCGTCTTCCGTAGCAAACACGGCAATCGGCGGCAGTCTGCTGCAGGGAGCTGTGAACTTGGTCAGCCTAAACAGCGCACCGTTCAACAATAGCGAGAAATTCATCAGAGTGCATCGTTGTGAATAGGCAAGGCAAATATGACAACACTGCACAAAACGCAGGGCGCAGACGTACCGCTTTGAGAGCACTGTAGTAACTTGTCACCTCCTGTGACTGCACCTCCAGTTGTTGCTGGAGGGTCTCAAGCTTCATTCGAATCTTGGCAAGCTTGTCCAAAGCCGTGGAGAGCCTAGAAGGCAAAATAATCGCAAAGCAACTTGGTTTGGAAGCTTTTGCTTTTCCGTCAGCTCCCAAAGGAGCCACCAGCCGGAAAAAACAGAATTTCGTACCAAGCGTTCACTCTTGGTTTCAGCTGCGTGTGTGTGTGTGTGTGTGTGTGTGTGTGTGTGCGTGTGCGTGTGCGTGTGCGTGTGCGTGTGTGTGCAGTATGGACTTACGCCATTGAAGGATCAGTCTGCAAATCGTCTTGAAGGCTCAAAGCTGAAACAAGTAAGAAAAAAGTACGCAAGATGTCTGCAGTGAATAGGACGCATGAAAACTGAAGTGCGGGCCACCGTAACAAGAACAACAACCCTCACAAGTACGGTGTATCAAAGTTGCCGGTTGCTCGCGAGGCGACGTACCAGGCTCTTTCTCATCATTTGTGTCAACGCTTGCTGTGCGACTAAAGAAGCGAGCACATGAAGCTGTGGGGTGGAGAGATTGAGGACGGCCAGCTACTGCGTTCGACGCCTTTTCTTCTGTGCCATCTGCATCCACTGCCGAACCACCATGCCGTGTGTCTGACTGAAGCTCGCCAAAACCGGAACCAGTAATGGAACGAACGATATTTGAAGTGGACGTCGTATGCCGGATAGGAGGGCCATGCTGCGTACGAGCCGCTGTATTCCGTGGAAGATCAAAAGCGTCCTCCGTATTGTTAACTGGCAGCCTCTCCGGGCTGCCCTTGCCGACACTGCTGCTTGACTCAAGTCCTCTACTCCTGCCCTTGGAAGTTGCCAGCAGCTGCGCATGCAGCAGCTCCTGTTTTTCCTGCTCAAATGCTTGCCGTTGCTCTTCCAGGCGCTCTCGCTGCTCCTTCAACTGCTGTCTCTCCAGCTCTAACTCCTCCCTTAGCTTTTTTTGCTCCTTCTCCAGTTCCTCTTGTCTTCGCCTCAGTTCGTCTGCCTCCTTCTGTTGTTGCTCTTGCTGCACCCGGAGTTTCTCGGATTCATCAAAACTGACGTCCCTGCTTGAAACTGCAGATATGGGGCTTTTGCTATGCAACGGATCGCGCGTTGGCGTATCTGAAGGAACGCATGCCTGCCTTCCTTGGGAATAACCTTTTTGATAGTTTTCGTCTGCTGTGAGAGGATAGCTGGCCGATGGGTGGGAACTCTGTGTCTGCCGGACAGGCTGGTTGCAGGAAACTGTTTGCACGCGCGGTGTCTGCAGCCCTTCAACTGGGTAGACCGACTGCACTGTGGGAATTGAAAACTTCCCTCCTTGGTGATCAAAATAGCTAGGGGGTGCCGTGACACGTTCACCCACGCCGTACTGCACGCGAGTCGGCGACTCGACTCGGATGGCGTTTCCGTTACCAGGCCCATAGCCTGGGTAGGGACCCAAAGGTGACGAAAAGATACGCATTGGAGAGGCTGCTGCATAGCCACCTGGTGGAGAAGGTACTACTGGAAGTCCTGCCTGAAGTCGAGGAGTTGGAATTTCAAGAGAAGAGTATGTGTCCCCATGCCGTTCAACGGGTGCGCCTCCCGAATGTCCCGCCACTCCCCACGCCGGCAAACAAAGTGAGCACCTGCAGCCCGGCCTGTGAATGTACGTACGAACGGCCGATCTTGATTCATCTTGGGCTACCGAAACCGGCTCCCCACACGCCCATGGTCTCCTTGGCTTCGGCATAGTGTTGGAGTTCAATTCGCTACTCTCCTCCCTGGCCTGGCTCTGTGACGTCTTAGCTGTTGGGCAGCCACTATGTTCCACAACAGTGGATCTTCGGATATCCGGTGCCGAGCCAAATTCGTACGAGGAGAAACCAAGCAGTTCTTGCACTAAAGGATTGAGCGGCGAGCACGAGAGCCGCTTGGCTGGTTGCACCGAAGGGGTTGGCAGGGTCTCTCCCGATGAAGCACTTCGAAAGGTCTCCTCCTGTGTTGAGTAGCCTTCGTTTTGTTGCAAGCCTCCTCTACCAGACTCCTCTTTCCCGAAATCTTCCGAGGAACTTCGAGAAAACAACTGTCTTTCACCTTCTTCACTGGCGAATGGCCGCCTCAGCTGCAGAGTCCACAAAGACGAGGCAGACAAAAAATTACCACAAAAAATATTGAGGGGCATCCTGCAAGCCAATGCAGGTTGGTGAAGCGCTAGTCGCTTTTTCATCGTTCCCTTATACACAATTGGGGTATGATGGGCCACTAGCGAATCAGCACTGGCGGAGGCCGGAACTCCCGGTCTGCGCGCCTTGGAGGGCTCCTTATCTCCCGCTCCCCCCAACAGCATTTTGAGCTTTTCTTTCCTCAACCGGTCTCCACTTATTTGACAAGCCCTGCCTTGTGGTTGTTTATGCAGAGCGAATTCCACTGCACTCTCCAGAATACGGTGTGTTGCCGCCATATCCAAAGGCTCCGAACCTCCCCAGCCGATGGAGTTGGCACGAGCCAACATAGGCACTGACGAGTCTGACTGCCGTGGACTTGTCGGCTGTACCGCGTAGCCATTCCCTGGATGCATCCTTTGAAAATCCATGTGGGGGATTGCAGCGCCTCCATGGGCTGTCCGCAGGGTCCCCCATGAACCCCATCGAGTATGCGTCCTTCCGTCGAACTGGAAGTCAACGTGCGTGGCAGAGAAACTTCTGCGCCCTGGGGGATCAGCAGTGAGATGCCGTTTTGCTGCTCCATCCGGAACTAAATGGAGTCCACACCCGCAGCCAGTCTGGCTGTAGTGTGAGTCTTCAGAGCTGATGCTCCTCTTTCGTGCGACAGGTCTCTCCATGTTGCGAGACAGAACACATCTGGAATCTGCTAACGGCAACGTTCTGTATACCAAGCAAGACCTGTCTCCGTCAGCTACAGCATAAAGTTTAGACAAGTCCCCCCTATCAGAAGAGAAAGATGAAACTTTTTCTGCGGATGACATGGAGCTTTTGAATAAGTTACCATCCGAGCTGCGGGGGCCCGAAGAGTTGACCCCACCTTCGGCAAGCCCTTCTGAAAACTTGGAAGTAAACGATTCACGAATTTGCCGTCTGTCCACGTTTGAATGGGTCGGCCCAAATGCGCTGCTAGATGTTGCTCCCCGCCTCGGTAAAACGAGGGGCCAAGGCTCAGCTGTAAACTGTTCACCTTCTGCAGGCATACTGCTGCACATCCACTGGGCTTTATGAGGCAGATGCAAACTTCCACTGTGGCGCCATAAAGCTGAGTCCTTTCTACCAAACCCATGAAGCATCGTCAGAGCGTTCTGCCGCTTGCTCAGTTGGATCCCCTTGCGGGAGCTGCTGGTGCTGGTGCTAAAGGAACGCTTCTTAGCGTCGTCTGTGGATATGTGATGTCCCTCGCTTCCTTCCCGGATAGCAAGACACTCCTCTGCAGCAGCTGTTTCTGGCACACTGTTGCCGCGCAGTGCTACTCCAGCACCAAAATGCCAGAGAAAACTTTTAACGCCGTCCAGTTGTACATCCCGCAATCGCTCGCCTATGAATCTGCCTCGTAGGCGGCTCTTCAAAGACCGCCTAAGCACACCAGTTTCTGCATTGGAGGCGGAAGCAACGTCTGCTCTGGAGGGATCTTCCTCAAGCCCGCGAGCAGCAAGCCGACCGTCGTTAGTTGTTAGCTTCTCTTGACAAGCTCCAAAGGCCCCCTGCACTCGAGAGTGGGCGTCAGCAGAAAGATGCTCTTCCTGGATGCGCTCCTCCGGCGCAGCAGCGGTTAACCTGTCGTTCACAACTCCTCTCGCCTGTGGGAAAGGTGCCTTGCCTTTGACGCGGGTGGGGCTAGTGCAAGGTTCCCGTGAAGTAAACACAAGTTGCGCCAAGGACGAAAGCGCAGCGGCGAGGCCCAAAGCAGGAGCCGACCAATGACTCGCTCCCAGAGGCTGCCGCGAAGAGAGACTTGCCTGGGAGCTGGAAGCAAACACTATTCTCGGCACCGGTGAGGAGACGCAAATGCCCGCATGCACTTCCTGCCGCTGGGCCGCTTCTTTACCTTCCAGTCCCTCAACGTGCAGAGGTAGCACGGTGGGCCGTTCCTCATAATTTGCGTATCGGGGAGATATCTGCGCTTGAGTCCTCTTCAACTCATGCAGGGTTCTGCTCTCCTCGTCAAGCTCGGTGTTATCCTGCGACAAGGCCCTCGATGCAATGGACACCACAGGGGACGATAACGGGCAGCTGGCAGCTCCTAATGAAGGCTCAGCGTCTCCTCCCTGCCCAAAGGCTCTGCTAGGAAACTCTCTGCAGGAACTCCACTTTTCGTACACACTGGAATCTCTGCTAATATTTGTCTGGGCGCTCTCGCTACTCTGATCACTTCTTTCCTCGCTGCAGCAGCTACTGCAGCTGCTCCTGCTGCTATCATAGCTGCTGCTGCAGGATTCACTGCCACTGCAAGAGCCTTCGTGGTCGCTGCTGTTGCTGCTGCTGCTTCCCTCGCTGCTTCCCCTACTACCAATGTAGTACTGTTCGGTAGCCTTGCAGATGCAGCAAGAGTTTGTATCTCTGCTGAATGCACGGTCGCTGTTCAGAGTATCGTCATGCCTACGGTTGCAGACTTCATGGCTGCTAGCGCAGTTACATGAAGATACTGTTTCCGAGCGTCTTGAGGGACTCCCAAAAGGACAGCTGGGTGGGATTTGTAAGGCAGATGGTTCCTTCTCGCCTAGGCATCGCACCTGCCGTAGTTGCTGTTGTGCGTAGTTTTTCCGTGGCTCGTGGTCTGTAGACTGGGCTCCACTCAAGAGTTGCGTCTTATCGTCGCGACAGCCGAAACCATGTGCCTCACGGAAAATGCGGACCGACGGATATAGAGAGCCTGTAGAAAGCATAGTTTCCCCACAATGTTCCATTTCTGAATTGTTATCCTCGCCACAACCATCTGGGGCGCACTCACACCAATCGGATACTGCCCCGCCATTGAAGGAAGCCACTCGCAGTCTTGGATATCCTGTAGGAGCCTCTGTCCGGTTCTGGAGCGTCTTCTGCCCCGTTTGCAACTCTCCAAGACTTGAATTTCCATTGCTCCCAGATGGCGATTCTGAATTCCCGAAGGCGGCGTTGGAAGCATCCTGTGGTTCCACGTTCTGCTCGCAACCCCCCCCTTTTACAAGCGTCCCCTGCCTCTCCCCTCGCTCCCCTGTTTCATCACAACGGGCTCTACCCTCGCTGGCAAACGACGCCTTGAGCTTCAGCTCTTCGGCCTCCCCTACACCCAAGCCAAACACATTCTGGATGCCTTCGTCCAACTCCACTGCCTCCCGCGAGAAACCTAAACTGCTGCATGATGATACACAAGCTCCACCCCCACTCTTTGTCAAAGACTCTTGCCTTGTCTGGGGCTCCTGCGTATTCCCGCGATCTCTGCCACCCTCGCTGGCGCGCGACGCCTCACGCTTCGGCCCTTCGGCCTCCCCAACAGCCACGCCTGTGGCATCATGGAAGCTTTCGTCCGCCGCTCCATCCTCCCCCGAGAAACTGACAGGGCTGGAAGATGACGCACCGGCCCCATACACAGTCAGTGGCGGAGCCCCCTGCCTTGCCCCCACCTCAGATTTATCTCCAGAAGACCTTCTCCTCTCGCTGCCACGCGGGGTCTCGTGCTGCGGCTCTTCCGTCTCTCCTCCAGCCCCATTTGACGCATCGTGGAAACTTTCGTCCAGCGCTGTATCCTCCCGCGCAAAAGCCAAACTGCTACAAGGCAAAGAAACTGCCTCATCCACACCAACTAGTAGAACGCCCGGCTGTGCCCTTAACTCCGGCCTGTCCCCAGATGTGCTTCTACAATCCCTGACGCTTGCCCCCTCACGCTTCGGCTCTTCCTCCTCCCCTCCAGCACCGTTCAGCGCATCCTGGAAGCTTTCCTCCACTCTTCCAGACTCCCACGCAAAACCCAAACTGCTCCACAGTGACGCAACTACCCCTTCCAAACTGACTGGCTGCGCGCCCCGCCTTGTCGTGACCTTCGGTGTATCTCCAGATGACCCTCTCCACCCGCTGCCAAGTGGAAGCTCACGCTTTGGCTCCTCGGCCTCCCCTCCAGCAACGTCAACCGCATCGTGGAAACATTCTTCCGGTGCCAAAACCAGCCGCGAGAAATCCGAACTGCTCCGGTGTAATAGAGCAACCTCTACCAGATTGACTGGCAAAGACCCTTGCCTTGTCTGGGACTTCTGCGGATTCCCGCGACCCTTGCCACCCTCGCTAGCGCGCGAAAGCTCACGCTTCGGCTCTTCGGCCTCCCCAGAAGCCTCGTTTGCCGCATCCTGGAAGCCTTCGTCCGGCGTCGCAGCCTTCCCCGCGAAAGCCAAACTGCTGCATGAGGACGCACAAGGCCCATACACGTTGGCCGGCAAGGACCACTGCCTTGTCTGGGGCTCCTGCCTATTCCTGCAATTCACGCCACCCTCGCTGGCGCGCGAAGTCCTACGCTTCGGCTCTTCGGCTTCCCCTCCAGTCACACCTGAGGAGTTGTGGAAGCTTTCGTCCGCCTCTCCATCCTCCCCAGAGAAACTGACAGGGCTGCAAGATGACACACCAGCCCCGTACGCACCAACTGGTGGAGTGCGCTGCCTCGCTCCCACCTCAGGCCTTTCACCATATAAGCATCTTTTCTCAATGCCAAGCGAGGCCTCGTGCTTTGGCTCTTCGGCCTCCCCTCCAGCCTCATTAACTGCATCCTGGAAGCTTTCGCCCGCCTCCACAGAATCTTCCGCGAACCCCAAAATGCCCCATAGTGATGGGACTGCCCCCACACTGACTGGCTGAGGCCCCCGCCTTGCTCCGAGCTCCTGCAACTCTCCAGATAGCCTTCCCCCCTGGCTACCACGCAACGCCTCACGCTTCAGCTCTTCGGCCTCCCCACCAGACCCATTCAACGCATCCTGGAAGCCTTCGTCCGCAACCCAAGCCTCCCCTGCCAAACCTAAGCTGCTACAAGGCAACGATCCCGCCCCCGCCAAAACGGCTGGCAGAGACTCCTGCCTTTCCTGCAGGTCTTGCGCATCCTTGCCAACGTCACCGCCCTCGCTGCTACGCAACGCCTCACGGTCCCGCTCTTCGGCCTCCCCAACCGCCCCGTTTATCGCATCCTGGAAGCTCGCGTCCGCCTCCTCAGCCTCCCGAGAGAAACCCAAAGAGGTCCAGGGTAATCCCACTGCCCTCGCGTCACTGGCTGGCAAAGACCCCTGCCTTTTCTGGGGCTCTTGCGTATTCCTGCGACGCCTGCCACCCTCACTGGCATGCGATGCCTCACGCTTCGGCGCTTCGTCTTCCCCAACAGCCACCCCTGAAGCGCTGTGGAAGCTTGCGTCCGCCGCTCCAGTCTCCCCGGAGAAACTCAAACAGCTACGAGGTAATGATCCTGCCCACGCCGAAAGCGCTGGCGGGAACCCCTGCCTTGTCTGGAGGTTCTGCGTATCCCCGCCAACGTTTCCGCCCTCGCTGCCGCGCAACATCTCATGGTCCCGCTCTTCGGCCTCCCCAACCGCCCCATTTATCGCATCCTGGAAGCCTTCGTCCGCAACCCAAGCCTCCCCTGCCAAACCTAAGCTGCTACAAGGCAACGATCCCGCCCCCGCCAAAACGGCTGGCAGAGACTCCTGCCTTTCCTGCAGGTCTTGCGCATCCTTGCCAACGTCACCGC